AACACTTGACCAAATGGTCCAGATGTTCAAAAATCAGGTAAAAATACCCTGCCTTATTAAAACTTTTACTCTTTTTGCCTCTGATATGCCCGGGAGCAGAGAAGATTTTTAAAGAAATAATGCATTTTTACTACAGTTTCACTACATTATCAATAGAGCCCCCCACCCTCCCCATTGAGAAACACCAGAGCCTCTGACCCTGGGGACAGAAGTTTGCTCATCATAAGTAATCACTTTATTTATCTGCTTAACACTAAGGAGCAGACAGGATTATTTAATAGAATTAATGCATTTTCACTATATTATCAAGAGCCTCACCCTTACACCAGCACATCTGACCCTGGGGTCATGCAATTCACTACTCTGGAAGAAGCACTCTTGTTCATCATAACTATATACTTAGTTTCTTTGCTTTTTAACCAGAAGCAGAAAAGAATATTTTCAAAGAAATTTTGCTTTTTCACTATATAATCAATAGAGCCCCCCCCCCCTTTCGCCAGAACCCTTCACCCTGGGGCCATGAAATTCACAATTTTGGAAGAGGCATCCTTGCATATCATAACAATGTACTTAGTTTGTTTAAATAGTACCCAGGGGCAGAGAAGATCTTCAAAAAATAATTCACCTTCACTATGGGAGCTATATAGCCCCGCCCTAGCATCAGAACCCCTGTCCCTGGGGCCATGAATTTCACAATTTTGGAAGAGGCATCCTTGCTTATCATAACAATGTACTTAGTTTGTTTAAATAATATACCCAGGAGCAGAGAAGAAGATTTTTAAAGCATTAATGCATTTTCACTACATAATCAATAGAGCCCCACCCTAACACCAGAACCCCTGATCCAGGGGCCATGAAATTCAAAATTTTGGAAGAGGCATCATTGCTTATTATAACTATGTATTTAGTTTGTTTAAATAATACCCAGGAGTAGAGAAGAAGATTTTCAAAGAAATAATGCACTTTCACTATATGATCTGTATAGCCCCACCCTAGCACCAGAACCCCTGACCCTGGGGCCATGAATTTCACAATTTTGGTAGAGTCACCATTGCTTATCATAACAATGTACTTAGTTTGTTTAAATAATATACCCAGGAGCAGAGAAGAAGATTTTTAAAGCATTAATGCATTTTCACTATATAATCAATAGAGCCCCACCCTAAAACCGGAACCCCTGATCCAGGGGCCATGAAATTCACAATTTTGGAAGAGGCATCATTGCTTATCATAACTATGTATTCAATTTGTTTCAATAATACCCAGGAGTAGAGAAGAAGATTTTCAAAGAAATAATGCACTTTCACTACATGATCTATATAGCTCCATCCTAGCACCAGAACCCCTGACCCTGGGACCATGAATTTCACAATTTTGGTAGAGGACTCAATGCTTATTACAATCATGTCTACAGTTTGACTGCTTGATGTCCAGGAGTAAAGAAGAAGATTTTTAAAGATTGCATTAATTTTGGTGGTTTTAGCCCCACCCCTCAGGCCCCAGGGCGGCAGGGACCATGGAATTCACAAATTTTGTTTCCCTTCACACATAGATGCCATATGCTAAAATTGGCTGAAATTGGTTCAGCAGTTTCAGAGAAGAAGCTGAAAATGTTCAAATGTTAACACACGACGGACAATGATGGACGAAAACAGATAGCAATAGGTTACAAAATATAGTAATAAAGTTGAGGAACCAAGTTCAAAAATTTTTTCTATATAATTTTTATGTGCGTGCAACTTTAATGCCCAGGAAGTTTGGAACCTCATAAATATGGATAGTTAAAATCTACAAATCACTAACTAGAGAAAGATATGGTAGATATATTCTAAAAAACTGAGATACTAGTGATGGGAATCAGTAAGAATTTCATAATCAATGATTGGACTACTGTAGCTAACTAATTATCAATAATCGGGCATTTACAAAGTCTGTCAATTTAGTTTATTAAACGGTAAGAATGGGTGAATAACTACTTTCTGTGGTGGTCCAGCTGCAGTTAGAATAATCTAACTGTGTCTCGGGACAAGCCCTAGTCCTTAGGACAATTATCATTTTAACAATAGAATGTTCTATCTAGTCCAGTTGGTTCTACGTTCATTTGTAGAATCCAAAGTACGTCTATACCCGGAAATGAGCGTTGTTACCCGGGTATGAATACCATGTCTGTTCGTCTTCGCCATTACGATACACAAATAAGTTAATAGACAAGTCCCAGCTGGAATATTCGGCTTAAAAACTATTATGCTTGTAAAATAAAATGAATAACCCTATTAATCGGAATAAAATTTTTGTAATTGAGTGCTTGGATTATGCCAGCAATCGACTGATTTTCGATTATAATTGATGATTGGAACACCACTCTGATATACAAAACTTGTTTTTATGTATAAGTAATCTACAGTTACCGTTACTACTAAACTAATGCTAGACTAATGTGATAAGTAACTCACCGAGTCGAATTTGGAACATTTTAATCTCCAGCATCCCCCATAACAATTTGCTTTGTCCTCCCTGAAACATACAACTTCATGTTAATTGTACTTTCTCCATTTAATCTGTAAACAACTTTTACTCTCATTTAACAATTACTGTAGATTCCTAAATATACGCGAGGAATTAATTAACGCGTAATTACGCGAGGAGCACCACTCGCGAAATAAAGTTACTCGCTTTTATTTATATGGTGTTGAAATTAATGCTAAATCTCATTGTAAATCGTCCATTCGCGAATTATTGTTCTCGCGATTTGGCGTCTAAGAGCCCTTTCGCGATATTAAGTACTCGCGTAAAATAAGGAATTTACAGTAATCAATTCTTCAGCACTACATATTAAGCTTCCATAAACTTACTTAAAATATCATTTCAAAAAAATTTTCATGACTTTAAACATGCTGTAAAATAACTTATTTTTGTGGGGTCAAATTTTTGTAGTTAGCAGAAAAAATGCTGGTTCAAGGAGATTGAATTTTGTGATTGTTTAACATACATGATCCTGTACTTTGTAATTTTAACATTTCGTTGAGGACACGAATTGGGTCTCTTCAAATTAAAGAAAACAGTGAAAATTAAGCCCTGAGAAAAAATTTGTAAAATCACAGTAATTATACTTAAGTTCACTACAAGTGGACATGATTGAAACACCTATGTGCAAAACTGGTCTTTTTTAAAACCTGTGATAACTGTTAAATTAACTCACCAAACAGGTCTGCGTTCATTCCTCATTAGGTGGTAGGTGTAACGAACATTTAATTTGTTTACTTCAGGAATGTTATTATACACACTCCAAAAACCCTGCAATTATAAACTTTTTAAAATTAAAAATTTCATTGACAACATACATGAGATTAGTCAAAGACCACAAAACTGTACAGGAGCCATAAAAAAACTGGAATTTGGGTGAAAAAACTGTACACTGCCTATCAAAAAACGGTACAAAAAACGGTATAAAATATCGCTTAAATTCTTCTGATAAAGCACCTTATTTCTAAACCAACAAATATATATTGTTGCAAATGTCTTATTTTAAAAGTTGTAATGGAGATTTGAATGCTTTAAAATTTCATATATTGTGTTTTATAATCACAATGTTCTTATGAATCGACTATAAATTAAGCTAGTTAAGATGATAGTTTGTTTGCCAGCTTTATATAGTATTAACGTGAGAGTCAATGTCTCCAATTTACATCTTTTTCATATTACTGATATATACATCAGCAATGCTAAATAACAGCAGCAAATACAATCATACATAAATTTCACCAAATAAAAACTTAAAACTATATCCTTTATTTCAGCGTAATCATGGTATTAAACATCGTATATTTTGTACCAACGGAGATCTGGGTCAGATTCATGTATATTAATTCATGTATATCAACTTTAGAAGTTGGCTTAATTTTTTGCAATCAAGTTACGAAACATTAACAGTTATAATTAAGTACCCCTTTAAAATAAAGCTACCTAAAGGGGTATCTTAATACGAATTTATAGCAAGATAATTATCCCAATTGGCAGTTCACACCTTCACACGCGATGGTTGTGTACACTATACAATTATTAGAAGGTCAAGTGTCAAACACAGGTGATGCTTTCCAGTGTCTCGCGAGCGAGAATGAGAGGAAAATAGCGGCATTTAGCGAGAAATTCAAAATACTGTACAAATTTTCATATTCCGTGAATTTTGGTGACCCACCGGTACACGATGAATGGGCTCGAAAAACTGTACATTTTGCATACCACTGGTACATATCACATGTATGTGACAAGACCTATATAAATGAACACTTTCTATCTAGTATATGTACTATTAGGGGCATGATCAAAAGTTCAACGTCTGTCAAAACATAGGTAATAAAAGATTACAAAGCTCACCTCAGTGAAGGTTATCTATCAATAAAGCACAAGGTCTCACATGAAAAAAAAATGTTCTGTTTTAGGGAGAAAAGAAAAGACTTTGTCCTAAGTTGTCATGCTCAAATTTCTGATTTGTGTACATAAAATGAAGGAATAGAACACTCAGGGATAATTAGTTACTCTTCAGTAAAAAGGTGTAAAATGTTAAACCTTACCTGTACGGTGCTAACGGTGTACAATTTCCTAATACTGGCTTCGTACTGGGCAGCTGATGATCCAGGGATAGATCTGCAAATACAGTAACGAATAGGGTCAAAATAAGGTAACATCACTGCTGAACCGACCCTGCTGAACTACACGTGTAGTACTAGTGCAAGCTATTCAGATCCTGCAAACACCGTTTGCACTTAGTGAGTCATATATTCATGAAAGCTTGGATCCCTTCTCCAGAAAATTAAACACATTCGTAAGGTATGCAAGATTTCTGATGTCCCAAACAATTATTATTCTTGTAAATTTGAATAAAGCTTATTTAAAAAGAAAGTAGGCCAAGGAAATACCATGGAATATCATAGACAATTGACTTGGAATGAACGTCATTACTTATCAAGCCAGAACGTCCACTGTGTGTTAAGGGGGACCCCCGTCTGCTCCGAGGTGTGGATTTCACTGATGGCCGACCGCGGAAGCTGGGGACTGCCGACTGGACGGGCCTCTGTAGTTTTAATACTATCTACTGACTGAAGGCTGGATACCGCCATAACCGTACCAGGGCCGCAATCAGGTCATGTGATCAAAACAATTGACGTATTTTATTTTTCGGAATACCCTCGGGTTGATAATTTGGCGCCATCTTTCAAGATTTTTTTGTTGGCGGATCAAATGTACGCGTAAAGGTCGCTTGGCAGTTGTTTAAAAGATGTTTGTATCATCGAGTGCCTGTGTGTCATTTATGAATCCTTGAAAGAAATGTGGCATGAAATAGAAATATTTTAAAAGGTATGTCACCTGTCAGCTTTTGAAAAAAGGTTTGGTCAGAACCTCTAGCTTAAAAATTATTTATTTCAATTCAATTTTATGACACATTTGAATTAAACAATGCAAATTATACAATATTCAATTTAAAAATTGCTCTCAAAATTGTAAAGAAACAAGATTTATACGGGAATATTTCTTGTGGTGGAAGGATATTAAGAAGAAATTCTTCAAATCTACACATTGTTTTTAAACTTTAGCCCCATGTAATTTTACTCGGATTTTTTTTTTCGTTATTATATGCTAGGAATATTAAATATAACGTTAGGTTTCAATTAATATTTTATTTATTTATTATTCCAAATCGGGGCCCTTTTGAGCATATTACATACATGATTATTAAACAGAACATATAAATATGAACATATAAATATAATAATTATTCACAAAATGTGATAATAGTAATATTCAGCATTTTCTTAATACATATACATGTACTTAGTCAATTTACTCATGGTTCATAAGTTGATATAATTGCTAACATGTACAATTTGAAATACACATTGTAAAGTATAAACAAGTATTTTTAAAACAAATTTCACAAATTTACTCGATAGACTTTACCAAAAGATGAAGACATATTTAAGAAGTCAAGATAAAATTTAAATTGTTTTTCGCCTGAAAATCGCATATTTCGACCAGAATCTCAAAATTTACATCACTGACCCCAACTTTTTCTTTCATTATGTTAAAGAACACGAAATATTCAATCGATCAGCACCTTAAGTCATAAAAAGCTTGATACAAGAAAATATTTTATTGCCCAGCTAGATTGTTTTAAAATACCCCAAATATGATATTTTTAGTGCGAAAAGGTCACACAATACTTTACGCGCATTAATTTGCAGGATTTTCTTCAATAATATTATTCAAACTATTTTACATAAAATAAGATTATATGTTTTGCCATGATTACATTTGGTAAAGTATGATTAAAAAGTTACAATTTAAGTGCAAAAAGGTCAAGTTAATTGTACCGTTGCTCGGTAAGTTGCACACTGAACCCCCCCCCCCCCATTTTCTTTGCGATTTTGAGTCATGCTATATGAGTAGTTATCTAAATTATACTTTTCAAAAAATCCTTGATATAACTCATATCACGAGTGACATATCTCAAGTAAAAATGATATAAACTATATAGCGTACGTACCTCTAAACTGTAAACAGATATACATACGGGACATAAGTATTCCTTTTTAAGGAAGTGATGGGGAAGTGCAATAGTCAGGTGTCAAACTTGTGGCCTATGAAATAGCAACAGGATGTACAGAATAGTCAATTACCTAATAAACAAATAAACTAATTGTATCGGTTAATGAATCTATCTGCCGCAGTTCATTATGGACTTCTGAATTAAAATGTACATTCTTATTAAGCAGTATAATCAAAATAAGTCCCTTAATATGCCTACGGCATAACAAATGATAAAACGCAGGGACTAATTTTGATAAGTATGTATTGGATAAAGAATACGAGAGAATGACAAAAACAGTAAGTCAAAACATGGAGTAGAATGCATAAGAATTTGACATTCTCATCACTGAGATGAAAAGCGAACTTGAAGAGATGAAAGTCCAGTATATGGAAATTATAAAGGAAAACTTGACTGAACATATTCAAGAAACTTTAAAAGCTTTGAATTAAGAAAATCGAAACATCAAAAGAGATGTCTTTGACCTTGGAATACATTTCTAAAATCCATGAATTCAGGTGTCTTTGACCTTGGAATACATTTCTAAAATCCATGAATTCAGGAAGCTCCGATCCCAAAATTCATGTATGAAATGTAAATTGCCAGTATATATATTCAGTCCAAAAACATTAAACAGATAAGAGATCTCCACGCTTTTGCTGCTTTCACACCATTACTATCTACATCAACAGAGTTAAGTTCCCAATCTCTGAAGAATTAGACCTTACTCGAAGAACTGTTGAAAGAACCAGAGCTTATCATGTCTTTGAATACAGGATATGGAAACCTCCGAGCTGTTAGGAGTCATCTGGGTAAGTGGATTGCCAGTGCTATAAAATGTTTCAGCATCGAAAGTTCGACCTCAAAACCAGTCAGATGCTCTAGTTTTTGATTGACAATATCTTTGTGGTTTTTGGAGACCAGGTCTTCCAACAATCTATTGGAATTCCCATGGGTACCAATTGCGCCCCGTTATTAGCAGACCTATTTTTGTATTCATATGAAGCAGAATGTGTTCAAAATCTTATATGTGAAAAGAAGAAAACACTTGCTGTGGCCTTCAACTCGACATTTAGATATATCGACGACGTATATTCAATTAAGAATGGTTATTTCCATCCTTTTGTCGATACGATATATCCCGGTTGATATTAACAGGCGTTAAATATAAGAGCAAAATAAAAACAACTAAAATTCACTTTGTGTGGTTAAATCCATAAATACATTTGAAAGAAAATGTCAGTAGGATATAAACATGTTTATAAATGCTACTTAAGAAAGCCATACTTCTCAAAATTCCTAAGACATAACAACTGTTCAGAGTATTCTTGAAAATAGGCCAAAGGTCATGGTCAGATAGACTGTAAAGCTGATATTTTGAACATGTCTTATGACAAGCAGTGCACTTGCCAAATAGCATAAACTAACCTCTAAAAAGTCAATCAAAATTTATGTCTGTGTATATCTGCACTACGGTGTATTTTGAAAAATAGGTCAACGGTCAAATTTAAAGGCCAGAAGGTCGATAACCCTGCCTTTCTTCCAAGCAATACATATACATGAGCAAATATCAAATTCCTACCTTTAACAGTTCTCAATATATAAGGTGTGACAGACGGACAGAGGGACGGACGAGACAAACACCGCGGGCAAAGTGATCCCTAAGTGTCGCTCTGCTCTGAAGGCGACACAGAAACATCATTCAGAGGATTTGATTTCATGACTCTAGCTTTTTCATAGAAATATATTCCTGTTCAAAATCATGGTCGTAAATACTCAGTATATACCTAATAGTAATTACACCTAATTTGACAGATAGACGACGGAAATAGAAAGAAATTGACAATTTTTCTTAAAAACGTTTTCACTAAAATTATCAATTTCTTGATTATTGATTTTTTTTCTGATCTGGGGTGTCAAAACCCAATTGCAAGGACGCCAAACATAGAAAAAATTGTAATGGCCTAATCTTTTTATAAAACTTAATAAATTTGACGTACATATATGGAATAATCTGACATATCTCTCATCCCCTCTACCCCCATATTTATTGGCCGCATTGTTTTGAATTGGATTTCTAGTCTAAAGGAACTTATCTTCAGTTCCAAATCTCAGTTGTTCTTCAGATGATGTGTGTAAGTAAAGTAAGCTCAAAACGGCGCATTATCAAGCAAAACAAGTTATCAAATTTTAATGCAAAAAAATCTATATGAATATTTAAAAGTTGATTAGTTTTCATTGCACACAAAATCAGTCGGTTTCAGCACATCCCATGCCTTGCCAGCTACTGCAGGTGGTCCGCTACACACAATAAGGTGCGGGTCCTGAATCACATTAGGAGACGTATCCATTTTCTCTCTCAACCATCTTAAATTGCAGTCACAGTACCACGGATTCGAGTCGATGAAAAGCGAATTCAGTTTGGTGAGATATTTCGAGTCAAGGACCTCCGGTTTCAGTGTGGTTAACATATTGCTCTGTAGCCACAGAGAGCCTACGTTCTTTAGAGGATACAAAGCCCCCACCTCTATTTTACTGATATTGTTGAGGTCTAGATACAGCGTGTCCACACTGGAGAGACCAATGAAGGTATTGTTGGTCAAAGTAGATCTTATGTGATCCTGCATAAAATCTAAAAGAGTGAGTTGCTCTAGTCCAAAAAAGGCATTGTCTTCTATAGTTTCCACAGCACCTTGCCAAAACGCAAGGGTTTGGAGATTGGTGTAGTCTTTGAATGCGAAAGAGTGCAAGGTTTTAATTTGATTGCCCACGTAACAGAGATGCTGAATACCAGCGGGAATATTCCGAAGAACACTTTGCATTTGGTTGAATCGGAAATCAATGGACTGAATACTCCTACATTTAGAAAACACATTCGGTGGAAAACTTGCATCTGTCAGTTTGTTGAAGCCGATGTACAGTGTTGTCATATTAACCAGTGGATCAAAAGTTTCGGGTTGGATTTTAAAAATTTTATTATTTGAAAGGTCGAGGTAGTCGATCATTGGGTAGAGTACAAAGCTATCTGATTGAAGCGTTTTCAGCTTTCCGTAATACATTCTGTATGTGATCAGCTTCTTGGGGAGCTCTTTGGGAATAGTGGTATAATCTGTCCGTGACAAATCCACGTCTGTCAGACTCGGAAGGTCAAGGGCACCTGACTCAATAGACCCCTCCTTCAAGGGTGCTCCTGAAGCATCGAGTGCCGTCAAATTGATGAGTTTTGCAAATGAATTTCTTTTAATCTGATGAATTGGGTTATCGCCAATGTAGAGAATACGTGTGTCTGTTGGAATGTTACCTGGAATCTGGGATATTCCTGTTCCATTACAGAAGACTTGACCTGGAGGTCGACAGTAACACGGAGATGGACACGGTTGACCTTTTACGGTCACGGTCCACAGCACACAAATAATGAGAAATATAGTCATAGCTGTGTTGATGAAAATGTTAATCTGAAAAGAAGAGTTGTCAGGGCTATTGGAGAATTTCTGAAATATTTGTTGCAAAAAATAACAAATTCTTTAAACTGAAAAGTAAAAATTAAAGAAAATTTAAAGTTATTTTATTATGTTACCTCTAGCCGGATAGGCCCTGAGTTAGCAACGATTATTTTATTTTGATAAAAATGATAATATGCAGCACAGATCTAGAGTGAACAAATATTTACATGTACGTACCCCTTTATCTGATACAGTGTGTGGTAATCTGTTCTTATTGAGCGGGTAAACAATCTTTTACAAGAATATTAATTGAAATCGCAATTAAAACCACAGAATTATTTTTCATAAATTTTGATAAAAAGTTGCATTGAATAGGTATGATGCCGTTGTCAATATAATATCACGTCTTCCCATGCAGTAAAAATTGAAATGCATGGTTCTTTCTTTCAGAAAAAAAGACACACATGTATGCAATGTAGTAAAATAAATGTGTACTGTTCTTTGACAATATTTGCCATCTTCATTAGGAAATGCTTCGCGGACTGCACTGGTGCACTGTTTTTTGTTTTTTTTTTTATTTGTGAATGTATACTCTGAGAAACGAAAATGCGAATACCATGCATGCATGCACATTTCTAAGAAAACGAAGAAAAGACGTGTACAGATAAATTTTAATTACTATTATTTCAAGATTACCAGGCCCGTAGGAAGCAATTTCAGTTGGAGGGGGGCACTATCAACTACCAAGAATTCCTTGACAAGCAAAAAAAAAAAAGGGGGGAGGGTTATCAGACGTTATTTTTGAAGGGTCAAAAGCATAATTATTGTAGCTAAGCTTTCTAGAGTATTCCTTATATCGGCAAAATTATTGCCCCCCCCCCCCCCGGTTCAGGACTACAGCCATGCTTACGCACATCAATATTCGATATCGGACACCATGCATTCTACCCTATGCATTCACATACTCTACATCCCGTGTCCGTTTTTTTTAAAATCCCGTTCAACTATCCGGAAATATTTGTAGTGTTTCGTGAGGTTCTTAATTTACCGTTCTATATGTGCTTTCCAGTGTGATTTTCAACAACATGGCCATGATCAGATAATATATAATGTGAGACAATTTGTTTTCTCACAAGTTTAATGTACAATGGCAGCTGAGGTCATTCCGTGTGGACTTTATCCAGAATGCAGCATGACTTTGATGCTATTTTCTAACGTCGAAAATGCGACAGAAATTCGAAAATCTGTCATGAGTGGAGAATTTGAAGCAGCACTCCTGAAAACATCAATGGTACAGAACGATACACAGATTAAATTGTCCAATTTTTACCTTTAATTAACATTTTTTTTTCAAATCATGAGAACCTTTAATCAACAATCTGAACAAAGCAAATTATTTCCTAAGTAATCCATATGGTATTTTCTTACAGATTTTAGAGCCATTCCAAGTGATTGTTGCTGCAAACAGGGCTATTCATCTTCACAGAGTTAACAAAATGATGACCAAAAATGTACACTCTGAAGTTTTGTTTAGTCTTTCCCCAAGTAAAAATGTAAGTAGTTTTAAGACCATTAATATCCTGTGGCAATATGTAAAGTTACTCATTATTACAGTCTGTATTTCACAAAGTATTAAAAAAAAGTACAATGAAATGCAGTTTTAAATTAATGCATGAGAATCAAGTTGACAAATGGATTAAGTGTGATATCCATAACATAACACACAAAACACAATAAGCCCTAACCTTAACAGTGGTTAAGAAAATTTTTTTTAGCTGATATTGGTACATAGATTTCATGATATATTGTTACACAGATTTCAAGTTAGCTTTTGTTAATGAATGGTCAGTAGAATTGTATCCAGTCAACTCGTACCCAAACTGACTTGTACCCAAACCCAGAGTCAACTCGTACCCAAAGCTCAAATGTCAAAAATTAAATCATAAGAAGAAACAATTAATTGTTTTCAAGGGTAAATATATAGTTTGTATGATTCTTGTATTTTATTTCTTAATGTGTATTGTTAATGACTATATAAATAGTTCTATTTTCTCTGATTTTATCACACTATAAGATAACAAAAACATAAAAACAACAACATACAAACAACAAATTGTGAAACGTAAATTTTACACTTTAAAAATCTTCTTTTTTTTCAGGTAAGTAATAAACTTTATGGATATTACCATAATAAACTTTGCAAATTTTATGGCATTATATAGTGTTGACTCTTTGGGTACGACTCGGTTTGGGTACGACTCGGTTTGGGTACGAGCTGACTGTAAATCAGTAGAATATCTCACATACTATGTTTTCTAACTTCATGTAATTCCCATATATTCAAAAGCAATAATATTGATGTTGTCTAGATTTTTTTTTATAACATACACAGGGCTCCCCAGTTAATATCTATTGCATGCAGGTCTGGTAAAAAGACCCTGTTCCAATAGAAAATTGCATCAGATTCTTTTTTTTCCATCCAGATTAAGATAAAAAGTTCTAAATGACTAGCAGATTGAATTTTTCAGTACTCTTTAAAATAAATCTTGAATATTGAGACTATATGTAATATTGATTCTACTACGGTTATTGCCGAGATCAAAGAAATGCCGCGGACATTATTCTCCAATAAATCACGAACGTCATCAAAAAATTATCAGATCAGAAACACATGTCAAATCTGTACAGTTGAAATAAATATTTCACTGTATAATCTAATACTTATTTAGACCACATCGATGTGTCGTCTTCCGCAGTCTAAACGTGTGTATTGCCTGAATCAGCTGATAAATATCCATTTTTATAGCCAAATGGGGCTGTTGTACGGACCTCCCCACAACATTTACACTCCCGTGATTTTACTGATAAATCAATGAAAAAGACAACTGATTTTGTTATTTTTCATTCATAAAAATTAATCAATCTATGTTATAAGCAAATTTATAAATAATTAAAGGATATTTTTAATCCAACAAAAGTTAAAATCGTCTGCATTTTATGCAATCGATGGACCCTCTGGTGTTAAATGGAACAGCGGAATTGCGACATGGTGACCTAATTCGTTTCTCGTTAGAGAAAACGATCAACTGTATTTTAGAGCCGTTAGTAGAATAGAAATAAAGTCCTTGTTGTCGTGAATGATGCAGGATAACCTCCTCGGTCTCGAAATGTTGTCTGAAATATAAAAGCCTCGGCTAACGCCTCGGCTTTTATATTTCAGACAACATTTCTCGACCTCGGAGGTTATCCTGCAACATTCACGATAACGTGGACTTTATTTCTTAAATAAAGATGTGAATAGATGATAAGGCTATAATTTGTCTTTACTCTGAAGTAAAACATGATCATATCGATAAATCATTGCTATTCATAAATTTTGCTATCTTTTTAATCTAAAATTTCCAATATTGAAAGGGTAGAGGATCCTTTACCAATAAGGGGCAATTAACCCCTGATACAAGGTGTGGAATGAATGGAAAGAGCAGGTTGACACAAACACAAAGATGTGGAATTAATAATTACCCTTAGGCTTAGGAATAGACTGTGGTATTTTATAAAAGTATGTCATGGATACTCTTTGTAGATTGCCTCCTTTAACCAGAAATATTACATATTAAATAGCCATGATTTAAAATAAAAGTGTAAATTCTAGCTTTCAGTTAACTCTAACCATTATGTTTTACTATCTGCATGTAAAATCTTTTGAGAGCCCAGGCAACACAATACTGCAGGGGTGTTAGATAATAAATACGTGTTGTTGTTTTTTTTTTGTCATTAGACCCATAATTGAAATGAAAATAACTTGAAATTTGGAAAGTATGTCTTACCAATTAAAAATGATAGTTAAAAGCACTTTGTTTTCATTTTTTATCAGTATAACTTAAAATAGATTTCAGATTCCTTTCGTAAGTTTGGTCTAGCAGACAGTGAGACCTCCATGTTTGTGGTTATAGTCAATGATACAGATGGTGCCACATGTCAGGCAGTGAGGAACAAGGTTAAAGGTCAACTTACAAATATAAATGAGGTCGGGAAACACTCAGATTTACCAACAATCAAGAAGGTCAGTTTTGTTTCCGTAGATATTCCTTAGGTATTTATTTTCAGAAAACAGTGTTGACACAGGGCTCAACATTAACTTTAAAACAAACAAGCTATAGACCAATCGGACTAGTATTTGAAAATTTTACTGGTTCAATTTACATTGTTTGCAGAAAATATACTGATTTATGGGATTGAATTTCGTGGTTGATGCACATACATGATACTGAACTTTGTCATTTTAAAACTTCATTGAGGACCTGAATTTGAGTGTCCCTTCATTCCACAAAGACTACAGAGATCCAGATAATTTTTCACCTCAAAGTGTATTTACTCCTTGATTTTCAAATCAATGCAGATTTTGATATTTAGCAAAATAATCAAAAAGTATTTTGTTAACCTATTGCTCTTTTGACATCTAATGCGATTTTTAGCTTGTTATCGAAATAAGTGTTTTTCAGAGAAGAATGTAAAAAATAAAGGACATTTTTCGCATTTATCAATTAGCTTAATGGAATTTTTAAAAAAAATTGTCAACTTTAAGCTACATGTATAACTGAGAAACATTTCGTTTCTTTCGCCAGAAAGACCATACGGTAGGCAAAGCTACCAAGGGCACATAGAACTCCATTTAAGATTAGGCCTATATCGATCGTAGCAAGAGTTACCAAGAAAAATATCCTTCCTTTGGCCAGACAAAATTAATCTTTAGATTATCATCCCCACCTGCCCCTCTCAAAATGTCCCGCCACGTTGTTTTTGTTCTTGTTTTGTTTTTTGTTATCAAAAATATATATTAGGTTTTGCTATATAAATTGTTGGCATCGAGGTAAAAGTTTTGGAGTTGCTCCCCGTTTGCATTAAAAGTTGCGAGGCGCTATATATAGCAAAGGAGCATGTGGAAAGCAAAAAACAATTATTTTCATACAGTTAATAAAGGTTGTCGGCGTACTTTAGATGATGTTATTGCTCGGGAAAATGATAAATACAGTGTATATAAGAACTGTTTAATAAACAGTGATAAAGGATAAAATAGGCACCATGCATGTTTTGCGCAATTTTGACAATATCGACGTGTACACGTCAAGAACGAAAATTAGGATGTTATATGAACAGTGGAAATCTGTAATATTTTCAGAAAAAATATGAGTATTTAATATTCAAATCTTTCTCTCGAACTGGAAATCGGCCTAGGTTATTCCGAATACGCTTATAAATCAAAATTTCCTTTTGATATAAATTCAAACACTGAGCTGACATCAATTCACATAATTAGTTAAATCGTACTTGTATCATTCAATCCATTGTACGCAGTACTTTTGTAGTGTAATGCTTATTTATGATTGCTAATGCATAATTGTACACCTTGTTTTAATTTTTAATGCGTATTTTGACAACTTAAATGCATACTTCTGCAAATATGCACCTAATCTGGAGCTCTGGACTACAAAAATACTTTTAAAGTGATTATAGATTAAAAATAAATTCTTTTTACTGATAAAAATGATGAAAACTTTCTAATACAACACCTGTACAATCTGTTGTACTGTGAATTCTGACCCTTATATTTATTCCCATTTTACTATATTTCATTTTCTTTACACTGTGTAATACAACATCCTGTCTATTCTAACAGTGACGGACCCAAAATTTGTCTTCCAGTGCATGATGGATTAGACAGGCCGGTTTCACTGTAATATAATTTAAAACAATTTTGAATACAATTTTTCACCATTTTACAAATTTTCCAGAATCTTGTATAAGGGGTGTTGACAGAGGCGTATGTGGGAGCATAGTGGAAATGACAATTCTTGATAGAGAATGAAATATTGACATGAAAAAATCCCTATGGTTGAATAATGACATTATCAATAAATTGATGGTAATCACAAGTTGGTCTTTTTGAAAAAAAATTTATATTATCAACTGAATTTCTTATTGTTGAATTCAAGAAAAATATCAAAAAGGGAGATATGTCATATTTCAACTCACTTTTGTTCAAGGCCTGGTTAAATTAAAATGTAAACTGTGCAACATGCAGTTTTAATATGACCGAGCAGGAAGGATAACTCTGGGAAGAGTTTAAACTGTACACACATGGCAGCAAGATTGGTAAATTATTGATGTGTATACTACATGTAAAATAGTGTAAATAAATGTCTCATAATCCATTAACTATTACAACCGTACAATAACATCAGTAGAGTTTTCCTAACAAATCTTTTCATGATTATATTTTTCATCAGGATCGAAATGTGAAAGTGAAACCTAATCTAACACATAGATAAAACAAGAAAGCACATAAGATTGAATCATCCTAAAATAATACTTTTGCTTCATTTGTATTTCAGTATATTTTTACACGACCAGTTAGGATACCTTGACGCAAAATAAACTAGACCAAACCAAACTTTTACTAGTCTGAGTTGGTTGGACTTCCTTAATGTTGAGCCCTGTGAAATTGTCATAAAAATGATGAAAAATAAGGAATTGAAACTAATCTCATACTTTTCACAAAATGAATCTTTCAAAGCAAGAATTAATTTGGTATAAATGACAATACATTGTATTGTAAAGCTCAGTTTTATGCAGTCATGATGTACTTGAGGTATGTAGACTTAACTTAACTATCAAATTAAAAATAATATTAGGCAGACTGAAATTTCCAGAGGATATTTCTTTTCTTTCTTTGAAGGTTTACAAGATTTCCGACACTGAGCTGTCAGCCTGTAGTCCAGTTGAAGCCATTGTATCAAGAATCTCCAGTAAAGACATTGTCACAGTGTGACCTTCAAAGACCTCATTATCCTTATCTCTCCTAGTGGTACCATAAATGTGACATTTGTGAACATTTACTGAATATAAGGAAAATTGTGAAAGTTTTTTTAAATATATGTATTAAAGTGTGAATTTCATAGGAAATATGTCCAATTGTGAATTTTTGGACAAATTGGCCAAGTTCTGTAAAGAAATGATAAGATGTGAATTTCTAAAGAAATATCTACAAATTGATTAGTTCAACAATAGTCAGTACTTCTTACATGGAGTCAAACTAGCTGTATTGAGAGACTATTTGCTTTATGTTGTTGTAAATATTTACCTTTATTAAGCAGCTACCTGTCTGCATCATAGTTTTACTTCTGTACCAGAAAACAATGTATTAATAAAATAACTTTCTGTGTACTTTTTTGGTCATTTAATTAATACAGTTGTCATATATAGCTCATAGAAACAGTTGATTGTATTTCTGATTATGGCTAGCGATTTTTATTTCTGTGGAAGAGAACTGTTCCACTATAATTTCTTAGAGTCAATACATGCAGTATCTTTAAGGAATGCCGCTTAAAAATTTTGGGAAATGAAATGCAGCCAATAAGGAAGTGACAGAGCTCATTATATTAATTCAATACATGTAGATGCATTAATTCAAATCAATTTAATTGATTCCAAGCCTTTGGAAATTTTACATCTATAAATGAAATTATGCCAGGGATCAGACAAGGATTGCACCTAGCTGTTCCTTTAAATTTTTGATGAATCATCCAACTACATTATGTATAACCTAAATTAATTTCCAATAGGAAATGAATCTGCATGGCTGAGACACAGCACAATTAAACTCTTTTAAAGGATCAATATTTTTTCTTCATAATTAGTGCATTAAAGATGTAGCACATTTTTTTTCTTTTAAAAAAATCTATTATGGCTTACAACTATAAGGTGCTATGCATAACTATTACACGAGTTATCGCCCTTGATACGGAGTCGATCTGCAGAGAGAGTAAACGACATCTATGAGGCGCGGGCAGGGACCTTTAGGACAGGATATGTTTTACTAATTATGTAAGTATAATATGGAAAAACACACTGTTGTATCATGCGTATAAAGAGACATGTAATACATAGTAAATCGATAACATTCATTAGGCAATGCAGATCGGCAGCTGCAACTGTCTGACTCGAATTTCCTCTTTCCATAGGTGTATCGTGCGGTAGGTGTGGCATGTGGTATAGCCTTAGTATTATTACTTTGATAATTGGTGTATTGTGTGGGTACGTTTTGATGCTCTCCTTTGAGCTTAAAAGAGATAGACTTCATTATGGCATAATGAGTCGAAAACGGGAATATTTATTAGTGGTGCACCATGTATTTATGTTAATCCGAGATTCCTCTGAGCAGTCTAGACGAACTCCAAAAACGGCGTGAACTCCAAAAAAGAAGTCTTTGGCTCCATCATGCATTGCGGCAAAATGGCGTCCGATGTAAACAAACAATGGATATCCGTTCGCTTTCTTCAAATATACAACCACTAAATGGCTATATTTATTACACTGTGACTTTATTTTAATTTTTTTGAATGAATAATTAAACATTTTAAATTATATAGTAGATATTGACTTATTTGTCGCTTCCAACTCTTGCATTAAATAGTGATTTTGGATATACGACATCGAATTCAATAATGCAGGTAGGAATTAATTTTTTAATTAATATATTGTCTCCTTGATTTAAAATTTATGTCGTTCTTACAATAAAGATGCCTAAATTTTATTTTAAAGACACCCAAATTGTATTTATTTAATCAGAAAATGCACAGTTTTCACCACGGAGCAGAGATATTAACGTTCATTTTTAGAAAACCTGTTGTGACGTTAATTTTTTGAAAGAATGATTTTTTAAGTTTTCAAATTGATAGATAATGGTTTTAAAATGTTTTCATGATAATATCTGTTCGTATTGGATAAAAAAAATCGGTAAATAACGATGGTGAGAACTCATGCTTTCAATTCAGATGTCGAACACAATTAAAATACCGAAATAATAATAAATTTGTAAAATGTGTAAAAGTTTTTACAGATACAATATAAATTGTTCCATTTTAAATATATTTCCCTTTTTTAAGCATGATTAATTCTCAAACGTATAATTTTCTCACATAATTGATCTGACTTGAAACGTCAACTTTGAAAGTAAATATCTCTTTATTTGCAAATAGAATCTAAAATCTGACAAATACGATCTCTTCCGAAACCTTTTATTTAGCATTTCTGAGTACTGGTATAATTGCCATACTTTCCAAGACTTTGCACGGACAGTTTTTGTAGACGCATCATTTTTGCTGAAAAATCGCCATTTTTTGTGTGTCTGCGCATGTGCGAACTCTTTTTTCGGAGTCTTTTTCTGTCTCAATTTCTTACTTCCGGAAACGCTGTTTTTGGAGTTCTTCTAGACTGCTGAGTAACCCCTGCTTTTATATTTTGATATCTCCCCTGCACATGTCAAAATATAAAAGCAGGGGTTGGAGTCAGAGGAATCTCGAATTAGTATTATATGTATACATAAAAAAAAAATGTAACTGAAAAGGAGAAAATGTATTTCTGGACCAGGCATCAAACCTGGGACCCCTGCATCACTTGTCAGCTCTACAAAGAGAGCTATCCAGACCACGGCCCAAACCCACAGGGGCTTAATTGTTTCATACAGTATACTAATTTACTAGCAGTAAACTAGAGTAATAGTTTGGGCCGTGGACATCGGCCTGGGTAGCTCAGTCCGTAGAACACCTGACTAGTGATGCAGGGGTCCCGGTTTCGAGTCCTGGTCCAATGCAATGTATGAGACAATGCACATAGGGAAAGCTGAACTCCTCCTCAATATAAAAGAAATGAAAGAAAGAGGGCCGAGAGGAGATGAAAGAGGGGAAATTTAGACTTTAAAACTATAGTGTGAGATAATATCAGTGTATATGATCTATCATTGCATTCATTTAAGTATGCATGCAGTAAAACAGAAATGCATATCCAATTACATAATGCAGACTGTGACATTTTCTCACTACATTTACTGCATATGTACTGTACAATGAACAGACTCCAAGTGCATAAATAATCACCTACAGGAAATGCATTGATCAGAAGCTCTTTATTGTTTAGACAACCAAGAAAAGTCTACAAAGACTGATAAATTTTATTTAACATGTTTAAGAAAGACTAGTGGTCTAAGACATATATTAATAGAAGTTTAATGTTTCCTATTCCACTTGTGTCTGTAGGTAGTAGATTTCTTTTATGTAACACAACAAGGGGTTGTATGGGCTGGGCTTGGTTATAAACTTAAACTTATATTAAAGGTGTATAGTAATAAAGCATTCAGCTTGAAAGTTCTGTGATGTAATGTGGTTCAATGCCGATGACAGAGTGGGTGGCCATTATATGTGGGTACCCGTTATTCTGCTGATAATGGCTAGACCTGAACAGTGAGAGCAGGGAAAGGTATAATATACACACAAAGGGATTTTACTACCACCTTAGACATGTTAGAATAGTTATTTCAGTAGTTTGGGTCTTACAGGTAAAACATAAGGTAATATCAGGTATTAAAGTTTTTGTGGTTTATGCATGCTAAATTTTTCATATTTTTAAATAGCTAGTCAAAATTTAAAAGTTTACATTTTTCTTAAATACATGCATGAAAAAAGGTCCAATGCTGGTCTAATTTTTCAATTAATATCAAATGTAAAAGATTTTTGATTTTTCTAAATATTAAGCACAGAATTTTAGGATATACATCAATGATTGTCCCAGCTAGTTAATGAATACATATACTTGGGAACTAATATAGCAGAAAGACTATAAGTCAGTCTGACATGTTGGAAAGTTAAGGTGTTTAGTATGCATTGATGTCAGACCGGTTTGATTTTTGAGTAATCTGTCCAGGTGAACAAACTCCTGTCAACAGATGAGTACGTTGTGTGATAAAAACAGACATGTGCCCACAGGTGCAGTGACGAAAACAGGGGCGTACATGTATGTAAACCACAGGAAAACAAGGATTGTCCTATGTAGGTGTGAATTTGCCGGTGAAAATTATAATCTGTAAATCTGCAGAAGTTGATCAGTAAAACTCTTGTTATTTATCCAGAATTTACTTCGAAAAGCTGTGGGCGATCAGGAATCTACTTAACATAGATTTTTAAATCTCCAGAGTCAGTCATTTTAAGTTTTTATAATGTTTGAATTGTTCAAACAACAGATTTGCTCATCAGAGAGGGTATGCTTATATTTCTGACATAGGTAGCTTGTAAATTAAGTTTATAGATAGTTATAGTGTATGATCAAAATTTTTTACAATATAAATATATTGTTCCGAGGTATATGAACTTACCTGAGGTCAAATCATTGAACAAGCAGAAAATATTATATACATAAGGCAAATTAAATTTCAAAAAGAAAAGTTAACGTTATGATTGTAATATTTTTATTTTTTGTCTTTCATATAGTCTTAAAAATGGAATCTTGCAGTTGTATTCTTTAATATTAGGTTTAATTATCTAAGGTACAAATCAATATATCAGAAATGGCAGGTAACTTAATATTAAGTTTTCACTTGACTGATAATCATATTATTGAATTTGATTTGTATCTTTCAGAATATTTCCAATGACTTGTTGTGTGTTAAATTAATCTAAAATTTGACATATTTATAAGCCATTAAACCTTAGCTTGAATAGCCTAGGGTAGAAAGAAAAAAAATTACAAGAGAAACTAGTGCTTAGTTGTTATACAAATATTGGTTTATGTTATAGAAATTGTTTGACCAATTGGGTAAAAGTTATGAAGTCCCCTCTGAAATTAACCAAATGTTTAAAATGGCCTGTAACTTGGTCCTAGATCATATAGTGTTGAATTTAAGCAGGTGCTCCTCAGCAAAACTTGTTTTCACTGCGTCTGATGAATGCTAGTCTCAGTGGACTGTAGCAGTCCATCTGACAAACTTAAATGTTGAGACCAGTCACTATTATCACAAGCCACATGTTTTTGTTTCCATTCTTTTTCCACAAACCGGGTTTGTAGAAAATCCATATAGAATGAACACAAAAACCTGTGGCTTACAACAATGCTTCCTCGCATGCTGCAAAATCCTTTAGAAATGGCATTTAACAAAGAGATTTTTTGGACTATGTTTATAATACAGATAGGTGTTGGGTTATGTTGGATCTGTAGAAGGTCCACTTTAATCTTGCATAATACTGTGTTGTGTATCTGTTGGAAGTGCTGGGTATAGTTTTGATTACTACTTTTGAAGTATAATGCAGAGAATTTACATTTGATGAAGTGGAATAAATTCTTTCATATAAGGTCATGGTTTTCATCTTAAGTATATTCTTTCAGGTAGAATATAACCACTAGTTACTCTGTGCTTTACAAACTTTTCTAGTCTATTTTCATGCATGTATGTAATTAAGTAGGTTATGTGGAGATCTGATGACCACATGCAGGTTAATGTCAAGACACAAAGTTTAAGTGGCCTGTCCATATATTTAATATTTAGTACATGGTTCTTTGTACTACTACTACTAGGTGCCTTTCCCAATCAGGCTCAGTCTCAGTTAGACAACTGTTAGACTTTTCCTAATGTTATTGTTAAACTAATTTTTAGCTCACCTTGACTAAGTCGGTGTCCCGGTTAAAGTTTTAGGAAGAAGTCCATTCCCAAGCAACTATAAGCCCTACCTGGACCAAACTTGCAAGGATGATGCATCTAGGAATGCATGGACTTGATTTGGATGCTGGATCTGACCTATATTTTCCAGATGAATGACCAGGTTAAAGTTTTTGGAACAGGTCCATTCCTAAGTAAGTGTAAGACATACCTGGACTAAACTTGCAAGGATGATGCATCTAGGGTTGGACACTACCAGACTTGCTTCAGATGCTGGATCTGACCAAGATTTTCCAGATGAGTGACTAGGTTAAAGTTTTTTGAACAGGTCCATTTCCAAGTAACTATAAGCTCTACCTGGACCAAACTTGCGTGGATGATGCATTTAGGAAAGGACACTACCAGACTTGATTTAGATACTGGATCTGACTTACATTGTCAAGATGAGTGACCATGTTAAAGTTTTAGGAGCAGGTTCATTCCCAAGTAACAATAAGCCCTATACCTGGACCAAACTTTCATTGATGATGAATCTAAGGATGGACACTACCCAACCTTCTTCAGATGCTGTATCTGACCCTTATTTTCCAGATTAGTGATTTTTAGCCATCCTTTAACCAAATAAGCATTGGATGATGTATCTATGCATAGGCACTTCTAGACTTAGCTTGCTTTGGATTCTAAATCTGACCTACATTTTGCAGATGAGTGACCAGGGTAATGTTTTTTTGGAGTAGCTCTATAATTATATGGCGGGTTATGATTAAACTTGCATAGATGATGCATCTTAGGATGGACACTTCAAGACTTGCTTCAGATGTTGGAACTGACCAACATATTTTTGATTAGTGAACAGGTCAAAGTTTTTAGAGCAGGTCCATTTCCAAGTAACTACAAGCTCTACTTAAATGAAACTTGCATGAATATTGATCTTGGGATGCACACTAAGTAGAAAAAAATATGTGAGATTTGCTTTACTTATAGATAACATTTGTTGAGGTGAGCTTTGTAATTTTTGATTACCCATGTTTAAAATTCACCATGTAAGGATTAGAAAGAAGGAAAAAATGATTCAGTATCTCCCTCCCACCACCACCACAGAAACAAGCAACAAATTTGCTATTGAAGGCAGGTAGTCTATACTGAAATCAAAGTGTCCATTTGTGCATCAGTCTTTAAATCTTCAACATACCTTCAGAGTTAAGGTCTTAGCTAACCAAAAGTAATGTCCAAACCAAAGTAGTAATTGTGATGATTATTGATGTTGAATCTGACCTAGATTTTATGCTTGAATGATTCTGGATAAAGAAAGCAATAAGGTCCATTCTTAACATAAGTGGTATCAAACATATCAGAACTAAGCTTAAATAAATATACAAGCATGCTGTATCTATGGATTTTAGTCTGACATATGCTTTGGATGCTGCATCATGATACATGCTTTGGATGCTGCATCATGATACATGCTTTGGATGCTGCAGCATGATACAATATTGCTTTGGATGCTGCATCATGATACATGCTTTGGATGCTGCATCATGATACATGCTTTGGATGTTGCATCATGATACATGCTTTAAATGTTGCATCATGATGCATGCTTTAGATGCTGCATCTGACCTATATTTATGCTTGATGTCATTGTTTAAGTACTGTTAAGCTTATCACAATGATATAAACTAAAGCTTGCACATGCATTATGATGCATCTGTGGATGCTTAGTCTGATTCATGCTTCACATGCTGCATATTAATCATGAGTGACACTGGCTGCAGACAGCATTTTCCCTTCTTCCAAGAGATCTGAGGTTTTAAATTTTGTAGGGATCAGAATCAACTTAAGACCAAGTTGAAAGTGTGTGTTCATGAATGTGACAAGTCATTTTCTCTATCGACTGATTTCTGTGGAATCATTAGTGTTCATGGTGGATGAATGTGATTTTCTTGGATCACACTTACCCACAAATTTACATCCCAACGAATGATTTTTAACAGTCATTGATTAACAATGTATTAGTTTACTGAATCTTCTATATAAAGAAGCACTTACAAAATTATGTTCTGTAAATCAGTATCATTTGGTTGCTCATGAACATTGACCCCCACAAATTTAACAGATTCCTCAGAACCAGTACATGGACTTATGAATCATGTCAATATTGTAAATAAATGCCAAGCATTTAAAGGGCACCCCCTAGGAACTGAAGGGATAGCATTAGGACTTCTCTGATTTTCATTTTACAGCTGTTTAAATCTATACTGATTTGATAATTTTATTATTTTCAGATTAAAGATGAATGAGTGCAGTTGAGAAAGACCTGGATGAGGAATCGTTAATTTCAACTTGTATTTATAAAGGTGGGTTTACAATGATTAATGCGAAAGTGATGTACATTTTAAAATATTTTACTAAGGTTTTGATACTCTGAAGTCATCTTAAAAGATGACAGGATAAATGGGACAGATGGGATAGGAAATAGTTCTGTGAGGACATTTTGAGCTGTCTTTTTAACAGTTATATTCTTCCTGTTTGTGTTTGTTAGTTAAATAGATTGAGAAAATTAAAATTGTTAAACTCTGTGTAACAAGTATAAGGAGAAGAAAGACGTTTACCAGCAAGGCGTAAGTAAAATGAGTAATGATCCCTGGGAGGGCTGGTGTTGTAAAATCCACACCAAGCAAGCCAGTGTGGCTGGGGGGTGTAAAACGTCGGCTAGGGTTCGCAGCAACATGGGATGAGATTAATGTCTCCTAACAGGTAACGGACATCAGTTTAACAATCCACTGACTCAGGGTTGGGGACGTGCAGACTTTAGCCCAGGAGCTTTTGAAGTCTAGTGACGATTTTTAATTTTGATAATCGTGACTGGGTCTGGTCCGTAGAAAGTACATCGTAATAATTTGGGAGGAGTAGTTTGTTGTGCAAGAGATCACATGATCTTGTGCTATAGGAGGATAATTCATCAGCTTCTTGGCAGTATTATTAGGTTCAGCTCTGTAAACCAGCAGCTTTTAGTTTCTCAAACACTGTAGAGATAACTGGTTGCTTTGAATATAGTTGGATTTAGTAAAGATATTGGATGGAGGTGGAAGGTGTCAGTGGTGACACAATGGAAAATTCTACTGATAAAAAGTTGTAAGTTTTTTCTATTTCTTAAGTAAAAAGATATCATTTAAAAAATCAGATTAACTGCATAAGAAATTGCTATAAAAAGACAGAAATGCATACATGTATAAATTTTTAAGTACATGTATATTTCTGTGTTACATTTGTATTGCAGAGCAAGTTGTAAAATGTCATAATGGTTTTGTCCAACAAAGTCCAAACCAAATGTATTGAATACATAAACAGTTTATGGCTTTTTTATTTTAATTTTAGTGATGGCAGTAAGATTATTTAGTTGGTATTACCTGTATTATCTGTTTTTATCTGTATATACCTACTGTAGCTATATTGTCTTTGTTCCCTCTTAAAGGACACATCCCTCTTATTTCAACTATTGACTTAACTCTCCAAATGTTTTTTTTTGGTGCTCAGGTAATATGTGTTTAAAAAGATTTCATTTAATTGTTTTACTTAGTAAATAGACGACAAAACCTTACTTGACTACTTAGCAATCATGCCAGGGTTGTTCCTAAGAATTAATTGGAATAGAATTAGAAGTAATTAAAAGTAGAAGGGTGTCTTGGGCTCCTTCCCTAGTGGGGATTGAGGGGGCAATACCAGAATAACCAGGGCATTATGTCATTATGGGCAGGGAAATTCACCAGCCTCCGAGCCTTATGCACAACCCGGCATGCTCTTGAATGGGCCAATTCTCATCATCTACAATCCAGAAAGATTTAGCGTCTTTCTCTAGTTTATTCATTTTAGTCAAATAATTGAGTAAATGATTTTTTATATTGGTGCAAGAAAAATTTGATTTGCAAACATTAACTTGTTTCTATTAGTAAACACTCCCTCAGACACATTATTTAACAAAATGCTAATTATAAACAATACCCTAAATATGCTTTGTGTACATACCAGGGGAAGTGTAGAAATAACTAATCAATAAAGCGAAGAGTACCAGTCTAAACGATGATTGAAACAATAAAATTAATACTGTAAAATATTATAGTTGGAAGGTAAGCATTTGAAGTTTTTCATCAAAGTGTAGGTCTACATGTATAACTACTCAGATTTTTCCGTCTTTTTTTGATACATTACTAGGTGTGAACTGTCCAATTCTTCAATTAATTATTCCAAATGTTAACATACTTGTAATTAATATTTTACATTGGGTGGACAACACCAGTCACTGATAAGTTATACATGTGTGTCTTCGTGGACACTGGTCAGGATTGCATGTGTGGCCCGAGGGTCCATAGTTGTCGGTAAATGTGTGACTGATATAGTCTCGTTCCGCCCTTTCACACCTGCGACTACTAATTATCATGTTTGGAGAATAGAATTAAGGATAGTGGTCCACTTCCCATAACTTACCTGATGATAGACGAATGATGACAACAGGGAATAAAGATGATTGTTTGTGACATATACTACCTATACTGACAAAGCTAAAGGAAAACCTTGGCTTTTTTGCTCATTTTTGAAAGCAATAGAAATCAGAATAAAAAATAAAATGTGAAATTTCTTTATATTAAAACTAATTATTATATCAGTTATGTGCCTAGTAGCAGGTAAATTAAAATTTTCACTGATTTTGAGCTTGAATAACCCCATGTTTTTATAGTTAAATTGACTTTAAATTTGTCTGTTATTTGAATGTGGAGTCGGTAAATAAATCGGTTATTGTTTTAAATTTTTGATATCTTTTAAACGCGATTGATTTAAATTGTGTAATTTAGAGGAAAGTCCTATCTTTAAAGTAATAAAACATATTAAAAGTTTTTTTTAAATTTTGGTTACCTGAACTTAAGATCAAAAAATACGCTATGTATGACTTTAAAAGCAATGTGGGCTGCACTTGCCACTGGGCCACATGCTCTCCAATCCTTAAAAGCAACGGGTCTAAGCTGGTATTGGGCCATGTCTCAATTCCCTAAAATCAGTTGGTATATTGGGCCACATCTTCATTCCATAAAAGCAATGTGCCTCAACTTTTACTGGGCACTTCTCTATTCCTTAAAAGCAATGTGGGCAATGTGGCCGGGCTATCTCTACATTCCTTAAAAGCAATGTGGGCCACCTATCCATTCCTTAAAAACAAATGTGCGCCTTAGCAACTATTTGGTCACCTCTCCATTCCTTAAAAAACAATGTGGGCCATCTCTACATTCCTTTTAAGCAATGTGGGCTATCTGCCCATTCGTTAAAAGTAATGTGGCCCACCTCCCCATTCCTTATAAGCAAAGTGAATATCTACTGTTATTGGGCCTCAGCTGTTTATGCAGAACTTATAGGTAGAATATGAAAATTTGTTTAAATTTACTTTGACAGGAAAATTGTATTCGTTAAAAGCAATGTGGCCCACCTCCCCATTCCTTATAAGCAAAGTGAATATCTACTGTTATTGGGCCTCAGCTGTTTATGCAGAACTTATAGGTAGAATATGAAAATTTGTTTAAATTTACTTTGACAGGAAAATTGTATTTGTTTTAAGTTTGTTGTTCACTTTTCAGTGGATGAAAATATCAAGCAATGCTTAATATACATCTTTAAAAAGTCTTTATGTTCTTATTTTGTAGAACGAATGGAGTCAGTGGAAAAACAAAACCAGTAAAGAGTGAAGGGAAATTTATATCACAGATAAAGAAAAATCTCACTCAAGGCAAAGAACAGGAAGGAGAGCAAGAGAACTGTGGGTCAGGATTTTCCAAGAACCGCCCCACCAAAACCACAGAAAAAACAAAGTCCAATAGCTCCTCAGTATTTAGTCGACTCAGCGAACCAACTATCAGTAGTGCCAAGAAATCAGTGAAAGCTGTTGAAACTGCAAAACCAAACACCAGCAAGGGGAGTAAACCTACCCCTGGGAGTGTAAAAGATAGCCCAAAGCCATCAGCTGCCAAAGAAAATGTGGTGACTAAAAAACAGCCACCACCTGTAGCAGAGAAACCAAAGAAGAGCTCAGAGAAAGAGGTGACTGTTGAGAATCTAAAGAAAACCAACCAATCAGGTGTCAAGGGTGAACAAGAAAAGACCAAAGAGGAAGTCAAATGTACAGAAGAAAACACTGACGAGGCTGAGGTAGAATACCCAGAAATCCTTGAATTTAATCGTGAGCAAGCTCGAGAAGAGGAAGAAAGGGCACATTTAGAGGTTCAGAGTGCTAATGAGGAAGTAAGGAAAGATTTAGGTGAACCTTCATTAAACCAGTACCTTACTTTGAAAAATAACATATTTGAGGATCAAGAGTCCACTTTTTGCACCTTAGACATAAACGGTGAAATGGCCACTGCTGCAATAGATCCCCAGGAAGAAGATGGATTTCCACAAAACCCAACAGAATGTATTGTCATCTCAGAAAACAAAGTCAAGTATATCAACACTAACTTCAAGAAAGTATCTGCCAAAATGTATGACTACAAGTGTGACATCAAACTCAAGGTTGGAGACCAGAATTTCAAAGCTCATCGAGACGTTCTGTCTGAGGCAAGTGACTATTTCTCTGCCATGTTTTCACACAATATGAAAGAAAAAGGGCAAGATGAAATAGAACTAAAAGACATAAGTCCAAAAGGTTTTTCAGCCATGCTGGATTATTTCTATCATGGTCATGTGACTCTTGAACCATCCAAAGTGGAGGAGGTTATAGAAGGAGCTAGGTACTTCCATGTGGATTGGCTTTTGGAGGTCAGCTGTGAGTTTCTCATCCAACATTTGAGCTTAGATAACTATAATGCTGTGATGGAGATTACAGATAAATACTACCTTGGTGATCTTCGATGGGATATTTTCAGATTCATTGGTCAAAATCTTGGTGAACTGACTCAACAGCCAAGTTTCTTTGAAAATCTCTCTCTAGAACTTCTTTTGCAGTTTCTAATGGAGAACATTTACACAGAAGCACCAGAATTCTACATTTTGGATGTTGTGTTAAAATGGGTAAAAGCAGATGAAAAAAATAGGAAAGAACATCTTCTTTCTCTTTTACGCCAAATAAGATTTCATACGATGGAAACTGAGGAACTTGAGTCGGTTCCTCCAGAGGTGCTGGAGTTCCCAGAAATACGTGAGATAGTTGAGGATGCCATGAATTACAGTCTTAACATTATGGGCCAATGCCTGAAGCGTGGAGATATGTATAAGCAGAGAGGGGCAAGACCAGTAGTTACAATCCTTGCATTCACTGATGAAGCAAATATCTTGGTGTATAGAGATCCTACCAAGTGTGGTCTTTTTGTGGAGGAATTAGGGCCTTGTGGGTTGGACACTGCTTCCTACCAAGCCATGGGTCAAGCAAAAATTGGCAACTTCTTGTATGCTGCAGGTGGATATGATGATAAATACTGTACTGTAGGAAGAGTCTTCATGTTTGATCCAAAGTATCGAGGCTGGACAGAGGTGGCATCAATGAATGAACCTAGAGTATCATTTGCTATGTGTAACTCTGACAACAGACTGTTTGTGGTAGGCGGAGTCAATCACACGATGGATGAAGAAACAAAAGAGGAAAGTGAGCAAGTTCTAGGATCAGTAGAGATGTACAACCCAGAGGACAATGTCTGGACCAACCTCCAACCAATGCCTTACAAATCCTCTGATCAAGCTGCTGTTTTTGCCAATGGCTGCCTGTATGTCTCTGGTGGGATAAGCTCTGAGCCGGATGATCCTGTGCCACTGAACTCTACTTGGTGCCTGAAGGTGGATGGATCTGAAGGATGGGTCCCCAAAGCTAATATGCTGAATGGTCGACAGGGACACAGCATCACAGCTCTGAGTGGCAAACTTTACACTATGGGTGGGTACACTGCCAAAGAGGATCGCATAACATTCAAGAATCAACTAAACTGTGAAGTCTATGACCTTGAAACAGGACAATGGACAGAAATTGCCCCCACTCCTGAGGCCTTTGGACATTTGTTCCCCTACAGCGATGCTTTGTTTGATAAGATATTTGTGATGGGGGGAATTCATACCAGTGTTAATCTGTACATCTATGATCCTGAAAGTGACACTTGGGAGGAAGCAGATGTAATTGGACCAAATGTACAAAAACTTGCCATCCTGGATGTAGCTTATCCTTATACATAACAGCTTTCAATGCAGTAGGATGAACTATTTGTCAATGTGTGTACATGCAAGTATCTAAGATGCTGTTTCACATAGTGAATTTTTTGTTGTTTTTGGCATTATATTAGTAGTGATAGATTGTGTTTAATCATTTTCTGCATTTGATGTCAAACAATCATTTTAGGTCGATCTTTATATTAGATCAAACCAGAATTGGTTTAATTGTTTGTTTTTATATTGGGGGTTGGGGGGGGGGGTATGCCTTCTAGATAAACAAAACCACAAACAATTTGGATTACTGACAATAATAATTTTGTTTAGTAAGCCAACACTAATTATCCTAAACACTTGGTTTTCCAATGATACATTTATACCAAGGATTGCAAGTGGGAAGAGAGGAAGGGGGCCTAATTGTCATTTGCTGCATTGATATTTAACCTGCCATACAAGGACATTTAGTTTTTTATTTTCTTCCAAGATTTTTTATAACATGAATCCTTTTTAATTTCTTTGTTCATTAACACGGTTGTTCTGGCATTTTATGTATTTGGTTGTGATTATAAAGCACAGGCAGTGCATCTAATAAACCTGTGCCTGCATTATACATGACTGTGTACTTACATATATCGATATTTTAATACAATTATCTTTAAGATATCAATCTGCATTTATAAAAAGTGTATTTTCTTGCCACTTTGTAGCTCATCTGCTGATATAATCTTTATACATGATGTTTGTCTGACAAGTTGATGATTGTGTATTTTTGCAGAATCCTGTATGTTTCTATCAATTTTATTTTTCATACCTATTATTTTTTTTTTTGCTGCTAGTTGATATATAGCCTTAGATAAAAAAAAAAAAATTTAAAGTCACAAAATGTAGTTTTATAGTTTTTCATTTTTGTTTAAGTACTGGGCATTAGTCTATACTAGAGTTGCATTGGATTAGTCAAAATATGCTGTACTTAATTTCCTTACAGAATAATGTATGTGATCATATGATATAGTGAAGTGGAATAACCAGATTGAATAAGTCAGATTCTCAAATTGTTCATTGTCATATTTAACTATATCACTGTTTATGTCTGTAGAGTAAAACTCAGTTACAAAGAAGTCGGTTATGAAGACACATCTCAGTCCGTAGGAATTTTTTTATGAATCCCGTTGGCAATTTTTCTGGATGTTCCTGAATCTCCTTTATAAGGAAGTAAAATTTGAAGTTCCAGTGACTTTATGACTGAGTTTTGCTGTATACCATAAAATTCAGTGCAACTCCTCGAAATTGAAATGTTGTTTACTTAAAATCGCCAGAAATAGCACATTTTTTTCTGTCTAAGATTACCGGTACATAGTAATATATATAATTTGCCCGAGTCCATTGTTATGCATTCCTATTAGAGAGTCTGTTGCCATCTTCTGTCATCAACCTGCATTCCATCAATAACCTGTTGGGAATTGAGTATTTTTTGTTGTTTAATTGTTTAATATTTTTAATTATTAATTTTTTTTAACATTCCACAGATCTGGTCAAGTTTTTAAATCTGTTACATAACAGGACTGTTTGTTCCATCAGTCATTACCGTTACGTCTTTCTAAATTTTCAACATTTTTTAGGAACAGTAAATAATTTATATTTTGTATAAATGCTTTACACATTTGAACTATTTTACACAATGACTGTATAAAGCTTTAGATATATAATATACTTGTATTTTGTTGCATTTTCTAGAATCTCTACCACTGATTCTAAATAAAGCTTTTAAATACATGTATGGTTTGTTAATCAGTTGTCACATACAGTCTAAATTTGTTACCTCATACTTGATGGGGTTAAAGATATCCAAGGTTTTGACATTTTGAGGTTTAAGTACATAAGTAAAATGTGATTGGGATGTCCAACTCAGATCAAAATATCCATTGTACCGGTATCTAAGGTATGGATGTTTGGGATAGTAAACTTCAATTGTAGTTTGTGCAGAAATTATCAGGTACCTAGTTTTATCAGCAAATCTATTTAAGTACATGTATTTTCGATCAAAAGGCAGAAACTGCAAAAAGGGACTCAGCTGACATGAAACTCAATCTGTGTATAATCACCTTGATATCTACAACTACAGCAGAAAATTTCCTGAAAACTTTTGAACAATTGGACTTAAGCCAGAACTATATAATGACAGGAGTTTAAAATGCATGTAATTTAAAATCAGATCATTTAACATTATAGTTCTGTGTGCTCTTTATTTTTCAAAAGTCAGCATATCAATTAAAAACAAGTCAGATATCATAAACACCAATTCAACAGGTCAGATATCATAGACACAAGTTGGCATATAAACAACAATTTAACAGGTCAGGCTCCAAGACCATAAACTGAACAGACTTAAGTCAAAAATACAAATCAATATAACATTTTGAATAATTTTGACAAAATTTTCATCATATGTTTGAAATTAAATGTTACACAAAATCGCAAATTTTTAAGCAATTACACTGAATAAAACGATATCAAAATTCAAAATTTTGACTTAAGTCTGTTCTCAGTTTATGGTCTTGGGGCCAGATATCATAAATCCAATAAAACTGTCAGATATAATGGACACCTACTGAACAAGTCAGATATCATAGACACCAGTTTAATAGGTCAGATATCTTGACACCAATTAACAGATCAGATATCAAAACCAATTAAACAGGTCATATATCATAGGCACCAATTAACAGGTTAGATATCATAGGCACCAATTAACAGGTCAGATATCATAGGCACTAATTTTAAAACAGGTCAGATATCTTGACACCAATTAACAGGTCAGATATCATAGTGACTATTACTTTTATCCTTTCATATTTTTGTCAATTGTTTTAATTTTAAAGGGAAAGGTCAATCAAATCTAAATTATAGCAAGTGCAGCAAGCTCAATAGACTAACGTGTAAGAACAGAGGAAATTCAAACTAAAATTTGTATATTTGTTGTCAAGCATATTTTGTGTGAAACCTTCGCAGAATTCTTTTGCTACCACAATTCCATTCGATAATTTGAAAGGCAAAACTATAAAAGGCCTGCAGTAATTGTGAAGATTGAGTTCTTGTAGAGAGCTTAAAAGAAACTAAAATCAATGGGAATTGCATCTACTCTATAATGCTTTCGTTAAAAAAAAATGCACTATCTAGACTCTGTTATGGAAGTGCAACTAACATGCGATGTCACAGTCTAGACTGTCTTGTGTGGTTTGAAGTTTGAAGAGGTGGATCAAAGTTAAAAGAGTAAGCTACATAAAGGATTTTAATGGTATACAATGTACAACTGCGCTTGCCCATAGAGTCGCACCTGACCATAAAATATATAAATCATATTTGATAATTGATTGTCTTAGAAACAGAGGAAGACCAATCTACTCACTTAATTCATGTGTTAAGCATATTTTCATACAGAAAAAGTGTATCCCATTAAGGCTTATAGCATTTATTTTTATCCTTTATCAACAACTGATTTATGTTCAGACTGATGATAACAAGCTCCACTTCTGTCTGAAGCAGTGTTTGGGAGTTCCTCAATATTAGGTTTGTGTTTCACCTTTTTATTAACCCGAAGATTGTTTTCTGTCACTGTGCCCATTAAACACTCATCTGAATCAGAATTTATATCACAGTCTGAGTCACTACAATGCTCTGAATCTGAGTCTTCCGAGATATCTCCATTTTGTTCCACCACTGCAATATTCTGAAAGATATCCAGGTTGCAAAATATAACTTGGATAAGAATATTTTTTCAAAAAAATAAAGCTTCGAGAACACTCTCGTAGGATTAAGATAAAGACTATGACATTAAGATAAAGACTATGATTTCACATGATGCAAGACTTTTCATCCTCAGATTTAAAAACAAACATCAAATAGTCAAATTATGAAGTTATTGAGTAGCATGATGAATGATGCCACTCGATCTTTATAAATCAATGGTAATATTAAGAGCTCTTCTTTTCAAAGCAACATACCACAAAATCTAATTCCACCTACAGAAGAGGTTTGAAAATGGTGCATATTAAGAACTAAAATGGCTCAATTGTGTGCTTGATACTTACTTATTAAAACATAATGAATCTGGATAGAGGAGAGTAAATTCAATAAATTAAGGGAGGTTATGATCTTACCATTTCTATGTAGCAGCCCTGGTCCTCTGTTTTTAATTTATTAAGGAAGAAGATGATCTTACCATTTCTATGTATTAGCCCTGGTCCAAGGAAGAAGATGGTCTTACCATTTCTATGTAGCAGCCCTAGTCCTCTGTTTTTCATTTATTAAAGACGAAGATGATCTTAACATTTCTATGTAGCAGCCTTGGTCCTCTTTTTTAATTTTTTAAGAAGATGATCTTACCATTTCTATGTAGCAGCCCTGGTCCTCTCTTTTTAATTTATTAAGGAAGAAGATGGTCTTACCATTTCTATGTAGCAGCCCTGGTCTGCTGTTTTTAATTTATTAAGGAAGAAGATGATCTTACCATTTCTATGTAGCAGCCCTGGTCCTCTCTTTTTAATTTTTTAAGGAAGAAGATGATCTTACCACTTCTATGTAGCAGTCCTGGTGCTCTCTTTTTAATTTATTAAGGAAGAAGATGGTCTTACCATTTCTTTGTAGCAGCCCTGGTCCTCGCTTTTTAATTTATTAAGGAATGAAATGGTCTTACCATTTCTATGTAGCAGCCCTGGTCCTCTCTTTTTAATTTACTAAGGAGGAAGATGGTCTTACCATTTCTATGTAGCAGCCCTGGTCCTCTCTTTTTAATTTATTAAGGAAGAAGATGGTCTTACCATTTCTATGTAGCAGCCCTGGTCTGCTGTTTTTAATTCATTAAGGAATGAGATGGTCTTACCATTTCTATGTAGCAGCCCTGGTCTGCTGTTTTTAATTCATTAAGGAAGAAGATGGTCTTACCATTTCTATGAATTGACCCTGGTCATCTGACACCTGTTCGATGTCTAATTCTTCTGTAGACTTATCCTGAAGAGCTTTGTTGGCCATTTCCATCTGAGGTAAGAAATCTCTTACTTGTGATAGAACTACAGTAAAACAAATTAAATGTCATTGTAGAAAATAACTTAGTGAATCTTCGCATACGCATGTGAATAAATACAATGTCCTTACTCAAAGAATGCACTTCACAGCACCCATCAGTAAGTGCAATTTTGATTACCAAAATTTTAATCACACCTTGCATGATTTATGTTAAACATGTACTGCAATACAAAAAGTGATCATTTGATATGAACAATGATGAATTACAGTAGAATCATAATTGTTCATGTGGAACCAATGTTCATGGGTCTCCCTTACCCACAAATTTACATCCTTATGAACATTAACAAATTTACTGCCCAGTTGTGATAACACAACAATCAGAAAGATTTACTGCATGAGAAATTGGATTTAAAAGTAATTGAAATAAAATTGTGATATATTTTAGTATCAAGTGGTAGTCTATATCTGAAGGATTACTTGAACTTGGAGGAAGTCTGAATGTTTTCTTCTCTGTTTTTTCTGGAGTCTTCTTTTTCTTCAGGTCGAAAATATTGGCTAAGTGACTACCTGAAATTAAAAAACAGGAATTTTTCATCCAAATCTGCTGAAATTCTCAAAGATACTTTTTTCCAATAGTTTTCTTCACTTGTCCAATCAGGCAACTGCCCAGCAGTACTTGTGACATTGTTCGTGAAAATTTTTCACTGACAGAAACTCTTGACAAAGTTGAGTCAATCCTGTTATGTTACTTGTGTATTACTCAAATTCTTTATTTTCATAGTATATTGTTTCTGTAAATGTAATACAATTTTTTTTAAAATAAAAAAATAATACCTTAAAACCTACCAGGGTACATGTATATGTTTTTTTAATGGGACATTTCAGTTTTCTTATTATACTTACTGTTACATATGACTTTGGAGTACCCGCATGCAACACATTTTTCTTGAACACTCGTTTTTAGGTGCTTACATTTGCATATGTATTCTCTCTATCTCTCAGGTCTGGTACCATCTTCTCAAGTCAAGGGTTTCAAATCCATTTTTCTCTACATAAACCACTAACCTAATAGACTAAGTTTGACGGGTTTACTATCACAGCATCTTGTGAGATTACACATTTTGAACTCTACTGACCTCTGCTATTGACCAATCAAAGTAAGTGAATTAAACAGAGAATGCGAGACAATATTGGAAGTTGGTAATAAATTCAACATAAATTTAACTAAAAAGCTGAGACAAACATTAGACTGAGTTATTCAATGGTAATGATGTTTTTGTTGGAACTAAAACTGGCATGTTTTTCTATTTATGATCTAGTTTCAGGTTAAATAAAACAACTTTTTTGTTTTTGCCTCATGAAAACTTGTATATTAAGGCCAATCAGAGAGCGCATTTCTAACCTGTCAAGCTTAGTCTATTCAGTCATGGGTTTATGTGGAGCAGACATGGCAGAGTGGATCAGAAACCCTTGACTTGGGAAGATGGTCCGATACAATTGCTACATTTAGCAACATAGTTTGGATTACCTAAGTAGCTTTATTTACCTACTAAATCATACCAGAGTCATAAATAATAGAGATTCACAACTCTGCCATTAACATATTTGTTTATTGAAATATGTGACGATCTTGGTGTTATCCTAAAGATATCTCTTTATTGCTTGTGTATTTCTATCAAAAGTTAACTTAATATTAATTTTATTATATATAGGTGTACGATTGGTAAAATTTTAAAACTTTATTGTTTTTAAAAGCAAACTAGGCAAATTAAAGAGGTCAATAATCGAAAGTCGGCAAAACTGTGGCGATATGACTGACCTTGAGTCATCTGTTGCAATTTTAGGTTTCTCCTTTGTTATTGTTTTAAATAAAGAAACTTACAAAAATATAACATCCTGAAAATTCAGACTTTGCACATTAATCCAAACCAATTTTTTTTCCGCAGTAACCTGTGGTCCCATAATGCTTTGCGAATTGCATCTACGTTCTCGTGGTAGCAACAGAAATTCAACAAAAATAAAATCACATTGAATAGATATTGCAGAGAAAACAGTAGCTTAAACATTCTTCATTAAAACTAACGCTGTTCAGGTAAGATTTTTTTATGCAACTTACATACGACGTCATGTGACCCCAGAGTCTAGATGTACCAAATGTCACGTGCGGTTTGAAGAGACAATGTAAATCAAAAACTGTATAGGTATCTACGCTCGCCCTAATGGTCGCACCATCTATATACTAGGGACCGCAAGATCACACAAGACTTCAAACAGTTGTGAATCTCTATTATTTATGTCTCTGATCATAATTACTTTTTAAATAAGCATTTCTTTTTGTGATGTACAAAAAAATCATACTTATGCAGTACATAATTATCAACTTTGAACTGATCTGAAAACAATTCATGGAAAAAATTACTCTTGAAGATGCGTTTCCTTCAGCGCAATTGAATCAAAGTTCTAAAGGTTTTGAGCTAATTACAACAAGTAAATTTTTCAACAAACAGTTACTTCTTAAATGAAACAGAAATTAAAAAAAGCAACCCAGAGAAAAGAAAGTTTAAACATCTCTGCTTTTGAACAACTGTTTGAGTAACTGTTAAATTAAGTGATTGTACTTGATCCGTCTCTCTCTCTCTCTTCACATCTAAAAATATTTGCTGTAGCTTGCATTTCTAGTCTGCGCCCTGAAACATGACACATGCTTTCACATTAAATAAATATATTCCAAACATGAATACTGTACCATTGTCCCTAATTTCGAGGGCAAGAAGTTCTGAGGATTGGGTTTTGTTGACACTTACGCTCCCCGTGGGCGCCGCCATCTTTAAATTGTAGTTCAGGTAAAATCAGGAGCATATTAACTAGTATACGTTTCTGGTAATATTTAAGAAAGTTACACTAAAAAAATTAAGCTTTTAAGTAATGGAATAGAATAAATAGAATAAAACAATTAAATATGTATAAGTTACATTGAAACTTTTAAGCAAAAACCTCTTAATAAGCGGATAAACCGGCTCGGTCCAAATTTACTACTCATTTTACCAACACTGGCAAATTAACTCGTTCTGAGTTTTGTTGAAAAGAAATAGTTGCAAAAATAAATTACCTCCAAAAATGAATAATAATTTATCAACGAAAGCAGGGATTCATCAATCTATCTTTAAATTTATTTCATTTTTATGCATTAATTCCCTTTTGCTTTTCAATATTCTAAAAACGAAATATTGTACGTATGAGTTGATAAAAGACTTACTGTTTTGACAGGTTGGCATTTCCAGTAGGATAATATACTTATAGAGCGATAATTAGAGGACAGAAATTGTAGATGTTTTATTTAAAAAAAATTATTTATATCTTTTTACAAATATCTTTTGAGAAAGAAACATCAAAAATTATATATAAAGCCATAGCTTGCTTTCTTTAGTCAGTAGTTTTGCACTGTATCTTATTCTTCAGTGTTCTTAGCCTCATAATACACAGGTCCAGCACAATACCCTGATAAAGGTATATAGCTTGATAAAGCTATATAGCTTTATCAAGGTATTACAAATACCTTGATCAAGGTAATTTATGTAATGAAATACAAAAAAAAAATCCTAAAAAAAAATAAATACTGAAAGTCGAGTTCTGAGTTGTTCTCGGTAAATTCACTCATGCATGTAAAGTACTTAAACACAAAGAAATCGGTAAAAAAGCATGTCGTGTGAGGAGACGTTCTTTTATGCTGTCTTTTTGATACCTGAGTACTTTTCATGCACGAGTGAACACACTGACCACAACTCATAATTTGACTTTTAAATTTAATTTTTTAGGAATTTTTTTTGTATTTTCATTACATAAAATACGTTGATCAAGGTATTTGTAATACCTTGATAAAGGTATATAGCTTTATCAAGCTATATACCTTTATCAGGGTATTGTGCTGGACCTGATACAATTACATGCATATTGCTTCTTTTTTCATAACCAGAAATATAAGACATTCTGATCTGAATGGAGGCTTTTAAGCCTATAGGCCTCTGTAGGAAATGAACTGATTATTGTCAGTATAATAAACATATTCTAAATATTCTTACTTCCAGTAAAGTTGAAGAAGCTGGCAAGGATGTAAGTGGATAATGGCTGATGGGAGAGCAGGAAGCTACAACCTTCGAAGCCGCCGAAAAATGGTTCCCAATACCCCTGACCTACTTACTCAGACGTCCCCATCTGACCATTCCTCCATTATTCCTCAACACAAAGCTAAACCTAACAATGTGATAGAGCTTCAGGGCATCATTCCACATCAGAATGGGCACCATGGCAGAGGGGAGAGTGATGTTTATCTTGGATCTGAAGAGGAAGAGACTGTGTTTGAACAGACAAGTTTAACTCAGCCATTGTTGTCAGGAGATTCTCCCAGTGATGGAGAAACAAGTGTAAAAGAATCTCAAGTGCAGCTAAAAGAAAAAGATGAGGGTTCATTCAGCATTGCCCTACAAGTATTTATTCCATACATTATTGCAGGATTTGGGACTGTTGGTGCTGGTATGGTCCTAGATGTTGTTCAGGTAAACATCACAGTTAAAGATTTCTTGAAAGCTAAAAAAAAATATCATGTACAGTCAAATCTTATTATCAAGAACTTGATTGGACAGAGAATAAATTTCAAGATATCTGAGAGGTTAAAGATTTCGAGGTTAAAATAGGTAAAGAAAAAATTGGTTCATACTGTTCGAACTCACTTTGGCATAAATCCATGGTATTCAGGATATCAATGTTTGAGATACTAAGGTTCACTGTATGTTGTCGAACGTTTTCATACACATTGAAATTTGAAAGGTCTTGCTAAATTACACATCTATATTTATGTACCCAAATCAAAGAAACAAAATTTGTGATAAGAGATGTCACAATTTTCAAAATCATCCTTGTTTACATTTGTATCTTTTTGTCTGTTTCCTACATGCTGTGTCTTACCTCTACAGCACACAGATGTTTTTATACAAGTATCTGAGATCTTCATCCTCGTCCCCTCTCTCTTGGGATTGAAAGGAAATCTGGAGATGACATTAGCCTCAAGACTATCTACTCAGGTGAGTGAATTAGAGATTCCTGTGATTTAATACTGTTAAATTGTGCAATCATGTCTGGATTAATTTAAAAGTATGACTGAACATATAAATTGAGTGTTTGAAGTTGAAATAAGATGATAAGATTGTCTTTTTTTTAGGCAAATTTAGGGAATATGGATAAAAAATCTGAGCAGTGGAAGATGATTGGTGGCAATATGGCTCTTGTACAGGTAAAATTCAAAACATATAAATCACAATATAGTTCTCTTCACAGCAAATTTAGAATATGTCCCTTATACAAGAAGAACCCGGCCTGTTTTCAGTTTATATATTCAGGGCTGTCCCTAAAAATCCAAATAGTCCCTAGGGGACATTATAAAATGTAGAAGGGGGTATGGGTTTCCTCCCCTAAAAGGGGTTTGAAGAGGAATACCAAAATAACTAGGGATTACATCATAATAGGTGGGGGAAATTCTCCAGCCCCTGGGTCTTAGGAACAACCCTGTTTTATTGTAGTAACATTTTCTTTATATGGAAATTGAAATGATTAGGCCATTTTGGAGGTATATGTGACCATGTGTATGTCAATTTGCAAGTTCATGTAGTTGTTCCTCAGTGTACCCCTAGCTTGATTTTACAATGCTGTGGTATATGTTCACTGACAGGATAAACTGTTATACTTTCCTCCTCAATTGCAGTGCCAAGCAATAGTGGTAGGATTTTTGGCCTCTGTGGTTGCCATGATAATGGGGTGGATACCCGAGGGAAAATTTAATGTTCACCATGGCCTCTTGTTGTGTGCCAGCAGTGTACTAACTGCTGCTGTGGCCAGTTTTGTATTAGGTAAGTTATGGAAGTTTTTGTAAAGATTGTCTTCAGTAGAGTTTGGCATTATGGCTCTATATACTGTAAATTCCTTATTTTACGCGAGTACTTAATATCACGAAATGGCCCAAGAGCGTCAAATTGCGGGAACAATAATTCGCGAATCGGTGATTTATCTAGAGATTTTACATACATTAAAGCACCATAAAAATAAAAGCGAGTAATTTTATTTCGCGAATGGTGCTTCTTGAGTAATTACGCGATAATTTATTCCTCGCGTATATTTAGGAATCTACAGTAATCATTTTACCAAAGAAAAAGGGGGGGATAAATTTTTTTAAATTACAGATTTTATTCACCAGTATCTAGGAAAGAGTTACCTGAAAGAATCTTATGATCTAGAAATTAATTTGTAGGAAGATATATATTCATTTAAAGGAAAATGTTATGGAAATTGTCTAATCGCTAGGTACCATTTCATGTCTTGAGTTGTAAAATAAAGGTTCTTAATGTTTAATAATCATTATAGGTAGTCATTTCTATAATTTTTTGTAAAATACATGTATCTCATACATACTATCAGTTGTGATGACCTTTGTGTACTTCTCTGTTTTACAGGTGCTTTAATGGTTTTAGTAATTTTGGTGTCAAGGAAATTAAAAATAAATCCAGACAATATAGCCACCCCTATTGCTGCTAGTCTAGGGGACTTGACCACACTGTCTCTTCTTGCTGGGGTTTCCATGCTGCTGTTTAAAGCAATAGGTAGGCTTACCTGTGCAATTGAAATCTGATGGTAATTACACAGTTGCAGTGTACAGTCCATGGGATTTTCCAATAAAAATTTCTAAGTATTGAAAACAGTCTAGGTTTTAAGTAAGGTACAGTTAAAAAAAAAAGATGTTTTTATGTAAAATTTAACAGGTACCCAAGTGTGGTTGGCACCGACCATCATCGGTGTATTTCTGGTGCTAACCCCTTTGTGGGTGTACATATCTGTCAAAAACCACTACACAAATGACGTCATCTACTCCGGGTGGACACCAGTGCTCAGCGCAATGGTCATCAGCAGGTAGGGAATAAAATCTAGTGTAAATTTTCATTTCATTCCCATCAGAAAGACCAATGAATGACTGTGAATTGTGAGCAGAATGTTATTCCAGATAAAATTCTTACTAATACTGTGTATATTAAACATAAGACCTTTTGAATGCTAAGCTATTAAAATTAATATATGTATATATGAGCTAATTGTACATAGAACAGAGCATAGAGAATGAAACAAATATACAAAGAGATATTATTTCAGTGTTGGAGGCTTGATTTTGGATTACACTGTAGCTAATTACCATGGTATTTGCTTATTCCAGCCTGTTATTAAAGATATCTTATTATTCATTATTTTAGTGTTGGAGGCCTGATTTTGGATTACACTGTAGCTAATTATCATGGTATTGCTGTATTCCAGCCTGTTATTAATGGTAAGAAACTTGACATAATGTTATCTAGATCAATCTCTGAACACCAGTGTTTTCTATAGTGGAATTTTAGTACATGTATGCCAAACTCTGACACATCAATTACCATGAGTAAAATGATGTGGGTCAGCAGTTCTAATTGTTTTATGAATTTTCTCAATTCCATTTTCTTTTGTAATCTCAGAGTTTTTGACTGTCTTGCCATGTTTCACATATTATGGTTTGACTGTATATATCAGCCTGATAAACTGTCATGTAGTTTATGGTGAAGTACAAAATAAATAATTAATGTGACAAAATTGATATAACTTCTCAGTACAGTAAAACTCATTTTAATACAAACACAGATGTATTGAATTTACGAATATAGCAAAGATTTTGGAATCCCCAGCAAAATTCCAAATTCCTTGTAAATTTTTATGGATATAACAAACTCAAATATAGTGAATTAACAGATATAGCGAACTGATTTTCTGTTCCCTGGGGGTTAAAAATAAGGAAATTTACCTCTTTTATAGCAAATTCTCAAAGATCTCAATTTTTAAAATATTGAACTGACACTTTTTTTGTAAGTATTTTAATTTGAAATTCAATTCATTAGAAAATTTTTGAACTTTAAGGTAACTTTTGTATTTAATACTTCCCAAAATATATTTGGTAGTCATACATGAATGCTCTATAATGCAAAATTTAGTGATCATATACAATACATATGAGAACACATATGAATAATGATGCATAAATATCTGAACTGAGGAAAAAATTACCATATGTTATAAATTGCAGAAAATTAATCTCTGACACCATAGGATTCTTCTTTCTACAGGTGTAGGGGGTAATCTGGTAGCAGTACAGGCAAGCAGAATAACAACTTCTCTGCACATGACAGGAAGTAAACCTGGAAAACTCCCCTCTGGTGCTTTGAGAGGTTGTCCCAATCCTGGGGGAGCCTTCTGTGGGACAAGTAAGATAATTTGTTACATTCAGCTCTCTTTTTATAGTCACTCTGAGTGGTTATCCCAATCCTGGGGGGAGTATTCCTATGGACAAATAACTTGTTACATTGGGATTTCTTTGTTAAAGTCTCTCTGATTGGTTGTCCCAATCCTGGAGGAACATTCTGTGGGACACATGGTGATAAACAGAATTTGGTTGAGGATTATTTAATTATATTTAACTTACATCTGTACTTGAATGAGATTGCATTGTACTTTTCCTTTTTTCAGCCTTGAATTCTCGAGCAGCCAGAGTGCTGATTGCTCTAGTTATACCTGGACATTTAATATTCATGGTCACTATTTCCTACATGAAGGCAGGACATACCAGTATTACCTGGACGTTTGCTCTTTTCTACCTCACCGCTGCACTTCTTCAGGTTAGATCAGAGTTATCATAGACATGGAGGCCACAATATGTTTATAGGCCGAAAATTTGACTTCAGTTTATGAAAATAGAAGATGGAAGACACAAATAAGAAAAAAAGCTTATACTAAATTGATTAAATTTTTTGGCAATTTACTTACCTGTAATTTAAGAACAGATCTGAATTAAAATAAATGTGTATGAAAGATGGGCAGTATTTCAATTGACTTCCTTTGTTTATTCTTAAGATTCAGTGCATTTAATAGCATTATGAAAGATTGGCAGCATTTAGATTGTCATTCTTTATGAAAATAAGATTGTCATTCTTTATGAAAATACAGTGTATTTAATTACACACATGCAAATTACATTGGCACTCAGAACAGATTTAATTATTACATATGAATTATGATTTCAACAGTATTCTGTTTTCCTATTTATGTATCACTCCGCACTAAGGTCCCTATGTAAAAATCATTTTGTAGGTGGTAATATTGCTGTACATTTGTCATTGGATGATCCACTTCATTTGGAAGCTTGGGGATGACCCTGACAATGTGGCCATTCCCTACCTAACTGCCATCGGAGATCTCCTAGGCACAGGTTTCCTCGCCATTGCTTTCCATCTTCTGTATCTTGTGGGAGATAAAGACGCGGATCTCGGAGATTAAACTCACGGAGCCGGAGATTAAACTCAAGGAGCCAGAGATTAAACTCACGGAGGCAGAATGCTTGAATAAATGGCAATAATATCTGATATTGAACTCATGAAGCAAGAAAGCTCTGATAAATGGCAAGCTCAAAGATAATAATCGACAATGAATCCATGATGAGGTTAAAGTGCTATAATATATGCCATAATTTTTTCCCCATGAAAGTTGTTAATGAATGTTTATTTTGTAAGCAATGGTTTTTAAATAAGAAAATTCCCCAGTTGATCCCTTGTCTTCCTGTTATCCATGGCATTGAAATGACTTTTATTTGCATTTATTTACGTCATTTTAAAAGAATAAAAACTGTGACTGTAGTATTGTTTATTGATAAGTGAAAAAATACTCTGAAGAAAATCTAGTCAGTCTAAAGTATGTGTTGATTCTGTGCTGTAGAAGACAGGCAGTAGTAGATTAATAATGAAAATATGTGCAATCATGCTTTGATGTTTTAAAGAATTTAATTTTTAAGCTTTATGTTAACTTATTCACCTTGAAGAAGCTTAGTTGGGCAATTGAAATTGATTTATAGGGTATTAAAGCAATTATGTAATCTTTGTTGAAGACGTTGCTGATCATTTTAAAAAGAACTCCAATAATTTACAATTCACAATGTATGTACCTTTTGCATGAAACATGGGTCTTAATATAATCTGGAGAATAATATGAATAAAAAAATAATCTTGGTTATGGAGCCTAGCTTAGTATAATGTGATAATATGCGATATTCTATGCAGATGTATACAAGATACAGGGGATGTAAGCAAATTTTTCTGTGTTACATACTTAACTCTGTGTGTTTTATTTACTTGTTCGGCCACAAAACATGACAGTTTCTATGATGGATTTGATAAACAGAGTATATATATATTTTTGATGTACATTTAACTAGTAGATGCTATTTTTCAGTCCTTGTTTCTGTGTACATTGTTTTACTTATTTAGACCTATTGTTTGGAGAGGGTTATTTATTAAATGTATCAACTAAGACAATAAGCTGTGATGTCATAAGTGTTCTTTGTCAGGTCAAAGGTCACCGTCATGTCATAGATCACGATCCTGTTAGGAGTCTAATTTTGTCAAGTTTCAATTGTTGCCTGCTATGCATGTATGTTTTTCAGTATTTAAGATCCCAGATCTTGTATCACATTGCCATATCAGAATCACCGTACATGTACTAGTTTATAGATATACAGTAGTTTTGCCTATCCCCATGTGTTACAGAACCAGGGGTGCGTTTTACGAAGGAACTTACGACTAAGACCAAAAAGTTAGGTTAATTGTAAAATCTTGCAAAATGAATTATTCTGTGAAAAACTGATTGTGTACAAATATCTTTCTTAATTCTTTATTTAAAAGATTCAAGTCATTTTCAAATAAATGTAAATTAGAAAGTTATTCACAAAATTACATTTTGGTCTTAGTCGTAAGTTCTTCTGTAAAATGGAGCCCAGCACTGTAGATTAATGATATCATATGAATATACACTGTAAATAATCCTGATGTTTTATGAGTGATTTTAATTCTTGATCAGTCTGTGATATAATAATATTGAGTAAAAGGGAGGTTGTATTTGAAGTTGAATGATTTGGAATAATATTTTGTTAATGTAAATTCACACGAAGGTAAATCAAGTTTCAACATGTCTTTGTCTTTAGAAGATTCAATATACTTAATTTAAATATATTAAATTCTGATTTAATTCTGTTGTATATAATATTGAAACTTTTAAGTTAGGTTTTTGATATTTTGGTATTTTGCAATTCCTCAAACGTTTGACACATTCCTCAAGCTCCTTGTTCAGATTTACCCATACTTTAACTGTTATGGTCCTTTCTGTATTTTATGATTTTATGTCAACCAATTAAATATAAGGAAAGATGAGCAGTATTTGTTTCTTTTCTCTGACAATCCATCCATTGAGAGTGATTTTTACACAGTATTTGCATAAATAGAAAGAAATAGAGGATATTCAGTGTTTTGTAGATGAATGAGGAATTTATTTCATGAATGGGTTAGGATTTTTTTTTATATTTTCATGTGTGCGAAGCACGAGTGAAAATATAAAAAAATCCTGTGTCATGAGTGAGAAATAAATTCCATATTCATCTAAAAATATTGAATTTTCTGTTCGTTACATTTTCTTTGATTTTCCCTTTGATTTTGTCTTTTCATAACAGGGGTGTCATAGGCTGTGACGTCGTAGTTGAGGGGTTAAGACATCATAGCTATGCAATTGCGAGATTGAAAAACGTTGTAAAGATGTAAACATGGATTTTTAACATGTTTGGAGAAACTTTAGCAGTTTTAGTCTCTGTCAGGATGGTTCATTTACTCTCTATCTTATAACAGGCCAACAAGTTTTTTTAAACACTCTTCGTGATGGGAAGGAAAATCTCGAGTTTTGCCGCACTTCTGACATTCTCACACTGTGAGAATACCATTTTGATATCCTTTTATACTGTGTCAGAATATCACAGTGACTTTTATTCAGTAAATAAATTACAGTATTTCACTGTTGAAAATTTAATAAAGATATATATCTGGGTGCAGCAAATGCTCTACAAAGTCCCTATCTTTACTCCTTACAAAATATCAACTGCTGTGAAGGAGAAACTTCATATGTACTGATATCATAGACAACTACTTCTTAAATAACAAGAGGCCCATGGGCCATAACGCTCACCTATGTAACTTTGGCCTTGCTGTTTTTCACCTGAGTTCCCTACTTGTAGTACTTATTGTAGCCCCGCCCTACCCCCGGGGGTCATTATTTGAACAAATTAGAATCTACACTACCCCAGGATTTTTCCACATAAGTTTCAGCTTTTCTGGCCAAGTGGTTCTTGAGAAGAAGATTTTTAAAGATTTTTTACTACATATTTCAATGTAAAACTTGGATTCCCTATTGAGGCCCCGTCCTACCCAAGGGGTCATGATTTGAACAATTTAGAATCTACACTACCCCAGAATGCTTCCACACAAGTTTCAGCTTTTCTGGCCCAGTGATTCTTGAGAAGAAAATTTTTCAAATTTTTTTTCTACATATTTCAATGCAAAACTTGGATTCCCTATTGTGGCCTTGCTCTACTCCCAGGGGTCATGATTTAAACAATTAAGAATCTACACTACCCCAGAATGCTTCCACATAAGTTTCAGCATTTCTGGCCCAGTGGTTCTTGAGAAGAAGATTTTTAAAGATTTTTACTTTATATTTCAATGTAAAACTTGGATTCCCTATTGTGGCCCCGCCCTACCGCCGAGGGTGTTGATTTGAACAATTTAGAATCTGCACTACCCAAGAATGCTTCCACATAAGTTTCAGCTTTTCTGGCCCGGTGGTTCTTGAGAAGAAGATTTTTAAAATAATCTCGATATATTTCAAAGTAAAACTTAGATTTCCTATTGTGGCCCCACCCTAACCCCGGGGGTCATGATTTAAACAATTTAGAATCTACACTACCCCAGAATGCTTCCACATAAGTTTCAGCATTTATGGCTCAGTGGTTATTGAGAAGAAGGTTTTTAAAGATTGTTCCTATATATTTTAATGTAAAACTTGGATTCCCTATTGTGGCCGGTGGTTCTTGAGAAGAAGATTTTTAAAATAATCTCTATATATTTCAAAGTAAAACTTAGATTTCCTATTGTGGCCCCACCCTACTCCCAGGGGTCATGATTCAACCAGTTAAGAATCTACACTACACTAGGATGCTTACAAAGTAAAACTTAGATTTCCTATTGTGGCCCCACCCTACTCCCAGGGGTCATGATTCAACCAGTTAAGAATCTACACTACACTAGGATGCTTCCACTTACGTTTCAGCTTTTCTGGCCCAGTGATTCTTGAGAAGATTTTTAAAGATTTTTTTTTCTACATATTTCAATGCAAAACTTGGATTCCCTATTGTGGTCCCGCCCTACTCCCAGGGGTCATGATTTGAAAAATTTAGAATCTACACTATCCGGGATGCTTCCACATAAGTTTCAGCATTTTTTGCCCAGTGGTTCTTGAGAAGAAGATTTTTAAAGATTTTTACTTTATATTTCAATGCAAAACTTGGATTCCCTATTGTGGCCCCGCCCTAACCCCGGGGGGTTTGTTTTAATCAATTTAGAATCTACACTACCCCAGGATGCTTCCACTTAAGTCTCATCTTTTCTGGCTCAGTGGTTCTTGAGAAGTAGATTTTTAAAGATTTTTTACTATATAAAAATTATTTCAATGTAAAACTTGGATTCCCTATTGTGGCCCCGCCATAACCTCGGGGGTCTTGACTTGAACAATTTAGAATTTACACTACCCCAGGATGCTTCCACATAAGTTTCAAATTTTCTGGCCCAGTAGTTCTTGAGAAGAAGAAGTTTTTAATGACCCCGCCCTATTTTTGTCTTTTCTTGATTATCTCCCTTGGAAAGGAGCTTGGTCCTTCATTTTAACAATTTAAACTCCCCCTTACCCAAAGATGCTTTGTACCAAGTTTGTTTAAAATTGGCCCAGTTGTTCTTGAGAAGAAGTTGAAAATGTGAAAAGTTTACAGAGCGGACAGACGGACGGACGGACGGACGACGGACAATGGGTGATCAGAAAAGCTCACTTGAGCTTTCAGCTCAGGTGAGCTAAAAATGGAATTCAGAAATATCCATAACTTGTTTATCAACAAATGTTCATTCTCTATAGGGTCTTTTTGAGGCTTACAATGACTCCAAAATTTCAAACAATATTTTTTTTTTCACTGAAAAACTGCATGACTCACCAGGTTAAAGATTCAATTTAAGGATAAATGTTGTTTGGTTATTGATGCTATAGTATTTGATATGATAAAGGGACACAAAGTATAATGTATTATCGGTCCGTATTAGGATAAGGGGAACGGGAAAACAAGAGGGTAGGTGTTTTTGGCAACTCTTCACATTAACCAACACCAAAATTTGCATGTAAACTTGAGTACAATTTTTAAACCGAAGTAGGCTACTGACAGATAAGTTGATGTTACAGGGTTTTCAATAAGCTCGTTTAAGGTCAGCATTTCGTAAATTCTATGGTCATTATAATGACCTTGTTGGGTCATATTTTGGCTAATGTGTTACATACCAATTGTTAGGCCTTTGTTTTTATACTCTAAAATGTTCTGTCTACCTGATCAATACATAGGGCTCATGGCGGGTGTGACCAGTCAACAGGGGATGCTTACTCCTCCAAGGCACCTGATTGCACCTCTGGATTTTCCGTGGATCCGTGTTTGATGTCCTGTTTGCAGATTTGTATTATTTGTAGGTTTTGCAGCCAAATTAAGATTTAGACTCTGAAATTTAACGAAAGTATTACCGAATTACTGACCTGACACAGCAGATTCCAAAAGTGCTGGAATTTATTACAAAAATACTCAAATTAAAAAACAATGTTTCTCAAAGCTCACAATATTTAGGAATTCTGCTTTTCTGACTAGCTAATACATTGTACTCGTATCTCTGACTAGCTAACACAATAATGTACATATACGTTATATATATTGTACCGATATCACTGACTAGCTAACACAATAATGTTTATACGTTATGTATTGTATCCGTGTCTGACTAGCTAACACAATAATGTATATACATTATATATTGTACCCATGTCTGACTAGCTTACAATAAAGTATATACGTTATATATTGTATCCGTGTCTCTGACTAGCTAACACAATAATGTATATACGTTATATATTGTACCCGTGTCTCTGACTAGATAACACAATCATGTATATACGTTATATATTGTACCTGTGTCTCTGACTAGATAACACAATCATGTATATACGTTATATATTGTACCCGTGTCTCTGACTAGATAACACAATAATGTATATACGTTATATATATATTGTACCCGGGTCTCTCACTAGCTAACACAATCATGTATATACGTTATATATTGTACTCATGTCTCTGACTAGATAACACAATAAGTATATACGTTATATATTGTACCCGTGTCTCTGACTAGCTAATACAATTATGTATATATACATTATATATATTGTACCCTGTCTCTGTCTAGCTAACACAATAATGTATATACGTTATATATTGTACCCGTGTCTCTGACTAGCTAACACAATAATGTATATACGTTAAATATTGTACCCGTGTCTCTGACTAGCTAACACAATAATGTATATACGTTATATATTGTACCTGTGTCTCTGACTAGCTAATACAATAATGTATATACGTTATATATTGTACCCGTGTCTCTGACTAGCTAACACAATAATGTATATACGTTATATATTGTACCCGTGTCTCTGACTAGCTAACACAATAATGTATATACGTTATATATTGTACCCATGTCTCTGACTAGCTAACACAATAATGTATATACGTTATATATTGTACCCGTGTCTCTGACTAGCTAACACAATAATGTATATACGTTATATATTGTATCCGTGTCTCTGACTAGCTAACACAATAATGTATATACGTTATATATTGTACCCGTGTCTCTGACTAGCTAACACAATAATGTATGTACATGTACGTTATATATTGTATCGTGTCTCTGACTAGCTAATACAATTATGTATATATACATTATATATATTGTACCCTGTCTCTGTCTAGCTAACACAATAATGTATATACGTTATATATTGTATCGTGTCTCTGACTAGCTAACACAATAATGTATGTACATGTACGTTATATATTATACCAGTGTCTCTGACTAGCTAACACAATAATGTATATACATGTACGTTATATATTGTACCCGTGTCTCTGACTAACTAACACAATAATGTATATACGTTATATATTGTACCCGTGTCTCTGACTAGCTAACACAATAATGTATGTACATGTACGTTATATATTGTACCCGTGTCTCTGACTAACTAACACAATAATGTATATACGTTATATATTGTACTCATGTCTCTGACTAGCTAACACAATAATGTATATACGTTATATATTGTATCGTGTCTCTGACTAGCTAATACAATTATGTATATATACATTATATATATTGTACCCTGTCTCTGTCTAGCTAACACAATAATGTATATACGTTATATATTGTACCCGTGTCTCTGACTAGCTAACACAATAATGTATATACGTTAAATATTGTACCCGTGTCTCTGACTAGCTAACACAATAATGTATATACGTTATATATTGTACCTGTGTCTCTGACTAGCTAATACAATAATGTATATACGTTATATATTGTACCCGTGTCTCTGACTAGCTAACACAATAATGTATATACGTTATATATTGTACCCGTGTCTCTGACTAGCTAATACAATAATGTATATACGTTATATATTGTACCCATGTCTCTGACTAGCTAACACAATAATGTATATACGTTATATATTGTACCCGTGTCTCTGACTAGCTAACACAATAATGTATATACGTTATATATTGTACCCGTGTCTCTGACTAGCTAACACAATAATGTATATACGTTATATATTGTACCCGTGTCTCTGACTAGCTAACATAATAATGTATGTACATGTACGTTATATATTATACCAGTGTCTCTGACTAGCTAACACAATAATGTATATACGCTATATTGTACCAAATGTATATCAATTTATAATTTGGTATGAGTGAATTGATTGAACTCAGTATGTCCCCCAAAACTGCTACAAATTATCTCATTTATAGATAGCAATTCCATCTACATCGCTTTAAATAAGTATGACCAAGATTGATACAATGATCTAGTCGCCAAGTCGAACACTTTTATACATGGTATTGAATTTTAGATCATTAATGGTTTAAACAATTAATGCACCACAACATGCTTACAACTATGTTAATTTTAAAATAAGCTGTGTTAAGTGCATCAAGACTAACATTTTATGATAAATAATATGACATTTGTGTTTTAAACAACAACTGAAGTAAGAGACTTGTTTTAAAATACAGATATTGTTTTTGTTTGGGAGATGTTCTGTGACACGACAAACACGATGATTGGCAAAGAATACTGAAAACAAGAGGAAAGATATTGAAAACAAAAGGAAAAATATAATAAAACTAAGCAATCATTTTACTTATGGATATCTTCATCTTCAGAGAAATCAAGTCAACTTCAGTGTATAGAATGCCCTGACTGTAATAAAGATTTTGAGAATAAAACCTAGTAAAACAGACAAAATCACAAATTAAAACCTTTTGAACTTTTGTTTTAAAAACAACTAACTTAGTCATTTACATATAAAATTCGCATTACCTTTATTTTTTTCGCATGAAGTGGCCAATCACAATACTTAATTATCATTGCACCTTGTTCTACCTGTTAGGTCAATTACGCTTGTTGTAAGCTTTTCTTTTAAATATTTCTTTTGTAAATCAAATGTTTCCGTTCATTAACACGATTTAGCTTGTATTACACTTTTTGCCCAGACTTAAAGATAATTTTTATGTTAATTGTCGCACTTCAGCTGAGGCGCGCTCATCAAGAGGATGAACACATTTATTTCTGGGACTTTCTTCTTCGTCTTTTTCTGTCATACTGGACATTTACAGAGAAATGGTATGTTTTTACAAAGCAAGCACAGTTTTGTACTTTTGAAATGTGCACACAAACGAATTTTCAATCTATTCTTAACTTACCTATAATTGTTGAATTCATGATTTATATTTGATTTGGTCAAAGTGTAGAATAAAGTTTAAAATTTAAAGTTCAAAATGTCAAAAAAGATAGCTCATCCAGCAAGTTTACAAGGAAAAGTTTTAAAATACTGTAAAATATACCATTTTTGGGAAGCATTAAATAAACGAAGGCTATATACTTTGTATATCAATATTTTCTTCATTTTTGGTTTTCAAATTCTTTTAAGGCCATGGTAACTCCATTTTTCAAAACCAAGCGAGGTTTCCACGATGTACGTCGGTCTGTAGTTCTATTCCATTGAGCACTCCTAGACACTGCATCTCAAATGGAAGATTGTATTGGTTTCGCGGAAGATTTTGCCGAGGATGTGATTGGGTCAGATCAGGGTGCGCCAACACATGTAATGGAGTAAACTGTGCAACAGACAATAGTCCTCCTTACTGCTATAGGAACTGCCCTTACATTAGTCGAGGAATGCCAAGACATTGTATTATACCAGGTGCAATTGTTAACAATCAAGGTTTTCTATGTAGATTATGTGACAGAATCCAACCGACATGTTCAAGATTGGCATCTCGTTTTATTCCACGTTGTCCAGTTAGATGTAAAGAAGTGATGAACGGAACCCCTGAACACTGTATCACGCGAGGACGAGTGATGAACTATCGTGGTCGGCCATGTAGGCTATGCGACACGGTTGATTTCGGTTGTGTGAGAAAAGGTCTTTCCATTTGTGCTGAAGCCCTGGAAACCTGCAAGACGGCACCAAAGGGTATGCCGGATTTTTGCATATCTCAAAACATTACAAGTACACCAGCGACACCGCCATGTTTAACGTGTCCAATCATTAGTAATTCCAGTATGTGCAGATTCCCGCCTTGCCAAAGATGCACACCACTTACAAACATAACTACGGTTCCACCTGAATGTATCAAAGATGGCGATATTGTGCAAATTCCTGGATACCACTATAGATGTAGCCTCTGTCCTTACATTGACCCCTTTTGTTCTGAACTTGAAGTTACTATCTGTGGAAATCAGATGGCAAATTGTGTCGGCACACCAGTCGGAACACCTCAGCGATGTATCGACCAATCTGTGCATATATTTTTAGGAAGTCCCTGTCTTTCCTGTCCGATCCTGAAAACCGAAGAACCCGGATGTGTAAAGGAGGCATATGATATTTGCTCGGGGTTTGTGTGTCCGCGTGTTACAAGACAAACTGTCATGTGCTTTGACAAAGGCCCTTTTTCGAATGCCCCGAATGCCACATGCAAAACTTGTCCAATTTTACACAGGCACAAACATAATTTGTGTGCAACAATCAATTCCTACCAGCGATTTTGATATGTGTGTGTTCCAAAATATCATGTAAAAATAAAACAAAGCATGCTGTGTCCGTAGCTGTAAAAGCTAGGGATTATTTAGAAAAAAATAAATTCACTGTTGGGGCCAGTGTGTGTATGCAAACAGATTCTTGTAAGTTTTGAATTTGTATTGGAATGTGAACAGTCATGTACTACGATTTTTCTCCGAATATTCTGTAGATATGTAGATATACATGTATATGTATTATTTTCATATTTTATCTTTTATATATATATATGTTGCATGTTAGTTTTCTTATATATCTTATTCTTTCTTAATGACCGTATGTTATCGATAAGAAACTAATCTTTCAAACTTTTTAATTATAAAAAAAAAAAAAATTGCCCAAATATCGAACATCTGAAACAAAATCCTCCTTTGTGTTCATAATCTTCACCCTGCAACTATCGTTCTGCTGGTAAATACGTGAATACTGTTAATAATGAGGACTTTATATCATTTATTTTTTAGAAGTTATTTTTTAAAATTTAGGGAACCCCAGTTTTTCAACTGGCGTCAAAATTTCATAAATATTATGAATTCTGTCGAGGATTACGCCAGGCAATGGGCCAAACATGAAAAAGAAGACACAGACACTTTGTCAGAATAGATTAAGAGTGTTAGATGGATGTCGAAATCTCGCATAACGGTTGAGGGGCAATATTAAAACCATCTATCCTTCTGTCTTCAATAATTCAGAAGTGAAAAAAGAATTATATAGACTACACGATCAATATGTACTGGTCATAGCTGACAAAGCAGGTAACAACATTGTCTTTATAAGGCTCATTATTTTCATTGTATTATAGAGGGATTTGGATTTAATTCTGCAAGTGGTAATCCAACTTATACGCCCTGTCCCCTTTCTAAGGAGGAAAATTTTCAAAAGCATATATCAGTTTTAATTATATTTAATATTCCGAACATCCAAATTGAATTTGAATTATCATACCTATACTGGATTTCTAAACTACATAAAAATCCTTACAAAGATACGTAGTGGGTTCTAGTAAATGTTTTACCAAGCTTCTTTCTCACCAAAAATATTAACAGCAGTAAAGGAGAAACTTAGAGCACTTTGCAACAATATATTCGAGTGGTGTAAATCAGATGTGGATACATTAAAACTCCAAAGAACTTCTAGAAAATCTGAAATCCCAAAAATTACCAAAATCAATAGCATCAAAACATACGACTTTTTAACCCTTTGTTCAACCTTTTCCAGCGATAAATTAAAGACCAGACTTTATGACATCATAGACAACTGCTCTTTCAATAAAAATGGAACTCGTAAATTTACATACCTTTTCATTGGTCATCTGCAAAAAAATATTTTGTTAAAATCAGTCTGATTCTACACACAAGTACTTCTATAAGTTTATATTTAAAGATGCTTGAGTTTCTGATTGACAACATCTATGTACCTTTTTGGAATCAGATCTTACAACAATCTGTTGGAATTTCTATGGAAACTAATTGAACCCCGTTATTACCAGACCTGTTTTTGTATTCATATGAAGCAGAATTTATTTAAAAACTTCTGCATGGAAAGAAGAAATCTCTTGCTGTGGCCTTCAATTCAACATTTAATTATGTTGACGACGGTTTTTTAATGAACAATATTCATTTTCATTTCTATGTTGATTCGATAAACATTAATCCCTTTGAACTCAAAACAATAAAAAAAACCTACAGAGTCTGATACATCTGTTTCAAATTTTGGATATTTTACTAGAGAAAGACATTAATGGTAACCTAACGACAAAACTTCTTTTTTTTTTTTTTTTATAATAATTTGACTTCAACTTTTCTATCGTCAACTTCCCTTATTTATGTAGCAATATACCATTATCACCTGGAAATGGAGTTTATGTCTCCCTGTTGATTCGACACGCAAAAGCATGCTCTACGTACAAACAATTTCTTAATAACATAACATAAATGACAAATAAGTTGATGATACAAAGATATTAACAGCCTTGTTTAAAGTCAACATTTGCAAATCTTTTCGTTGATATAATGACTTTGTTAGCAAATACAATCTATAATTAAGTCGAAAGTTATCTGACGTTTTTCATACAAATTGTTAGGCCATTAATATCACACTGCATTGTCTACGGATTTTTCCGTTTACCCGATCATGACAATGAACACACGAGGGGTGTGACCGGTCGACAGGGATATACTGAAAAACAATGCGCATTAAATCGAACAAGATAGCCTTTTTGTAAATATAATTCATTTCAAAAAAGAAATTTTAAACCATTTTAAAAGGTTACCAAAAGAGAAGGGAATTAAAGAGATGCTTACAGTACATCTGGTCATTTCTCATTAATTTAATGCTTGTTAGAAGATGATTTACGATTTTTATATCAGAAAACTAATTAACTTTTAATTGGTTTGTTTTTTTAAGCCTAACAGCTTCCTAATTGATAATTACGTCACCTACTCAACAAACATCCCTGGATGGACAAAAAAATCGAGGAATGCGCCAAATGTGCTAATATGACCCTGACAGGGATATCGATCAATGTCGATCTAACGCTTGTTTTCGAGACTCGGTAACACGCGCCCAGTCATCTATTTATATTGATCTAATGGATATCAATACATATCTTTTGAAAGTTTCAGATGGGGTCTTCTATGATCTTGTTGCATTAAGAGCGATGTAATTGAAATTTACAACTCATCGACGATGTACCAAGCTTTTGGCGATCTTTATTAGTTTACGATTGGATATTAAAACTAGTTTTTACTACTTTGATAATTTGACGATGACACATGCATAGAATACTATGAAAGTCCAGGTAAGATATCAAGGTTTGTTTTAATATTCTTCACATTATTGTTGATTGTTGTCGAGAAAAAGGATAACATTTTAATTGTGACAAATAGTCCCTTGATGGTTGATGGTTCGTTGGCAATAAGATGTGTTTAGGTGTCTTATTGCACCCTGTCATAATGTTTTTCATGTTTTCCTTTTTATAAATCTACGGATTGATATTATCAATAAAAATTTTGAAAATTAGATAAAAGCAAATGCATTTTAGATGACTTTGGTTTCCCATAAATAGTTTTGTTTCTTTGTACCGAAATAATGATAATATGTTTATTTTGCTGCATAAAAAATGCACCTATAATAGTTCTAATAGACTTTCTCCATGTTACAGTCATTAAGATTGATTCAACATTTGTTGTCCATAATGGAGAAAAAGAAATATTATACCTTTATTCGCAGAAAACAAAGCATAAATATACTTCTGAACCACAGAGTAAAGTAGTTTGGCTGAAAATGAGTCTTATTTTTTCATATTAATCCAACTCGAGTCTAATATATATCTGTATTTTTAGTCATGCTTTGATGTAAATAAAAATCGTGACCATGTTTCAGTGTCGGAAGTATTCAAAACGATACAACGGCTTTACTCCCAAAATCCTCGAAAATGGAATCCGCAAGAAACAAAATGATTCCACAGTAGGCGGAGCCCTAAACAAACAATTAACTTTCATTCGTTTGGCACTGAAAGACGGGTCCTTATAAGCAACTTAACATATTGTGGGTTAAGATTTGACTCAAAGTTTTACCACACAAATATGAATGATAAAAAATATCGGGAACCGCGACAAAAACGAGATGTAGATTGTAGCTTGACTTTATTAGAGAGTCGTACCTTCTCTTAGCGCCTGATTCTTTTTTAAGGTATTCGAAAAAAGACCCGAATAAACTTTCCAAATTTTTTTCTCTTTATGTATCATGATATCTAATACAAATTGCTCATTTCCTAAGATAAAATTCAAATTGCTAAAAATGTCATCAATTCTGCCATTCTCTATCCTTCCTTTTAGATTTCATGCACGCTTGCCCATGTAATGCTGTAGTTCAACCAAAATTATTTTTTTTACCAAAATAAAAATAATAGGCTCTCTAAAAATGATACAAATACCCCCCCCCCCGTACTTAAACCCCCTTCTCATTTTTAAATTCAAGTGTTTGATTATATTTCTTATTCTATTTCAAAGTTAGCGACAATGGAAGCACCAGTGTCAGTCTTCAAACTCTGTATCATCTGATTTCAGACGATGCAGTACGTGTTATGTCTAAACAGATTGTCAAAAGGAAACAGTTACTGAGACTATTAAGACTCATTTTCAATAGGCCCCTTTCCACAAAATATCTTGTATAAAACATCTTATACTTTAATTTGTGAGAGGCAATTTAAATTATCTGCTTGATTTCATTCTTTAATGAGAGGAAATATAGGACATTAAGATTTCAGAAATTGATCAATTCATTCATTTTACCTAAGTTCTTGCAAGGTTGTTGTGAAAGCAAATTGGAATTGCTCTCCATTGAAGCTACAGATGTTTATATTAGCTAACTAAGATCTGAAAACCCCAAGACTACCTGAAAACGTAATTTAGCAACACTTAATACGACTAAAAGGTTTTCTGAGTTTCAGTAGAACAAGACATACTTTCTGCGGAAATCATTCGAAACACTTTCATATTTTTCTAATGAATAGAAGACAAGAGGAGAAGCAAGGAAAGGTTAGAAATTTTAAGGACCACTCAAATGAAAATGAAAAACGATACTGCATAACACAATAAATAAAGATCCTAAGTAGAGAATACAGAGGTAAGATGTGTAGAAAGATTGATGAAATGGAAAGCATGCACAATAGAAAGACGTGCAAATTTGCTTACAATTTAACTACTGCTGCAGAGCTATTATAAATTTTGACAATGGAGCAACACTGGCAAAGATTAATAGCACGATTCTAATACGATATATACCTTTTAAGAAATATCGACAGCTCATTATGAAAGATTATGGAAGATGCTGAAGATGAATTGGAAAAAAAAAAATGGAAAACTATCTGATGTATGAAAATCTGCGAAGTGCTTTTAAAAGTTAAAGCATATTTGTTGTTTACGATCGATCAAGACAACAAACAAAAAAATCATTTTAATTTTTGCAGTCACTGCATAGAAAATGATAGCATATCTGCTGAAGAACAAGGTTAATGGATGTTTCTTGAGAAAGTATGGAGTCAAAAATTTAAGCATTCCGTGAAATCAGAATATAAACCAGGGAAAAGAATGTCTGGAGGTCTAAATAAATGAATTTGAGAGAAAATGAAAAATATCAGAGTTGGAATAGTGACTTCATGTACAACGGAAGTAAGACTATTCGTAAAAGCAAAAAAAAAAAAAAAAAAAAAAAAAAAAAAAAAAAAAAAAAAAGGACACCTTACTGTTTGTGTCTTGCATCTCCAAGATTAAATTTCCACATGTTTTCCTGAGCAAATATATTTCTTTGGAAAGATCGTTGCTTTGCATATTTTATATTATTCTATAATACAACATAACCATTGCTATGACTTACACTAGATCTATAACACAACATCACCATTCCTGTGACTTATACTATTACCTTAGATCTATAACACAACATAACCATTCCTGTGGCTTATACTATTACCTTAGATCTATAACATATAACCATTCATATGACTTACACTAGATCTAACCATTGCTATGACTTACACTATCACCTTAGAATCTATAACTCACCTCTCCACTGCAAGTATGTAGTGCATGATGCTTTATTTTTAAGGTACCTTGAGTTATATGAATCCATTCACGACCTTTTTTTGTTTTTCAGGTTCACCTTACAAGATATTAAAAGAAAATATTTTAAACTGCTAGTTTGTAATATATGTATTAAGGCTGTTCTGTGAATTATTGAAATGATTCTGAACTTAAAGCACTATTCTCAATCAGAACAATGTTTCTCTGTACATAGTCGTTATCAGAATAGTCTCTGTTGTGTGCGATATTCAGCTTCTGAATTAGTATTCCTCGCCCAGCACTTTCCTTTTTGGTCTTTATATGAAGCTTTTTACATGATACAATCTTTATTATGAATTTTTATGTAAACGTATTTCTGTTAAAATAACATTAGTCATTTATCAGAAGCAATAATCTCATTAACGAATATTCCAATAAACACATAATTGATCGAAGGTGAAATCGTGCGAATAACATTTAAACTAACTTCAATAATTTTATCATTTTTCTCTGAATCATGAAAAAAATCGCTTACGGGTCAATCTTTGATAAATTATAGATTATACTTTTTCACTCTCATAACCACACTCTGCATTTTTCATATTGTGTCATATCTTTTTATTAGTCACCCTGTTTTAAGTCAGACCTCTAAAATACATGGCCACTTCTGAACACCTTTGATATATAAGTACTTTGCAATACGACGTTCTACAATAAGGCATTTAAAATTGTTGACAATATAATGGTTTTGTCAAATTCACATAAAGTCTGCATTTCACTCTTGGTTGATATTTATAACATGAATGATAATATATATCCAGAAAAAGACGGAGGGCATTATATATCAAATAAATTAAAAACAGCAATTTTTAAGGTCTCCTAGTGGAAACCTTTTGAACTTGTATTGAAGTTCCAAATCTTATTGCTCAACTAAATGATATGGCCATGTATATGCCAAATAAATAGAGTTAAATTTAATGCTAACATTACTAAAAGTAAGTTATGGAAAATAAATATGCTGATAACTTAAAACTAGCAAAGGTCATTTAATGGTGTTTAGGTCAAGGTTCCTCTCTATATTAATTATGTTTTTCAATTCTGCACAAAATTTCGCTGTGTGCTTTTCGCAACTTCATTGATCCAAGACCAAAGCCTTAATATTTGGATGGAAGTTCTGGAGGGTGCAATAAACCTTTGTTTGGAATGAAGTCACTACATGACAACTTGTGTATATTTTTTTTTGCTAGTTAAATTTGGGGAATGGGATGTGTATCTTATGAAGATTAAACTTTGGCATTCTTAATTTAATTGCTTTTTACATTTTCTACGTTCTGTTTGAAGTGATATTTAATCTGGAGAAAATAATATGTTATCAGTACATCTTCTGACGCAGCTGTTGTATGACACATTCTGTCAAAATATTCTGTGCACCTTATGTAAGATGTCCGTGACCTTGTTGCTCCGAGAATAGAAACCTCAACAGTACAAGTGAATCTTAGAATGGACTTAAAACACACCCTTCCAAGATGTCTTCTCAATCCAAAAGAAGTGGTTAGTAATCGGTACCAATGATATTAAGTTAGCAAACAGGATATTGAAGGTCTCCTCTTGTGTCTTTGATTGCTCTAGCCTGACTAGCTGGAATCCCGAGGCGTGTTAAGAATCGGAGATGTCGGGTTTCCGGTCTTAAATTGAATCTTGGGCCTACCTCGTTTAGGTGACGTCCAACTATTAAATAAGTTTAAAAATAGATTTAGCATTAATTGGCTAACGAATTGGTAGAGTTAAAACAGGTGCTTTGCTATCACGATATGTTAACTGTAGTACAATGTCATTAGTTTGTTGATGATTATTTTATAGTGTAATTGCATTTTGTTAATGACAATATATTTTCCTTGATATTTAATTTGTATCCGGCGGAAAAATAAGACTTTTTTTTTTAAAAGCCGATCACTGACCTCTTATATTTTTATGGATAACCTATATTTTCAGTTTGCGGTTAATCATATATTGTAGAAAAAAACCCTATAATACAGTATACATGAATACTTATTAATTAATGGCGTTTCTGTGAAAAAAAATGCAGATCGGATATTGTTTCTAGAGAAATGAAACTTTATGTTTAATGCAACTTTATACTTTAACAGGATATTATTCAGAAAAAATAGATCAGATGGGTAATATATTTCATATTAGTATGATAATATGCTTGGATCAAAGAAGTAAAAAGAAAAGTAAAACAATTTTTTTATTTGAAGGATGACGAATTGCAGCTACACAGACAGTAATGGGACCTTAATTAGTCTTCAATGTGTTAATTACTGTTGTATTGGAAGAGATGTTAATTATTGTTCAGCTTCAACTTGTTCAAGCACTACATCTACCGAGGACAATCTACCAGTATTGTAAGTACGAATAGGATTTCTGTAACAGTATCTTAGTTTTAAAAATATTCTTTTTCCAGGGTTTTTTTCTTTTCCTAATCCCTGCAACTTTTATGCTGATCAAATTCTTCATTTATTCAGTATATTTCAATAAAGCCTTCATTCGGACCAAAGGATGTCTATCTCTTTTTATGTGTTTTGTGTATATCACTTCAATGTACTAGTATATTTAAGATACTTGTTTAATATTCATATATGCAGACAAAATTGAGTGAGGCATAATTAATGCACACAATTTTGATGAAAAAACTTTAAATAAGCCACGAGATACAGATGAAAAAATCTATGTGAGAAATATTATTTCAATATTCAATGATCATGAATCATTTGCTCTAGACTAAATACGTAGACAACTGTGTATCGATCTTTTATTTCATTTAGTAATATTTAGTAAAAGTTACAGGTGGTCAATAACTTTCAAATAAATTGTTATAGGTATGCAGGTAAACCTGTCAAATTTACTGTGGAATCATGTTATTCCTAGGGGTCAATTTGTAATGTTTAATGGACTTTTGAGCTTGAATACTGTTCGTTATCTCCATACATTTCATTAATTTTGTTGGTTACTCCATGTTCCAGCATTGCATAACCAGCCTTCAGCTTTATCATTTTCATAATGTGGTAGGAGGAACCATGAATAAAGACAACTATATTTTGCTATTTCTTTTAAATGTTAAACACCAAAAGATCATAATGACTCCGGAAAATACCTTGATATGTAAACTTTTTAAGTGTTAAAAAAGGTGCAGATAAGGAACTGTGATCAATCTCATACGTCCTATTAACAATACAAAAAGTGTGTGTGTGTGGGGGGGGGACCAGACACGAACCCCTGGAAATAGAGGTTGGATCAGGTGCCTAGGGAAAGTAACCATCCCCTGTAGACCGGACACAGCTGCCCTGAGCCCTCTGTATGGACCTGTTTAGCGGAGTAATCCGTATTCAAAATTATATAAAACAATGGCCTAACCATTGGTATGAAACATGTCAGTCAGAAAACGCAAAACGATAGGTTGTGTTTTCAAGCAAACTGTGTAACGACCACAGAATTTGCGAAATGCTGAACGAAATTGTAGAACGAACTGTAACATCAAATTATTTGTAAGTAGCCTTCATCAGTTTAAAAAGTAAGCATACTTTTACGCACCGAATCAGTCGAGAGAAACACCATATGTAAGTGTTGGTGGAATATTTCTACATATTTAAAAGGAGGGGTCGTGATGGAAAAGGGTGAATTCAAAAAAAATGACCAAACGCATATTTGTCAACCCACACTAAAAATACAGGCAATGAAAATAGATTTCTATGTCTCAGCATATGTCTTTAGATAGTGTCTAAATACCTGCCAAATATCTCATTGATATCTCAATTAACAAAAAAGTTATGCCCAAAAATGATGCTAAAATTGTCAGGAGTGCAACACCTTTTTGTGACATTTTGAAATTTCAATATTTTTTGGAGATCTGTGAAATAAAAAACAATGCTTCATGTTGAAAATAAAGGCTTTCCTGATAATATTCAAAGTATTGAGCTTTAAATGTGGACTGTCATAACTTTTGTTTAATCAAGTTGTGGTCATGGCTGATGTTTAAAAAAATGTTATACCATGTCAGGAGTGCAACAGAAAAAATGTAGTGTTGCCAAAAAAACATCAATTGTAAATTCTGATAGAAAATTAAGACAAAAAAGAATTTTGGAAGTGTAAAATAATAACTGATATACATTTTAAAACTTAAAAATATTATATAAATCACAAGCAGCATTAATGAGAGTCAAGTATAGGTGCATACCCAAAAATGTCAGGAGTGCAACATTTGATGTTTTGCTCCCAAGCATGAAAAAACTTTTATCATTATATGATTTTCTGATTTTTATTTTGGAAAATAAAGACACAAAGAACATTTTTACCAAATAGATTTATCAATTACAGGATCTGTCTGTGCTTCAGATCCATATTTCTATGGTCAGGAGTGCAACACATTTTTTTAAAGATTCAAGTTGTGTGTCAAAAAGACTTCTATTCATGCTTAGAGGTATTCATTAATTAATAATGATCTTTTTGTATAATTTAATGCTAAATTATTGATAGTTTTATTATTAAAATTCTTTCTTTTTCAATTTTATCAATTCAGATGTGTTTTTATCTTTTTTGTGATTTTTTTAATGAACGTTAAAAATAAACACACTAAAACATTGTCATTAAATTCAAGTAATTCCTCCTCAACTTCACTGAAACAACAGAACAAGTTCTTATGTAATTTTCACTTCACAATTCTACTTTAAAGGCCCCAATGCTTTTGGTCAGGAGTGCAACAAATATGTTAGAATTATAAATCATCCAATAAGAATAAAAATAAAGAAAAAATGATGAGTAGAATTTTTCTGGTGGGTTACTGTGTTTGTCCTCTAAAGGAAAATATGCTTTAAAATATATTTTATCTTCTAAATATACATTTAAGCTAGTTTTTTTGGCATAAAATAGGGTATAATTCCAGATAAAATGCGAATTTTAAATACTTTCATCTGTTTTAATTATGAAGTATTGGACTATAAATATTGCACAATTTCATTACCACTTGATGTTGCCAACACTTTATGAATTTTTGTGTTCTATGGTTTTAATTTTAAACTTTACTGCAGTCAGGAGTGCAACAAAACTGCTTCATAATTACCGATGTTTTTTAACTACCTTTACTAAAAAATAAGTTGAAAAAAAAAAGCTTGATACTATTTGAAGTTCAAAACACTACGTCTATCAACAAATTACAGAAATTTAACAGTCAATTCAGGGAATAGTTTCATCATTTCACAAATATTTTAAATAAAATTTATATATATTACACTTTGCAAATAATCATGTTTTAAGGTCTTCAAAATATGAAAAACCTGCTGTAAACGATGAAAAATATCAACACGACAAATTGATTTACAAAGTAAGAATGGGTAAATAAAATACATATCAGATGTCAGGAGTGCAACACAATAATGTAACATAGGGTCACTTCAAAATCTAGTATTTTTTGTGAGAGAACTCGTATATAACGATTCTTTTTTGGCTTAGATTTAAAGAATTGACTTGAATGGACAAAAAAGTGAATTTTGGGGAATTTTATTGCTTCATATTTTTTTCATATTAAAACTTTTCAAACCAGAATTGAAAAAATAATGTAAAATAACAATCAAAAAGCCAATTTTTTGTCACATGTACAAGAGAAGATACTCATTCAAGGTCTAGGTTTAATCATTTATACCCCTTTTACCATTTTGAAGCACAAAAAACTATAATTTCTTGTGATTATGTATTTTAGAAAGTCTTTTAAGGTGTAATGATATTTTCTTTTTTCAAAAGAAATTTTACTAATAAAAATTCTGAAACTTTTTAATCCAATTGTCTATTCTATTGCCACTTCAGAATTTTAAACTAGAATGCATTTGCAATATGATGATATAAGTGAAAAATATGTTATAAGTACTTGAATTTTGCCAAAAAAATTCAGTTTGGTGGTCATTTTTTTTTAATTCACCCAAAAGCTGAAGCTCTCTGTCATATAGTTTAGATCCTTGTTTACCATAACGGCTTGGGAGATCAGGTGTCCATTACCAATTGACATATCAATTAACAACATTCATTCTTACTTTGACGTTGATTTGATACATCCCTTTGAACTCGATATAAAAGACATCACAGAGTCTGACACAATTTATTTCATTTTTTGATAATTTACTAGAGAAAGACTTTAATAGCAAACTAAGGACTTAACTTTATGGTAGAGGTGATGACTTCAACTTTTCTAACATCAACTTCCCTTCATCATGCAGTAATATACCTTTATCATCTGCATATGGAGTTAATGTCTCCCAGTTGATTCAATATGCAAGAGCAAATTCTACGTACGAACAATTTCTTAAACGAGACAAGCTAAGTTGATGATACATGGGTATCAACATTTCGGCAATCCTATGATCGAAACAATGATATCATTAGCGAATACAATCTATCATAATCATGAAGTCGAATGTTGACTGATGTTCTTCCTACAAATTGTAAGGCCATTATTTTCATACTCAAGTGTCTCCAGATTTTTCCGTTTATCCGATTATGCGCGCTGTGGGTGTGACCATAGACAGGAGGTGCTTGCTCTTCTATGGCACCTGATCCCATCTCATATTTTAAGAGGCCCGTGTTTGCTCTGTTCCCAATTTGTATTGTTTTATTGGAGTTTTGAGCTTGAATACTGTTCGTTGGCTTCATATATTTCAACTATAGGCTTCCTTCTGTAGTCTTACTGTAAATTTTGTAGTCACATAAAACAATATAAGCAGAAATTTTAGCGAGGATTCAATTATGTCATTTTCAAATGGTTTTCTACTATGTTTTGATACGAAAGCACCAACAATACGTAATTTTACTTGTATTATTTTGTTCTGCCAATTTGTGTTTTACTGGTATTGTGAAATCATATATGTAAAGGTTTTGTTTTATTTTGTTAAAAGTCACAAGAAAAGTTAAAAAGAAATGATTTGATACCCAAATGAAAGGAATTTTAACCCCAAATCAGCTCCAAGATGATGATTTTTCCATGATCTCTCATTAAGGGAAACATACCTTATGCATAATCTGTAGCCCAAGATTTAAAAATATAGTCAACCATAATATATATATATATATATATATATATATATATATATATATATATATATATATATATATATATATATATATATATATATATATATATATGACACATTGTTTCTGCGAATACTACCATATGGGTTTCGAAATTTTTATCCCCATATATAGTATCTTTTAATTAGAAAAAATGAAGAAACTTTATGGTATTTTTATCTCATATATCCAAACATAAGGTAAGAGTAATATACTCTCAAAGATTAACAGATTTACCCATGTCTCTCGAAAACACATTTATATTTTAATGGAAATAAGCAATGTGATGTTTTTGTTAACAATATTTTTCGAGAAGCTTGTATTTGAATTATTCTTTCCTTGTTCAATTGCCTTTGTTAAATTTATATGTTTTTTTTTCTATATGTATAGTCCGTAGCCCACTTGGATAGCTACTTAAGTAAGAGTGAAACTTTCTAACCGCTCCACAGGAATGGACAGATATTTCATGCGATCTGTTAAAAAGGGTGTCGTTGTGTTACACAGAAGATACTTATAATATATTTCATTTGACTTTATTATTAATTTTTGTTAATCTGCAACCAATATGGGTATCTAATCTTGGCAAAGCCGATTGACGAAATAAGACATTGTTCGATAAAATATTAAGAACTTCAGCATTATTTTTATGACGTCATAACATATATAAAGGTTTGCGCCAAAAATCGACTGCCTACAGAAATATGGCTATTTTTGCTTTCGCTAATGATGGTCTGTATTTTCTGTACAAATGCACTTTTTTTCTTAAATTTAAAACCTGAGAGCGGAAATTAATTTTAACAGGTTTGAGAAAATGCACTCGAAGTTTACACTTAAAGAAATCTTGATTTATCATTCATTTCCAAAGACCAAAATGACAAAGTTTTTACCTTTCAAATGATATAAAAACTTTATTTTATGTTTTCATTCCATTCAAATTCTGCTCCAAAATTCAATTAACTGATAAAAAAATTAATTTGTAATGTTATTTTTTAGCTCGGTTACATAGGTATCCAGTGGTATGTCTATAGATTTGATATATCTGTTTTGGTAAATCCATAACTAACACATTTTTTTTCTGTTAAGGCAAATAAACTAACTTGAATTGGGATTATACCAATTTTAATTATTCAGCAAATTGATAGTGTCTTTTAAAGTGACATCGGTATTTTATACATGGTACATGAATACACATTCGGGCTTCGGATAGTTCATTTTCAGTCTATTCAGCTTTATACACATGGATTTACTTTAGAGCTATGTTTCCATGTAAATGTGTCAAAGTTATCCTCAAAACCAGGCGACCACGATATAAATAAATAATGAACTAAGTTCTAGTTTATTTTGTACATGCGAAAACACATCCAGCTCTTCATATTTTATTCAAGATCACCCTCTTGATTCTCTTAGATAAAAAGTTTGATATCAAAGTCAAAATAATCATTAAAAAGAAGTTGGAAAGACAACAAAATGTTTGACACGTCGTGTCTGTTCTCTCTATAATATGTTTTGGTTGAATATCTTTATTTTGACTTTAATTTTGTAATTGTTTGAATAAAATAGAATTTTGGGTATTGATGACAAGGAATCATGATTGAACATAAAAGAGTACGAATATGTGATCAAATCAATTGACTGATTTTTTTCATCTTTTTATACAGCTGCTTTGTTATTTTTTTTTTTTGTATGCAAATGAAAAATTGGTCAACAGGGGTTATTTCATAAGTTCTCTAACAAAAGGGTATTGGTTTTACTCTAGTAGTTTTTTTTCTCCAAAATATGTTTTTATTTTGCCGAATTCTATTCTTAATGACTTCCATTGGTATAATTAACTTATAGAGAAAATATTATTGTAACTTTATTTATGTACATATTACCTACTTCCGAGAATTATTCATAAAGCCATCTGGAATAAAAAAGAAGGCAAGGAATAAAAAAAATTTCCTCAAAATCCTTTAGGATCCAAAGCTTGTCTCTTTTATTGGTTAATATCTGTGCTGAAATTTAAGATAGACTTTTTTTAACTTTTCATGACAATTTTGGAAATTATTGTATTAATACACAATAACCAGAGTTTTCCTTAAAATGAATATAATGTATCATTGCAATGTACCTTTTCAAAGTAACCGTCAGAATTCTCTAGTGTAAAAGCTTAATGTGTTTAAATTTTCTGTACTTTGTTATTAAAATTGTAAAAGCTACGAGTCAATACCCGAAGTATACAGATCTCAGAGAGGGTGAACCTCCAATAGCGTCAGCACATTTCTTTATAAACTCTGTGATGCGTGAGTGACCAGTATATGTAATCAATTTCAGGTTTTGCTTAATTTGGCACCAATATAAAGGGGCTTCTGATTTTTGATGAAAACTGACGTCACTAATGTTTTGCTATTAGCAGAAAAAACAACAATATTGATTTAAAAAATCGATTATATGACTGTTCAGCCTATTTAACGATGTGGTTAATATAAGATTTCATAAAATAAAAAAAATTCTGAAAAAAATTGTACATCATAAATTGTAAATGCTTGATGTAAAGGTATTTTGATTTCACGAATCATAGATATGGCTTACTGATTGTTTGATACAAGTATAAAATATTTATATTTGATCTGCGAGGTACAAAGTTTAGTTAAATCTAATTTAGATTAAAGAAAAGAGCGACCAGCCTCTTTGGCACCAATTTTGTCATATTACTATTAGAATATTGATGCGTGATTAGTTGAATGTCCTTAAAACTTTGAAGAGCAGTTCAATGACATCGATCAAAGAATTTGCTACTGTTGCAGAAAAAGATAATTACAAGGTGTGAATTCTGGAAGAGCCTAACGATTCAGTACAACACCTTGTGCTTTAAAATTATAACAATTATTTTATAATTATTATAACACAAAAATAAGGTAAAAATATGATGTTAAATATATCTTTAAAACTTAAATTAAAACATATTATGCCTTGACGATAATAAGGAGTAAAAATAAATAAATAAATGAATGAATAAACAAACAAATAAATAAACGTGCATAAACGTCCGCAAATTAAAATTCATTGAATACAGTTTAATAATAATTACAGGTAATTGTTCAGAAATCTGAAGATATTCAGTAAAATTGTACTTTTCCTCTCTTTTTAAAACTGATATATGACAAATATAAAATAGATGATACTTATTAACTAATGAAAACGTTTCAAGGTATTGAAAATTTTGTTGCCAAGTCAACTAAATATAAGGAACTATGGTATGTCGGATTTTGACAGAAAAGAGGAACAAGAAACAGAAAGAAAGATGTCCAAAGGCCACAATGCTCACATGAATCATTAAATATACTTGTATATACATAATAAATCCCTAATTTTAAAGTCCATGAGCTCAAAATGGAGTTTGACAGAGTTCAGAGTAGCCGTTTTGCTCTTGTAGAGTTTTTATATCAGTGAAAGACTTTGCACTCTTTTGTTGTTTCACCCTATAGCCTTGTCGATTGTGATTTGAATAAAAGTTCAACAACACTTCATAGTGATGTCAGCATTTTAAATGGTTATTTGTAGGCCAGTCATCCTTGCAAAGGAAAAAAAGTTTCCCGATTGAGATCCTATTGTGGCTTTCACTGACATGAATCCACAGAATTAACAATGTGTACAGTAGAAACAAGGTTATTATCTCAAACCAAGGATCCTCCAAGTAACTGCTTGATAGGAATATTTACTAACTCTTCTACAACCTTCTATAAATTTTATATAAGGAAAGCTTTCATAATATGATAGAAGTGTGATGTTTACACTCTCGATGACATAACTAATTGCACCGATACAATGACCTTGTCAGCAAATACAATTTATCATTGAGTCAAATGCTGACTGACGTTTTTCATACAAATTGTTAGGCCATTATTTACACACTGAATTGTCGACGGAATTTCCGTTATTTCCCGATCATGACAAGGAGCACACGGCGGGTGTGACCGGTCGGCAGGGGATGCTCACTCCTCCATGGCACCTGATCCCATCTCTGATGTTTGGAGGTCCGTGTTTGCTCTGCTCTATTTTGTATTGTTTAATGGACTTTTGAGCCTGAATACTGTTCGTTATCTTCATATATTTCACCTTTAAGATGAATCCAGATTGTATCGGGTTAATTGAAATCACTAATGATAAAATAACCTTATTTTAATAACAATCTGAAGAGTTTGTTCGACATGAGATTTTTTTGGTTATTATTAATATCAAAATAACTCATCTCAGACATGGATGTTACTAAACAATGTGTGGTAGACATAATGAAAGGACTTATTCTAATTAACAATACTATATTTCAGGTTTAAGGTTTAAGATATTTTGGACTTTTCACACTCATTGATATTTGCCTGACTCATTTCCAGATTTTGGGGAATCTTGGGAGGTATATTCGCCATCGGACTTATTCTGATTACAGTTACCTATATCATATGCCGATTCCGATCTCCAAATAGCTGCAGTGAGTACCAAGTCATGATTTATGCTTAATAATCTAACTTACTTCGAGCAATATTTTGCTTGGTTTAACATTATGTATAATTTGCTAATCATGATATTAAAAAATCTCTATCCAGTGTATTTAAAGAATGAAACAATCCGTTTTCAACGTCAAATTGATATTTTTAGTTAGACATAATCAGTGTTTTTCATGTAATGTAATTTTGTACTTTAAAGAGTACTTCAAACATCTAATTTTCGAAACGCATTTCATTGATTCGCTTTTTGTTGTGATTCTATCTATTTTTTAGTCAAATTTGTTTTTGCAGCAAAAAGTTATTCGGATGACGAAATGTTTGATGAAGAGTCGATGACATCACAAAGAAGGCGATCTTCTTTATTTGTAACGAAATACTTGCGACGAGAGAGTATTTGGAGATTGAAAACTAGGAGGAAATCTCAACTGACTGTGAAAGTACACGGGAATCATGCAAGCACGAGCAAAGCAGACGTTCATTCAGAACACTTAACAAAAAAGAACCATGTGAAAAATGGACGTCTGCATCTCAGTAGCGGGGGTGGTGGCAACAAAAACCTATCTTCAGCACTACCCGAAGTTGTAGATTGATTGTTTTTAAAATTGATCAATTATATTTTGTATACTGATCTCCGACTTTAAGTTGAATGAACACGCCCTAGCTGGGCAGTTGGAAAGAAGGAACATGAAATAATGAAAAGGGAATTTTAGGGAAGTTCAAAAACTGAATGCTTTTCAAGTTTGTTTTGTTATCAAACCATATCAGCGAATTATTATTTATGTTTCCTAGAAGGAAGGGAGCGAGACGGTATGTCTTTTAAGGAGGATTCCGGCTAAGTAAAGAAATTATAAATCTGATTGGTTGAAAATTCCAAAATGTTAAATGTTAAATATTGGAGTAAATTAGGTTGGTTCACTATTTTTGCAAGATAGAAATATTGCTTCGTTAATGCTTCAAATGCAAACAGTACCTTCTTTATTCACTAATTAGGTTTGGATAGTGAAATATTCTGTGAATGAGACTAAAACTACTCTGACAATTGTTCTAAACATTGTCAAAATCTGTCTTAGTGAAAAAGCTTTCTTTACAGGATATATATATTCTTGCCAACTTTTTTGCAAACCCTCTTGTCAAACAGCACAATGTGGCTTATAAGAATTTCTGGTTAGATTGCCGCCATATGAAATTGACTTAATGGGTGATTTCATGGGAATTTTGTTAATTTCCCCAAGATGTTCTAGAGTTTACATGTTTATATATGACACACAACTAATCAAATGAATATAAGAGGGAAAAATAAGTGTTAAGACTAGGTTTGCCAGGGAATATATCTTTCTGCTTGCTTCTACAAAACCTAGAAGCTGGGCATTTTTATTTCAATGTCACGAATCTTTTTTTCAAATTTCTCAAAAGTAATCTTAATTTTTTTTTTTTAAACATACTCTTGATAATTTCAAAAATCTCATTCATTGTAATACCCTCTCTATTTTACATACATAAATACCCAGGGATTGGTTAAAAAATATGCATAAACAGCTAGTATCATATTCAAATATCTTGATCTATGAAACTTCAGAATTATTATGTTATTGTCATTCTCGGGAATAGACCAAGTTAAGAGGAGATTGATTTTTCTGGCCGGAAAAATAAGCAACATAATTATTCATATGCACACCCAAGTGCTTGTTTTAAATCATGCACATATATTTACATTGATATATACGTAAGTTTTCCTTATACAACTTCGTCATTAAAAATTAAAAGAAAAACTTTAATTACATGTTTCCATGCGTCACAATGATACAACCTGAGACAAAAGCCATGCATTTATTGAAAAAAAAATAATTAAAAGTCCTCTGCATAAACCGTTTTGTGTTGCCCATAGTTCCACCTCTGGTGTTTCCAAGGATCCCCGTGTTTATGACCTGTTCCTGTTTCCTATTCTTTACCGGATTTATGAGATTGGTCACTGTTTGTTGTCTTCACCTTGTTCATTACATATATAAATCAACGACGTTTTATCCATGTATTCATTTTTATTAATATGTGGTCTAAGATTAACCACATGAACTTGAAATAAGACACCTCAGAGTCTACCACTTCTTTTTCATATTTGGATATTTTATTTCTTGGAAACTACATATAAACTAATTATAGCAAACGCATGATTTCAACTTCAAGCAGGTTAACTGACGAATAACTTGACATCAGGGATTTCAACATTCTGATTTAAACTCAGCATTTCGCAAATTCTGTCGTTGTTAGAGTGATCCTGATTACAAAAACAACTCATCGTAAGATTTTGTCTAAAATAATAGACATTACAGAGGTCTCACTGCTGAAGTCACCTGTCGACAGGGAATACTTACCCCTCATAGGCACCAGATCCCCCCTTTGATGATTCCAGGGGGTCGTGTGTCAGCCCTGTCTCGATTCGATTTTTTTTTTGTGATCACTGTAATTTTTTTATCATATGTCACTAAATACGTTGAACCATTTTACAGTAAAGAAATGATTGGTTCAAAAATGCTAGAAATTTCAATGAATTTTTGATTTGTTTTTTTTTTCTTAATGACTGCAGCTTGTCCAAATTATTTATGTTTATCCTCAAAGATCAGGCTCGATTCAGTACATAGCATACATTTGCTAAATATTCTTTTCCGATTGTAAGGTTTTTAAGGGTATCTCAAGCACCATACAACTTCTTTCTTAATGACATGCAAATCCGTAACATGTACGAGGATCAGTTAACTTTTCTTTTTTTTTTTTTTTTTTTTTTTTTTTTTTTTTTTTTTTTTTTACAGAATTAGCACAGGAATAAGCTCGATTCCAAATGAAATATATAATATGAGATGTATGGTACTCGATGCACTGATTTCTTGATATCCACCTTTTCTAAATGAGTATATTCTGGGAAACAAGTAGTTTTCTCAGATATATTATAGGGCAATTTTGAGATTCAATCAAAACAATGATAAAATATTAAATAATTCTTTTTAAATCTTGCAATTACAATACCTTAGACCAATAACATTATATTGGATGTATGAAATTAAAGTACTTAGGTTGAGGTGAAAAAAGAAGAAAAGATAAAATACTTATTAATTATATATTTGTCACTCAATGCATGCATAACAAATTAAAATTGTTGGAATTAATAAATATATAAGTTATTCTAAAACACGAAAAGGACGTGAGGGTTTACTATTCCTATATCCTTGTTCCAGGTAACATCAATGTTTTGGGACTTCATACAAACAGTATCTTATACAGAGGTAAGGAAATTTACCAGTATTAATTTGCAGATATATATGGAAGACCTCCTATGTATTAATTTTGTGATGAATATCATAATTTTTTTTTATTCAATGTGTTGTTCACGTGTGTTTTCTAACCCGTGTCTAAGGCGAGGATGTATAAACCCACAAATTGGATGAAATGGGTATTATTTTCATCCATTTTTTTTCCTAATTTAATGGGTTTTCCCCACTTTCCGACAGATTTCATTGGGCGCTTAACCGTCAATAATATTATGTCATTGAAATAGTTCGTAATTTAAAAAAAATATATTTTCATCTGTTAAATGTTTTAATAAAATTATAAAGAATTCTTGCCCGCCCGACTAGTCATGTTTACAAATGCAAACAAATGCATTTGTTTGTTTGAAAAAAAAACGGAACGCTGAAAAGAAATGGGTTCAAGAAAAAACTACCCAATAAATCCACTGATATGCACTGGATAGATGGGAGGTAATTATGTAATAAAAGACTTTAAAGCTACAAAAACTATTCTTCATTCCATTAAGTAAAAAAAAAAGAACTAAAGTAAATCGCTTTTATATACACGTACTCTCTGTCCCCGGCTTCTTTTTCTGATCATTAAGGATACGTTTCTCTGAATGAAGGAACATGGACGTCAGTTCTTGTGAAGTTATGACCAAGAGTTCGTACATCCTTCTCAAACTGTTTTGTGTAGTGACTGGCACTGAGGCAATTACCCTAAGAAATAACATTCAATGTCATATCAAGAAAATATTACATGAAGTACATAACATTTTGACTTTATGCTTTTTGGTTTTTTTATGCAAGAAATAAAAAAAAACTTATATTTTGATTTTAACGCGAAAGCTTAATAATAATAATAAAAAAACCCCAAAAACAAACAAACAAATAACCCCCCCCCCCCCATTTCCCATTATGATACTGAACACTGGTATGGAATTGGAACAGCTGAAGTCTTACTCTTGCTAAGTATTTCCCTTCAGGCTGTAGCACCTTCAACGACAACTCCAGTGTCACACAACTTGTTTCAAACTGATATCCAAACCCTGAAAATAAAGATAATAAATTATGTAGTTTATGCTATAAATTTTAGTTCATATTAGATGGGTGGGTATTTTACTAAAGAAAGACATTTACGGCAAACTAACAATAAAAAATTATGATAAACGTGATGACGTCAACTTTTCTTTCGCCAACTGTCCTTATTAATGTAGCAATATACCATTATCACCTACATAAGAAGTTTAGTTCATTCAATATGCAACACCGGTCACACCAGCCGTGAGCCCTGTGTATTGTTCAGGTAGACGGAACATTCCGTAGTCAAATTCAGTATAAAAACAAAGGCCTAACAATTGGTATCAAACAGGTCAGCCAAAATACGACTCAATGATTGGTAATATTTGCTTAAATTTTACGAATTTAGGAAATGCTGACTTTAAACGAGGTTGTAACATCAACTTATCTGTCAGTAGTCTGTCTCGATTTCAATATGGATACTAGTAGTACTTATACTTTTGAGTTTCGAATTGGGAGACGTAAACACTATATGCAGGTGATAGCTGAAAAAGCTGAAGTCCTCTGATTTGTCAGACAATTTTGTTGTTAGTTGAACCTTATCGAGGAAAGTCAGAAAAACATCTTAGTATGAAACAGATTTGAGAGATTCTGTGGTGTCCTTACTTTCAAGTTCACTAGGATATATCGTGTCGACATACGAATGGAAGTAACTTTTGTTAATTGATAAAACGTTGTCGATATATCTTAATGTCGAGTTGAAGACCACAGCAAAAGTTTTCTTCTAATTTAGGAGTTTTTAAATAAATTCTGCTTCGTAAAAATATAAAAACAGGTCGACTGCTAAAGGAGCACAATAAGTGTCCATCAGAATTAATTCCAAAAGTGTGTTGGAAGACCTGGTTTCCGAAGACTACAAAACTGTTCTCAATAGGGAATAAGGAACTTCATCATGCTTATAATATCAACTTCAGATTACTTTTGTCTAGAATCAGAGTGTTTTTCAACAAAGTAATTTTGTTGATGACCAATCACAGTTACCTACGATGATAATGACAGGTGCGATACGACCTTGAATGAAGGTGATGACACATCGATCATGTACCAACAAATGTATGAAATAAAATATTCTAGGGGACAAGACATGATTAAATGAATTACAGAATAAACTTTGGAAACCAGTTAGGCAAATTGTGACAAGGAAACTACATAAACTAACATTTTAGGCGAGATATAGGTACTATGAGCCAACAACAGATGATGTGGTAAGCTCAGATTTATCAAACATGTGGAAAAATATAAATGACAGCAATAGAATTCTTAAAAGAAAAAAAAATTATTGGAAAGAAAATTCATAAAATAAGTTTAATTTGAAATTGTATTTCTTTGAAAAATCCTATTTATTAGGGGACAATGAAATTATACATATACATATATATATATATATATATATATATATATATATATATATATATATATATATATATATATGGGTGTCTGTCACTTACCGTATTTTTCCTTGTCGACTGAAAATTCTGTCAGGTCGTTGATGACGTAATCATATTTCGTTCCTGACTCTACTGCCGCTTTAAGTTCTTGCAAGCAATCACAAATTTTTATCTACGTAATATATATTAAAATATATTACAGAATAAATTTAAAAAAGGTGATCGATCTCAAAATTCTTATAAGCTATTGTTATTTAACTTTTTATGACCCAAAATATCTCTAACTAACATATAACGGCAGTATTCTTTTAAAAGAATGATTTCTATAGATAGAATATTATTTGTCATATCATATGCATATTAGAAAACATAATTTGTCGAAATGCTCATCTGGTGCATCAAAATTGCGTATATGATTTACATCGTATCATTTATAGATAGAATATGATTAGTCAGCATCATTAAATGATCGGGCACAATGTTTTGATATAAGCTTGTAAACTGAAAGAATTCACGTGACTTGAAATAATACATATATAAATAATAAACCATATTTTACATTATTTGCCGGCTTGGTATTCTGATGTAAAAACAATAGTCCTATTGAAGTGTCCAAAAACAGACGGGTTTATAGCGAAGAACAAATGCTGAGCATGGACGATGTACCGGTATTATCAATTAACAACAATTACTTCCATTCAGATGTCGATTCGATATATCCCAGTGAACTTAAAATTAAAGACACCACAGAGTCTGCCACATTCATTTCATATTCGGATGTTTTACTGACAATAGACGATAAGGGCCAACTTATAACTAAATTGAATGACAAACGAGATGACTTCAGCTTTTCTTTTTTATGTAGTAATGTCCCGTTTTCACCCGCATATGGTGTTTACATCTGCCAAATCTACTCGATATTCAAGAATATACTCAGAGTATGCGACCAATTTTTAAACCGAGGCAGGCTACTGACAGATAAATTGATGCTACAGGGATTTCAACAACCTCGTTTAAAGTCACCATTCCGTAAATTGGTAAAATTTAAGCAAATATAACCCATCATTGAGTCGTATTTTGGCTGCCTTGTTTCATACCAATTGTTAGGCCTTTGTTTATATACTGAATTTGAATACGGAATGTTCCGTCTACCTGATCAATACATAGGGCTCATGGCGGGTGTGATCGGTCGACAGGGGATGCTTACTCCTCCTAGGCCCCTGATCCCACTTCTGGAATGTCCAGGTGTCCGCGTTTTATGCCCTCTTCACAGATTTGTATTGTTTATAGATTTTTTGAGATCGGCCACCGTTCATTATCTTCAACGACCTTTTTCATTATACAAAATAGTATGAACACCTTAAATTGCCTTAAAATTTTAAACCTTTATTGTGAATATTATTTTGAAATAAATGAAATGTAATGTGGCTACTTTTGGTAATATGGTTGCAGGAAATCTGCTTAAGATCAAGATCTAGTAAATGAAGAGTGCCTACAGATTTCTCATATTTAAGAAACAAATTCCTGTAATAACCCATTACAAATATAGCTTAATTAATTTAGCTGGAACGGGACATAATTTTTAGATAAACTCTATATAATTATTTATAGATATTTTAAACTGTCCTTTTAAACGAAAAAGAGGAAAATCGGGTATAAAAATGGGAGTTTTCTCAAGTGAGATCAAGTATAATAATGTAATATGAAGTTAACGAAAAGTAATCAAGGTCAAAAGTCCATTAAAACAATACAAATCAGGAGCAGAGCAAAGATGGACCTCTTAAAAACATTAGAGGTGGGATCAGGTGTCATGAAGTAGTAAGCTTCCTCTGTCAACCGGTCATACACACCATGTGCTCCTTGTCATGATCGGGCAGGCAGAAAAATACGTAGACAACTCAGTGAAAATAATGGCCTAACAATGTGTAAGATAAACGTGTCAATATTCACCTTAATGATAGATTGTATTTGCTGACAAGGTCATTGTATCGACCATGAAATTTGCGAAATGTTGACTTCAAACGAGACTGATGATATTCTTGTTTCATCAACTTATTTATATCAAATATATTGAGATAAGAAGGTTGAATTTTTTGAAGTTTGAAACAATACCTTTGCGATATTGAAAGAAATAATTTGAAGTCTAAATGCTAATGCTGATTTAACCGATTCATGGAATGAGAGACGTTATATGAAAAAATACAGAAAACATACAGAAAGTTTTTCTTTTTTGGTTTTAAGAGCAAGTATTTCAAATATATGTCTCCAATTGTCCACTTGCCCCTTATTACGAATTTCAAATTTTTACAAATTACTGGAATAGAGTACAGATGGGCAATATTTACACTTAAATTTAAAAAAAAAATGCTAAAACCTCAATACATTACCTTATATAAATATAAGTAAGATTAGTTGCTGGCTTTATTTATTCAAATTCGTTTCATGAATCATAATTCTGAAATTCTCTAAAACAAATTATGCATATCGTTCCCCCAATATATTCCCCTATGAGGTTTTATCTCTCTCACCTGATAGTTTTCACCCTCCATCTTTTCTAGGGTGTCACCACATATTTTCTTCATGTGTTTATTACAGACTTTAATCACCTCCTCATCAATCTAAAACATGTGTCTCATTAATGATTAGACTCTTGTCTTTACTTCAACCTATCTAGAATTGTAGAATTTCAAAATATTCAAATACTTTACCAGTACTTTAATAACTTTGAATCACATTTTCTAAATATGGTGTTCAGTATTCAAACGCGTATCATTTATATTACGCAGAAAATAAAAGCAACAAAGAAGAGAGAAAAACCTTTTAAAACTCTCATGTAAGTATCTTTGTCTCCAGAACTTTTTTTAAATTTAAATTGACCTTATGTCATATTTTCTTACTTCCGCCATGAGAACAAAAGCAGGAGACTGTTTCAATAATTCATGGAGGATGCCCCCGTCCCCTCCACCAAGTATAAGTATATCCTTATCCTTAAAGTCATTCTTTCCTATTCCCAACAAAGACTGTGTATAAACTAAGTCGCTCTCACCGAGCACTGAAAAAAAATCACATGCCTATAATTCATAATCTTATTATTACCACCTTATGTTTTAATCAAAATAATCTTATCTAAATATTTAAAACACATTGAAAAAATTACAAAAACGAAGTTTACATTAGAACCCATCTTCCTTGAATAACACAAACAAAGGTGCGCCATTTCAGGCGCAGATATTAATATCAATTTCTTTTGTATTTTATTTACTATACTCACTTATATCATCATCGAGGAGTAGAACGTTCCCAAATTCCCTTGATCTGGCGATCTTTATATTCTGCCACTTACTCTGTTTCTCAAATACAATCTCCTCGTAATCAGTCTCGAGCATGCGCTCATCACCGGTATATCCATAATTCCACGTGATACCGGGCGCTCTTCTGATTGGACAACACAAGCTGCAAGAATTGGTAATTCGTTTCCAACCGTCAGATATATATTAACATTTGATGTAAAGAACACTGCTTGCTCTGTGAATCACCCTATGCATGCATGTACATTTTATGCATATATGTTAGTGAATGTTGTTGCTCACCTTTTAGAGTCCTCAATGATTTCTTTAAGGTGTGTTGCTATCGATATTTCAAGCTCTTTTATGAACTGAGAATAAATAGAAATCTGATTTCAAAACACACCAAGGTATTGACAATATAATGGGCAATTTTGAATAAATTAAATTTTGACAACATACAGCTGGTTTTTATTCAGTATTGAAATTAAAAACTCTTTAGTTGTAAACTAGAAATTTATCATTATAATAATCACTAAATTAGAATAACAGAAGCTAAATCCATAACTTGTAATTGTATCTGCAAGCAAATCAGTCTTATTCACCAATGTCTATCCAAATACATGTAGTATACGCATGTTGATTAGCAAAGTATTTTAGTAAATCTAAAATCAAATACTATCTAAGGTGCCCCAAAACAAATGGAACATTATTTAGATGACTTGTCTACTGGAGAAATGTTGATATTTTGGTAAAAAGAAACGTCCAGACAAAAACATCCCAAAGACGAATGTCTGCAGGAAAGGCTTACCTGCAATTTAAACGGTTGTGATAGTGGTTTTAAACAATTTACATTGTCTACAACAAAGGTTACATCTACTGTAAGGTAGGCGAAATGGTAAAGATGAATCACTACATGGCTACAAATAAAACAATCAACACTTAAAGAGGGGGAAAAGAAGAAAATCCATCATCTTAGTGCAATTTCAAGTTTGAATTTACTCTATTATTTTCCAATTAAAATTCCGAAGAGTCAAAAATAAAATTTCTTGAAAAAGAGGACATTGATGCCTATGATTGCTGAATACGCACCTGCCATCATCGGATGTTGCTGTTATCACTTTGTCTCCTTGGTTACCACAGTCACAAACTGTTTGCAACTCGGCTTTGCCTTCGAAACAAATACTTGGTATAGACTGGTATAATTCATGAGCCTCTGTAAAAAGACATTCTGAGTTTTACATACATATACTTACAATATAATGTACTATGTATTCGAATGTATATGGAATTTGAATCGAATTTTTTTCTTGGCAAATCTATCAGATTGTTTTTGAAAAATGGTAGACTAATAGATAAATATTGTCTTCATAACAGAAGCATTTTTTCGACTTCGTGCATGATTCAAATGAATTAAGATATTTTCTAGTATACCAAGTGATGAGTGTACCTGGGCCTAAGTATGATGTGTGTGGTTATAAATAGCTTTTATGTGGTCAAAAATAGCGGTAGGTCACAGGCACAAAATATTTTAAATTGAATAATTAAAACACAACTTTCTCATTGGTCTTAGCATCACAGTACATGTACATTGTGATTCAATGAAAGGTAGATTCTTGGATTAATTAAATACTTTCAAATCCTACATTACTTTTTAAATTTAATATATCAGTAAAATTGTCGCTTTTGTTTTTTTTCTTTAAAAACCTATGATTACAGTATGGCATTGATGTGTGACCGATCAACAGGAGATGCTTATTCCTTACAGGCACCTGATCCCACCTCTGGTGTTTTGCCCTGTTCACGATTCGTTTTGTTCACTGGATTTACAGGTTTGATTACTGTTAAGCCTTTCCTTCTCCCTGACATGTTGTCGCTGTTAAGACTTAATTCCCCCCTGCCATTTAACCCTACCTTATCAACAACATGTTGACTTTGTTAAACCTTACGTACTCGTTGACATGTTGTCTTTGTTAAATCTCATCATCTCTTTGACATTTTGTCTTTGCTAAGCCTTATAAAATCTACTCTTTGACATATTGTCTTTGTTAAATCTTACCTACTCTTTGACATGTTGACTTTGTTATACCTTTCCTACTCTTTGACATGTTGACTTTGTTAACCTTACCTACCCTTTGACATGTTGACTTTGTTAAATCTCAGCAACTCTTTGACGTTTTGTCCTTGCTAAGCCTTACCTACGATGGCCGACAGCGGCCGCCACTTTCTGATTAAGAATATTGTCATTTTGTACAGCGTTTTTGTCAATTTTCGTTGACATATTACAACTAAACTGGTAATGCTATATGTACATGTACACTTTTTACACTGACAATTTACACCAGCGAAAAACATTAAAATTCTTTCCTGTGATATGAAATTAAGATACATAAAACAGGTGGCTTGAAAGAGATAAGGAGCATTTTAATGATTTTCACCCTCAATTAGTCTGAGATATCGTAACTCAGTTAATCCTAGATTAGACGTAAATTGTCATTCTGTCACCTTGTTGTATTATTAAAAAGATATTCTTGGGATTGTAATTAAAAAGGCGAATAAAAGTAATACGTTTGTTGTAATGGATATACATGAATATAATGGATATATCTCGATCCTCAGATTGTATAAGACAACTCGATTCTACCTATTATGTAGAGGTAGAAAAACAGGATTTAGTAGCTCTACATGTGAGCATCCAATCAAAAGTTTATGGAATGTATCAAAAACAAAACTTTAGATACGGAAATATACCCGCTTTTAAGCAAGAATAAAATGACAACCTTAAATGTGGGAGTCTGTATTTGCTCTCTAAATACATAAAATTAATAACTAAATGCTTGAAACACTTTTAAAGCCAACGCAACCTCTCAAGACTTCCACCTGGTCGGCCAATTATTTTTCAATGTGGCACGGGAATGAAAATATAGGTACATGTAATTAACGTGATCATTTCCTCGTGCGCATTGTTTAAAAACAAAATTCATACATCAAAGACACGTCCGATTATGAACAAATCAAATTTCTGATAGACCTGGAAAATTTCATCCTGGTTACCTATGATGTGACCAGCAGGTACACCAACATGGAATTTTATGAATTAATTACTACAATCTGTCGAGAAAGTATATCTAGAAGACAATACTAATCTATAATCACCCCGACCTTGCTGTTCTGCTAGAACCTTAAGCTTATCACCTTCAAGTAACCTGTTTTATGTATCTTCATTTCATATCACAAGAAAGAATTTTAATGATTTTCTCCAGTGTAAATTGACAGTTATAAAAACTGTATATGGACATATAGCATTACCAGTTTAGTTGTAATTTGTCAACGAAAATTGACAACAAGAGGCCCAGGGGCCACATCGCTCACCTGAGCACTGTGGCCAGGAAAAAAGGAAAAATCAGTTTGGTATTGAAAAGCTTAAATGCATAAATGGTCCCAACCTACCCCTAAAAGGGAGTGGGGGGGGGTATGACTTGAACAAAATTAAATCTACACTGCTTACATAATTTTTTGACTAACTGTGACTTTTTTCTCTACAAGTTTGAACTTTCATTGTGGCCCCACCCTACCCCTGGAGGTCATGATTTGAACAAATTTGAATCTACACTATCTGAGGATGCTTCCATATATTACAAGCCGTGGCTTTGCTGTTCTTGAGATTTTTAAAGGTTTTTCGTATATATTCCTATATAAAACTTTGAACGTTCATTGTGGCCCCACCCTACCCCCAGGGGTCATGATTTGAACAAACTTGAATCTACACTACCTGAGGATGCTTTCAAAAAAATATATCCAATCAAAGCTTTGCTGTTCTTGAGAAGAAGATTTTTGAAGATTTTTCCTATGTACACCTATGTTAAACTTTGATCGTCCATTGTGGCCCCACCCTTACCCTGGGGGTCATGATTTGAACAAACTTGAATCTACACCACCTGAGGATGCTTCCAATATAAATATGACCAATCATAGCTTTGCTGTTCTTGAGAAGAAGATTTTTCCTATATATTCCTATGTAAAACTTTGATCATTCATTGTGGCCCCACCCTACTCCTGGGGGTCATGATTTGAATAAACTTGAATCTATACCACCTCAGGATGCTTCCAAATAAATATGACAAATCATAGCTTTGCTGTTCTTGAGAAAAAGATTTTTGAAGATTTTTCCTATATACTCCATGAAAACTTTTATTGTCCACTGTGGCTCCACCCTACCCCCAGGGGTCATAATTGGAACAAATTTGAATCTACACCACCTGCAGATGCTTCCATATAAATTTGACTAATCATGGCTTTGCTGCTCTTGAGAAGAAGATTTTTGAAGATTTTTCCTATATTCTCCTATGTTAAACTTTAATTGTCTTCCATTGTGGCCCCACCCTATCCCCCGATGGTCATGATTTGAACAAACTTGAATCTACACTACCTGAGGATGCTTCCAAATAAATATTACCAATCATTGCTTTGCTATTCTTGAGAAGAAGATTTTTGAAGATTTTTCCTATATATTCCTATGTAAAACTTTGATCGTCCATTGAGGCCCCACCCTACCCCCGGGGGTCATGATTTGAACAAACTTGAATCTACACCACCTGAGGATGCTTCCATATAAATATGACCAATCATAGCTTTGCTGTTCTTGAGAAAAAGATTTTTGAAGATTTTTCCTATATATTCCTATATAAAACTTTGATCGTCCATTGTGGCCCCACCCTACCCCCGGGGGTCATGATTTGAACAAATTTGAATCTACACTACATGAGGATGCTTCCATATAAATATGACCAATCATAGCTTTGCTGTTCTTGTGAAGAAGATTTTTGAAGATTTTTCCTATATATTCCTATGTAAAACTTTGATCGTCCATTATGGCCCCACCCTACCCCCGGGGGTCATGATTTGAACAAACTTGAATCTACACCACCTGAGGATGCTTCCATATAAATATGACCAATCATAGCTTTGCTGTTCTTGTGAAGAAGATTTTTGAAGATTTTTCCTATATATTCCTATGTAAAACTTTGATCGTCCATTGTGGCCCCACCCTACCCCCCGGGGTCATGATTTGAATAAACTTGAATCTACACTACCTGACAATAATTCCATATGAGTTTCATCTTTCCTGGCCCATTGGTTCTTGAGAAGAAGATTTTTCAATAATGCCATTAATTTTTTGCTATTTCATAATTATCTCCCCTTTGAGGAGGGAGTGGCCCTTCATTTGAACAAACTTGAATCCCCTTTACCCATGGATACTTTGTGCCAAGTTTGATTGAAATTGGCCCAGTAGTTCTGGAGAAGAAGATGAAAATGTGAAAAGTTTACGACAACAACGACGCCGACAACGCCGACGCCGACAGACAACGGACAAATTTTGATCAGAAAAGCTCACTTGAGCCTTCGGCTCAGGTGAGCTAAAAAAGCTGTACAAAATGACAATATTCAGAATCAAAAGTGGCGGCCGCTGTCGGCCATCGTACTTACCTACCCCTTGACATGTTGTCTTTGTTTAGTCTTATCTACTCTTTGACATTTTGTCTTTGTTAAGTCTTACCTACTCTTTGACATATTGTCTTTGTTAAATCTTACCTACTCTTTGACATATTGTCTTTGTTAAACCTTTCCTACTCTTTAACATGTTGACTTTGTTAACCTTACCTACTCCTTGACATGTTGTCTTTGTTAAGTCTTACCTACTCCTTGACATGTTGTCTTTGTTAAATCTTACCTACTCCTTGACATGTTGTCTTTGTTAAGTCTTACCTACTCCTTGACATGTTGTCTTTGTTAAATCTTACCTACTCCTTGACATGTTGTTTTTGTTAAGTCTTACCTACTCCTTGACATGTTGTCTTTGTTAAGTCTTACCTACTCCTTGACATGTTGTCTTTGTTAAACCTTTCCTACTCTTTGACATGTTGACGTTGTTAAACCTTTCCTACTCTTTGACACGGTGTCTTTGTTAAGTCTTACCTACTCCTTGACATATTGCCTTTGTTAACCTTACCTACCCTTTGACATGTTGACGTTGTTAAACCTTTCCTACTCTTTGACACGGTGTCTTTGTTAAGTCTTACCTACTCCTTGACATGTTGTCTTTGTTAAATCTTACCTACTCCTTGACATGTTGTCTTTTTTTTAAGTCTTACCTACTCCTTGACATGTTGTCTTTGTTAAGTCTTACCTACTCCTTGACATGTTGTCTTTGTTAAGTCTTACCTAATCTTTGACACGGTGTCTTTGTTAAGTCTTACCTACTCTTTGACATGTTGTCTTTGTTAAGTCTTACCTACTCTTTGACACGGTGTCTTTGTTAAGTCTTACCTATTCTTTGACAAGTTGTCATCTAAATGACAATGTTTGGTTCACACTTTCTCTTTGACGCCTCTGACATGTTGTCTGTGTTAAGCCATACCTTCAGAATCAAATTTCTCCTTTTTTAAAGTAAAACACATCATGACTGTGGCAGTCCCCATTCTTTTAGACTGTGTGACGCACCAGAAGAGCAGATGTTAGTACGGTGGTGAAGCTAGTCGTGTCAAGGGGCGTTTAACGGAAAGACCTCTGTGTATGAAAAAATATTTAACTTCTCAATGAAGGATAAAAAAAATTATCTTTAAATCACCAATATTGTTTAAGTGTAAATAAAGGGATTTAAACTGATCTAGCATAATTTGTACGACAATGAAACTATATGCCGTTCGACTAGATGGTTTTATCTTATTGCATGAAATGCAAACAAACGCTGGTAATATCTTTCCCAATCTGTTGTTGATCGCTGTCTTTGACCCTTGTCATTCCTATTGTAGACCTTGTTCTTATTGAAAAGTGCATACAGTAAAGAAATAGAATACAGTAGTTTTAATTCTGAACTTGTACATCAATCCAGGTCACACGCATATATATCTAATACCGTATCAAAAGATTTTGACTGCAAATATTTAAGGACTGTTATAAATTCTTTAATTTGCAGGTAGTTACAAACCCCCTTACAGTGGTTGTGATTTCATCAAGAGACGTTGTAAAATTTTTATATCATGAAAAGAGATGTAGAGAAATATTCTGAAAAATATTTCTTAACAATTCGAATTTATAGTGCAATAATGAACCACCCCTCTGAAATTATTTTTGTTTGTTTAAGGCAAAAGCATTTAATTAAAAGGTACTGGGTCCAGCAATATCCTTTCATGTTTGAATGTTTGAGATAGGGGTGCTATTCTTTTTCTGTATTTGTTCCGTTTTCTCCAATTTTAAAATTGCTTAATCAAAAGTTCACCTTCCAGGGACACTATATATATATGTACTTTGATTTGGATATGCATCGAAGCTCAAACTAAATTAAAAAAAAAAATTAGAAATGTGAGATCCACAAACAAAGGTAAAAATAGATGAGTTTTAACTTCAAATATTGTCTATATCAGCCTAAAATGAAGATAATCAGTTAATCAAAATCCTTCTTTTGACTGACAATGATTCTTTCTCGCTGCATTTCAGACTTTAATTATTATAATCCGTTTTTATCATGTAAGCTAGCTACGTACATGTAGTTACATTACTTTTTTTATTTTAAAGATAGGTACATGCAATTAATACATATATAGATATAGCTATGATTGACAACTTAGTTATAATCCGTTTTTATCATGAAGGAGGTAAGCAGGCAGTTACAATATTTTCAGTCGTATATTATGTGAAACATAATTATGTTGATATTGTTATGAATGACGCATACATGATATGTAATATAAAGATCTACAGATGTTAAATTCTAGTAGAGAGTTTTCTGACTTTTCATATATTGTACAGAATTCTTGACAAGGCAATCTCGTTTGTGGATTTACAGATTGTATCCTGTGTGAATTAAAATCGTTGGTCGGAGCTACATGTAAGTCCTGAATATTAAGGTATTGTCGCCAGAATTTTAAGTCAGTGAGAAAATCATTAATGCACATTCTTCTGTGAAAATATTGTGTGATGTAAATATTTAAATAATCAAGAATTTAGAATAAACTTGATGTGGGAATATAATATCACATCTGTTTACATGGCATACGCATTGATTATTGCAAAAATAGTTGTAAATCTTTAAAAGAAAAAAGTTTATTTCTTCGTATTAAAATATTGTATTATGCTATATAAACCTGAGGAAGGGCATATAAGTAAATAAGTAAAGAACTATTATATTGAAAACATTCTGAATCAAAAGCATATACAGAATTATCGTAAAATAAGTGAGATTTTTAGAGAAAATCATCCTCGCAAGCCAGGAGTCCTGAGTCAACACGTTGTCGTTGTCCAACGACAACGTGTTGACTCAGGACCGCTGGCTTGCGAGGATGAGAGAAAATTTACTCATAGCAATTTGCAAATCTGTTCCGAAAACGAATTAAGAAGGTTTATAAAAATCTTATCAAAAAAAGTGAATTAATAATCGATTAATTTCAAGTATTAAATTTGTTTATTTTTGAATGAAGAGTAAATAAATAAAAGATCCGGAATGATTTCTAAAATGCATTTTTGATGTTTTTGTATCATTGGATTACTTAATGATATGGTTATTTAGGATTTAGTTCCATTATGTACATTCAAAGGAAAATGAATCAAGAAATCATAGGAATAATATACTTTTAGCTAATATTTTGATTAATCGATTATCAAAATTTTAATTGAATATCTATAATCGGGGGCCATTTCAATTAGAAAATCGATTTAATCGATTAATCGGTACATCACTAGAGTTGGGTAGATTTGATAAAATATTTGTTTTAGGTAATTTTTCGAATTGGTGGTATAGATTACGAATATGTCAGTCAAAGATAATTTATTATAAAAAGTCGAAAAGGCCCTAGGGTCTATATTCGGGGGGGGGGGGGGACTGTTTTCAAGCACCTGTGGCTGATAGGTAAAGATAAACGTGAGGCAAAAAGACAATGATTTGTCTATTAACTAAGCCTAAGGGGGATGACTCCTCAATTCATATTTAATTGAAAGTACGTGTACCATATATACAAGCATAGCGTTCAAATTAAAAGATGTGATATACGAAATAAATGAACAGCTATAGGGTTACACCTCTGTTTAATGGCTGTGCTATCTGACTTCCAGTTTTATCCAGAATAGATTTTTTTCTATATCGGTATCGGGGATTAATATGTTTTTACTTTAATGGAGGTCGGTACAACTACACTCGATTAAGATAAGAGATTTTACATTAATTTACTATATCCTATCATTTAAGGTAAAAGGAAAAAAATCAGACATTTTTTCTTATAATATGTATATCGCTACTCAAGAGAATAAGAATGAGAGAGCTCCGAAAAGAAAACGTCAATTAATTAATTAAAATTGTACTTCTAGCCAATGAAAATATTTTTAACGTATTTTATAAAGTTGAATTTAAAATATATCCTAGTGGGATTTAAAAAAAATGAAAAAAACCCCAAATTTTTAAATCTTTAACATTTTAGCTCACCTGAGCCAAAGGCTCACGTGAGCTTTTCTGATCGAAGGGTGTTCGGCGTCTGACTATCGTGTGTCGTCTGCCAATTTCAGCCAGGGGATTCAATTTTGTTCAAAGAAGGGTCCCACCTCGATCTTTCAAGGAGAGATGATACAGAATTAGTGAAAATTTAATGGCTTATTTTTAAAAAAAAAAAAAAAAAAACTTTTTCTCAAGATCCAGTGTGCCAGAAAAAAAATGAAACTTAGGTGAAAGCTTCACTACATAGTGAAGATTCAAGTTTGTTCAAATCATGATCCCGGTGGGTAGGAGCTACAATGAGGGATCAAAATCATACATAGGAATATATAAGAACTATCTTTAAAAATCTTTTTCTCAAGAACAGCAAAGCCATGATAGGTCATATTAGAACAGAAACATCCTCAGGTAGTGTAAATTCAAATCATGGCCCCCGGGGGTCGGGTGTGGCCACTACAGGGGATCAAAGTTATACTTTGGAATATAATAGGATATATCTTTAAAGATCTTCTTCTCAGGAACAACAAAGCCATGATAGATCATATTAGTACAGAAGTTTGTTAAAATCATGAACCCCTGAGGTACCGGGATAGCATTGGCCATAACAGTAAATCAAACTTTTACATAGAAATATATACATATATATGAAAAAAATCTTTGTAAATCTTCTAAAGCCATGATTAGTCCAAGAAATATGGAGTCATCCTCAGTTAGTGTAGACTCAAAGTTGTTTAAATCATGACTCCCGGGGGGGGGGGGAGGGGAGGGGGTTAAGTCAATCGGGACCACTTTTTCATAAACTGATATCTGCTTTTCTCTAGCAAAAGTGCCCAGGTGAGCGATGTGGCCCATGGGCCTCTTGTTAAAATGAGTAATAAATAAAAATGTATAGTGTGTGTGAGGGTGTGTATGTGTGGAATATATATTACTCATAATCTACCAGTTCGCTCATTACATTACATTTATTTCCTGTGAAAATTGTATGTCAGTATTTCTAAATCACGTCTGAAATGAATAAGCAGTACTTAGATAAGGACATACGCAACGTAGTTTGAACTTTATTGTCTCTTTCCCTGGAGTTGAAGAGTTTCAATACTAAAAGGAATTGTGTGCTACATTTTAATGTCTATATATGCTGTTGTAGACTTCTTCTAAAACAAGTTTTGATAAACAAAACATGTGGAATATATGTTTAGTAATTTTTGTGTATTTTTTTGTTGAACTTGATTATACAAGAATTTTCATCAATTGATATTTTTTTTCAAAACCCCTGGTAATGCATGCTGATTTTTTGTCGACGAACATCTGATGGCACTATAATCTTAAATTAAGAATATCTTGAAAAATTATCAGTAAGTAAGGTACGTTGCGTATGTCCTTAACTAAAGTACAATGTTAATGCTGCATGACTGACAAATAGGTCACAGACAATAATTTTTACCAAAAAAAAAGTTCCTCTTCTAGTAGAAAAGTATTTCCTAGAGGTACAGGTGTTCTAAACCTCCCCCCCCCCCCCTTTCCTGTTCGCTTGAAATGTTTGATTCATTTGTCATGTTTGAATTCAACATAATTCAACAGTTAACATGAGACCCCGAGGTTATAAAACTTCTTAAAATTGATACAGGCATGTATATAAACCATGTATAATATCGATAAGTAGTACATACCTGTATGTTTAAATGTTAAGCTCAAAACATGCAGATAAATCGACAAAATTGTGTGGATATGTTTATCAGATAAAGTGGTTGATAACAGAGTAATTGGTGACATGTGAAACATGTACGTAAGTCAAGTTTGTCTTTGCAAGCACACGGCTATATTTGTATTTGAACGTAAATAGGGGGTGGAATGTCGTGTCTTATTCAGAGAATAAGTGTAATGTGAATCTTAAGTTTTTATCAGTTTCTAAACTGGAGAATATATATATATATATATATATATATATATATATATATATATATATATATATATATATATATATATATATATATATATATATATATATATATATATATATATGCTTACTTAACAGATTTTAAAAATAAAATTCTAACAAACAAACAAAAGAAAACAAACAAAAAACAAAAACAAAACAAGATGTGTTTGTGAAACACTGATGCCCCCGTATGGCAGCTTATGGCGAAGGTTAAAGTTTCTTCAAATGCAAGTCAAAATCCAGGCCAAAAGATAAAAAATGTTGATACCCAAAGAAAGGTCTTGTCTCGAGGAATACACCTGTGAAATTTGAAAGACCTAGATACAACTGTTCAAAAGTTATGGCGAAGGTTAAAGTTTTTTAAATAAAAGTCAAACGTCAAGGTCAAGATCAAAGTGGTTGGTATCCAAAGGAAGATCTTGTCACAAGGATTACATATGTGAAGTATGAAAGCCCTAGCACCAACCATTCAAAAGTTATGGCCAAGGTTAAAGTTTTTCAAAAGTAGGTCAAAGTCAAACTCCTAGGTCAAGGTCAAAGGGTCAAAGTGGTTGGTATCCAAAGAAGGTCTTGTCACAAGGATTACATATGTGAAGTATGAAAGCCCTAGCATCAACCATTCAAAAGTTATGGCCAAGGTTAAAGTTTTTCAAAAGTAGGTCAAACTCCTAGGTCAAGGTCAAAGGGTCAAAGTGGTTGATATCCAGAGGAAGGTCTTGTCACAAGGAATACACATGTGAAGTTTGAAACCCTAAGCACCAACTGTTCAAAAGTTATGGCCAAGGTTAAAGTTTTTCAAAAGTAGGTCAAACTCCAAGGTCAAGGTCAAAAGGTCAAAGTTGTTGGTATCCAAAGGAAGGCCTTGTCACAAAGAATACACATCTGAAGTTTGAAACCCCAAGCACCAACTGTTCAGAAGTTATGGCCAAGGTTAAAGTCTCATTAAATTTTGCAAAAGTGGGTCAAACTCCAAAGTCAAGGTCAAAAGGTCAAATATGATGGTACCCAAAGAAAGGTCTTGTCACAAGGAATACACATGTAAAATATGAAAGTCATAGCTCCAACCAATCAAAAGTTATGGGCAAGGTTAAAGTTGACAACAGACAGACAGACAAACAGACAAACAGATAAACGGACAAACAGACAAACAGACAAACAGATAAACAGACAAACAGACAGACAGGACAAAAACAATATACCCCGGGATCTTTCGATCCGGGGGCATAAAAAACAAGATGTGTTTGTGAAACACTGATGCCCCCGTATGGCGGCTTATGGCGAAAGTTAAAGTTCCTCAAATGCAAACTCCAAGGTCAATTGATCAAAAATGTTGTTACCCAAAGAAAGGACTTGTGTCAATGGATATACCTATTAAATTTGAAGGCCCAAGCACTAACCATTCAACAGTTATGGTCAAGGTTAATGTTTTCTAAAAGTTGGTCATACTCCAAGGTCAAAGTCAAAGGGTCAAAATTAATGGTATGCAGTGGAAGACTTTGTAATAAGAAATACACAAGCAAAATATAAAAGACCTAGCACCAACTCTTCAAAAGTTATGGCCAAGGTTATTAAAGTTTTTCAAAATAAGGTCAAACTTCAAGGTCAAAAGGTCATCCAAAGGAAGGTCTTGTCACAAGGAATATAGCTGTGAAATCTGAAAGCCCTAGTTCTAACTGTTCAAAAGTTATGGCCAAGGTTAAAGTTTCTTTTTTAAAAGTTGGTCAAACTGTAAGGTCTAGGTCAAAAGGTCAAAAATATATACACTCATAGAAAGGTCTTGTCACAATGAATATGCATGTAAAATATGAAAGCCCTAGCACCAACCGTTCAAAAGTTATGGCCAAGGTTAAAGTTAAGTAAATTTTTGCAAAAGTGGGTCAAACCCCAAGGTCAAGGTCAAGAGGTCAAATATTTTGGTACCCAAAGGATGGTCTTCACAGTGAATACACATGTGAAATATGAAAGCCATTGTTCCAACCGATCGAAGGTTATGGGCAAGGTTAAAGTTTTCGCGGACAAACAGACAGACAGACGGAGAGGGAAAAAACTCAAGATGTGTTTCTTCGATTACGGGGGCATAAAAAAACTTTACAAACAATGATAGATTAAATCAAAATTTTCTCCATAAACTAAATTTTCAGAATATATTTTACCACGTAAAATTTTACCCCAAATCATATGTTCACAGGTGTCACTTTAAGACAACTGCAAAATGGTCATTAAGTATGAAAATCATAACTTTTCTACAGAGCAAATGAAAATTCAATTTCATATGCTAATATTCAAATTTACTCATTATCATGGTAATGCTAGGCAATTAAAAAAAAATGTCTGCCCTCTCCCGACCGACGGACTAAAAATTGTCCATTGAATGGAATAAATGTCTATATTATGTCAAGTTAAATGTCTTTTTTCCAATTTTGCCCCGAAAGCTATAGTTTAATTCTTTGAATTTTACTAGTAAAATACATTTCTTTCTGAAAATCAGAAGCAATAATGAGCGAACAGAGAACAGAGGGATTATGAACCTTCAACAATCCGGAAACACTTATCCGTAGATCATTTCAGTTTTAGTCGCCATTAAAGAGGAAAATATCGTGTCGTAATTTCATTGGATGAAATAGATGATTTGGCAAGTAAACACCGAATGCACATGGGGTAAATGGTTCAAGTCTCAAGATAGGATTTATCCAAAATTAGAGGATTCTTGCAAAACAAACGATTTTAAGAGTGAAATGAAAATGTTCTCATGACGAAAAAGGAGATTAGGAAGGATAGACAGTTGTTGCGAGCGTTTATAGTGGTGATAGGCCCGGAAAAGTTGAGCTGATCAGCTGGTGTTGATCAGATTTCGTGTATCATCAATATCATGGACGTGTACTCTATTACAAGTGTAAATTATATACTTTTCTATTTTTTCTTGTTAATCTCAGGAACTTTTGCTGCTAAAACAAAATGTGAGATCTGCAGGGATGTTGACAAGAATTTTCACGAGGTAAATAAGGACTGACATTGAATGCTAAATGATACAGGCATATAAAACGTTATAACCAGGGACCTATATACTAGTATATAGGTCCCTGTTATAACTGATCAAGTCCAAAAGTGAAAAACCTGTAAAAGTAAAAGACAATATACATAACTATTTTCTTTGTTTTTTTTTCTTTTTTTTTTATAAAGTGCAGTAATAGAGGGGAAATATTCACTGAAATTCTTAGCATTTCCCTGCCTAAAGCATTCTATCCATTGATTAAACATATGTAACAGGAGAGGAGAAAAAATGCGACAGACCAGACCATGATTTGAACCTGGGTCTCCTGAATCTCTAGTCAGGTGCTCTACCAATTGAGCTATCTGACTGCCACATTCCTCCCTCCTTAAAGGTCTTTGCCCAGGAAGACACCAACCTAGGTTCTTCCCTGGAAGGTCTTTCATTTGTCACATCCAGGGCATGGCACAGCACCAAATGTAATGGGAAAGGAGAAAAATGTGATGCACCAGTCCAGGATTCAAACCCGGGCCCTCTGAACCTCCAGTCAGGTGTTCTGCTGAGCTATCTGGCCACCTGTGATTGAAACCATCTGATCATCACACATATACACACACTGTACTTATAACTCCTTATTCTGTATCTTCCTTTATCTTTCAACAGTTCCAAACTGTCCCAAACAATGATTCTTGTGAAAGTAAACACTTGAATGCCATTTAGATTTATGCCCCTTTATAAGAGGAGTAGAACTGTACATGTATGTTTAATTGATTGACTGAATGCTTTAGACAGGGGAATGGATATAAGAAATAATACCAGAATTTGTGACAAATTTTTTGCTGTAAATGGTAGGTTTTTGCATTGGGTGGATCTGTACCTCTCCGGTATGTCTGTCTGAATTTTCTTTCCCATAGACCATGTGCTTAATCATAACTTTTGAGATTAAATGGCTAAATTGTCAAAGGGTTGTAATTTGGGTATTCATGTAATTCAAGTGTCTGTAAGATAAATAGTTATTGTATGTTTTTCTTAATATCTCTGAGGCATTGCTGTTTTATTTGGATGTTTTAATTTTGCAGGGATTAAAGAAAACAGCCAAGTCTAACTTTGGAGGAGGCAATACAAAATGGGAAGAAAAAAGTTTAGGAAAATACAGATATAGGTAAATTATTTGTAAATAAATTCCAACTACGTTCAAACTTGTCACACTAATAAAAATGTGAAAAAAATACAACCAGTGTAAAGGAAAGTGTATCTACTTTTGTGTCACTGTAAGATCTTATGATTCTTAGTAATATATACATGTAATTTACGGGAGTATTTGACCGTCAACACACTGTCACACAGTCCAGAATATGATAGATATTTGTTTGAAACTCAAAGTGTGTTTTAAGTAAGGTAATTATGAAATGTTCTTTTGGAACATAAGCATTCAAGATTCATTATACTGTATGTTCATCTCACTGTATTATCATGATTATATAGGTTAATTTATCACATTTACCCCTTTATCCCATGGATATCACTCATTGGATATTTTTTTCATATCCTACTGCTGTGATGTCACAATGGGTTTTGCGTGAAAGTGATAAAGTAAAATGATGTGGATTCAAATATAAAAAGTGTAAAACATTGATAGTGATGTATAAAACATGTGATAAAATGAATCTCCCATGATTTGTGGTTAGATATGATTTTTATCCAATGGGTTGTGTGTTTTTATCCCCTCGCCAAGGATCGGGGATAAAAAAAACACACAACTCATTTGACGTTGGATAAAAATCATATCCAACTTAAAATCTTGGGAGATCCTATATATACATGTATTAATAGTAGTTGTCTGATATTGTAAGGAATACAATAAACTTGATAAAGAAGCTTATAAATCTGTAGTTAAATTCTATGGAGCTATTGTGTATACTATGTGTTGTTGAGGTATGTTTTTACATGGCTATTAATGAAAATTTAATGCATTTTATGATATTTCAGTGAAACAAGATTGGTTGAAGTCATTGAAAATTTGTGTGAAAATAGTGAAAAAGAAGTAAGTATATAAATGCAAGAAAAAAAACATAAAGAAACAAAGCATATTATTTATAAGTACATGAAAGACTAAGACATGTTGTAGAACTCCTGTGTTCATGTTTATTGTTTTATATGCATAGCACAGTATGTTTTATAGAAAAAATATAAATTTCCAGGTTTGGTAAAAAAAAGAGAGAGAGAGAGAGAGAGAGAAACAAAGGGAAAAAACAAAATAAAAACAACATCAACAACAACATGTAACAAGAACAAAAAAAAAAAAAAGAAAAGAAACAAACCCACTTTTTCCTTGTATATGTATATGATTGATCTATAGTACATGTACCATACACAGTCTTTACTGTACAGCATTCCTGTGAACAAAATACTGCATATCCTAATGAGTTGTCCTGCACATGTCCTGATGTCAGAACATCTGGAATTGTATTTATCAAGAATATTACTGTGAAATCACTAATTTTTATGGGGATTTAATTTTCATTTATTTCATGGTATGAAGACCCCCACCATTGCCCACGAAAATGTGATTTCGCAGTATAATAATTGCAATTTCATCTTTATTAATGTTTTACTTGTGTTTTATGTTTTAGTGTACAATTTCATCTTTATTAATGTTTACTTGTGTTTTATGATCTAGTGTACAATTTCATCTTTATTAATGTATTACCTGTGTTTTATTTTCTAGTGTCATACTTTTGTTGAGGAACATGAAGAATTAGTGGAGAAATTCTGGCATTCTATTTTTGCGAAGGATAAAGGGCCAGATTTCTTTTTGTGGCTCTGCATCGAAAATGTTAAAGGTTTGTAACAAAGGGAAATAACTGACAATGTGACACAACTCCCTTCAACTGCTCATGTTCCTACTTAGTTTTACTCTTCAGCTAAAAATGAATTCAATACATTCAGACTCCAAATTTTTTTTTTTTTACATAAGATATGGTCTGGTTACATAAATACATGTATAGAACTTTGTTTTCTTCTTTAAAGGTTGAGTTATATTTGATAATTTTAGCACATGTATCAGTTTTAAAGGGATTAATATAAATAGTATTATATTTATATAATATAATTAATATTATAAATACTTGTGTTATGGTGTATAATACAAGAGCATATGGTTACTATACTAATTCAAAACATATACAATGTATTAGAGAAGTCATCAATCACTCTACCCTGCCAAGTCAGATAAAACAACTTTTTTTCTTCTTTTGTGTATAAAGTTTGCTGTCCAGAGAATACATATGGCCCCAGCTGTAAATCATGTCCAGGGGGGACAAAGTCTCCGTGTGGAGGAAACGGAAAGTGTGATGTAAGTAATTATGGAGGTCTTAGTGTTTTAGGGATGAAATGTATAAGAAATATGGCATTAGCGCCAGAAAAAAGGTTTCATGTACCTGTAATCATGCTGATAAAAATGTTGTGAATTTAATTTGGTCATCACAGTTAAATGCTAATTCTGATATTTAACATTAAGAAAAATATCAAAATTTTACAAATAAATTGTAATGCATTCAAATATTTTATTAACAATTTTTTAACTAAAATTTTATACAAATTTTCACAAATTTGCAGGGGGCGGGTACCAGAAAAGGAAAGGGCACCTGTTCTTGTGATGCTGGTTACCAAGGTGACATGTGTGACAGCTGTTCTGATGGACATTATGAGGAAGTAAAGAATGAAACTCACACTATCTGTAAAGGTGTGTGGTGTTTTAGTTTCAAAGTATATTCTCTGTAAAATATACTAATTTTTTCAGTATTTTCCTATGCAATAGTTTTACCCCTTGTTTTGGCTCCACTGATTAAATGTTAAGATATATTGCTCTTGTTATACATGTAAATTGAACTTGCATGCATTCGAAATAATACTTAGCCTACATAAAATTGAAATTACAGTTCTTGGGCCTGCGTGCATCTATTTTGAAGTAGCTGCATTTTAATTTTTATCATATTTTCAATAAAGCAAAAATGTGGAAACCAATCTGGAAAAAAAACTCTGCCCTCATTTTCTCATAGTTTTGGACTGGATTTAAGGTATCGATTTCTTATTAACATGGACATTGACAGCAATATGACATGGACACTTAATAAGAGAAAAAAGTCATATATTTGGTAAATTTGTGAGATGTAAATCCACAGTATAATTATAAAGGAAGAATTTTCATTGTTATCTAATATAAAAAATTCTGCAATTTTAAAACAAGCCTCTCGCATCTAATTTATCGTCGATAAAAAAAATATCCTCCAGTCCACATCTCTATTTTAAGAAATTGGCCTGAAAACTGTAATATCAAATTTACTTAGCCTTAATGAGCTTATTTGAATAAAAATCTTTCTCAAATTGTAATGTAGAGAAAGTCTATCATAAAGTTAGATGCTGGACTTTTTTCATGGTAGCCTTAATACTTTAAAAAAATCTGGACTTCTGAAGGGAATTTTTTTTCAACCCTCAATATTAATTTGTTTATTTCCTGTAGCTTGTGATGCATCCTGTAAATCCACTTGTTGGGAGGCTGGTCCTAAAGGATGTGATGAATGTAATGAAGGCTGGAAGGCTTCTGAGGAAGAAGGATGTGTAGGTAAGATGAAGGATGTGTAGGTAAGATGAAGGATGTGTAGGTAAGATAAAGGATGTGTAGGTAAGATGAAGGATGTGTAGGTATGATGAAGGATGTGTAGGTAAGACGAAGGATGTGTAGGTAAGAAAAAGGATGTGTAGGTAAGATGAAGGATGTGAAGGTGAGATAAAGGATGTGTAGGTAAGATGAAGGATGTGTTGGTATGATGAAGGATGTGTAGGTAAGATAAAGGATGTGTAGGTATGATGAAGGATATGTAGGTAAGATGAAGGATGTGTTGGTATGATGGAGGATGTGTAGGTAAGATAAAGGATGTGTAGGTATGATGAAGGATGTGTAGGTATGATGAAGAATTTGTAGGTATGATGGAGGATGTGTAGGTAAGATAAAGGATGTGTAGGTAAGATGAAGGATGTGTAGGTAAGATAAAGGATGTGTAGGTAAGATGAAGGAATTGTAGGTATGATGAAGGATGTGTAGGTAAGATAAGGATGTGTAGGTAAGATGAAGGAATTGTAGGTATGATGAAGGATGTGTAGGTAAGATAAGGATGTGTAGGTAAGATGAAGGATGTGTAGGTAAGATAAAGGATGTGTAGGTTAGATAAAGGATGTGTAGGTAAGATAAAGGATGTGTAGGTATGATGAAGGATATGTAGGTATGATGAAGGATATGTAGGTTAGATAAAGGATGTGTAGGTAAGATGAAGGAATTGTAGGTATGATGAAGGATGTGTAGGTAAGATAAGGATGTGTAGGTAAGATGAAGGATGTGTAGGTAAGATAAAGGATGTGTAGGTAAGATAAAGGATGTGTAGGTATGATGAAGGATTTGTAGGTAAGATGAAGGATGTGTAAGTATGATGAAGGATATGTAGGTATGATGAAGGATGTGTAGGTAAGATAAAGGATGTGTAGATAAGATGATGGATGTGTAGGTATGATGAAGGATGTGTAGATATTATGAAGGATGTGTAGGTATGATGGAGGATGTGTAGGTATGATGAAGGATGTGTAGGTAAGATAAAGGATGTGTAGGTATGATGAAGGATGTGTAGATAAGATGATGGATGTGTAGGTATGATGGAGGATGTGTAGGTAAGATAAAGGATGTGTAGGTATGATGAAGGATATGTAGGTATGATGAAGATAAAGGATGTGTAGGTAAGATAAAGGATGTGTAGGTATGATGAAGGATGTGTAGGTAAGATAAAGGATGTGTAGGTATGATGAAGGATGTGTAGGTAAGATAAAGGATGTGTAGGTATGATGAAGGATGTGTAGATAAGATGATGGATGTGTAGGTATGATGGAGGATGTGTAGGTAAGATAAAGGATGTGTAGGTATGATGAAGGATATGTAGGTATGATGAAGATAAAGGATGTGTAGGTAAGATAAAGGATGTGTAGGTAAGATGAAGGATGTGTAGGTAAGATGAAGATAAAGGATGTGTAGGTAAGATAAAGGATGTGTAGGTATGATGAAGGATGTGTAGGTATGATGGAGGATGTGTAGGTAAGATAAAGGATGTGTAGGTATGATGAAGGATATGTAGGTAAGATAAAGGATGTGTAGGTATGATGAAGGATATGTAGGTATGATGAAGATAAAGGATGTGTAGGTAAGATAAAGGATGTGTAGGTAAGATAAAGGATGTGTAGATAAGATGATGGATGTGTAGGTATGCTGAAGGATGTGTAGATATTATGAAGGATGTGTAGGTAAGATGAAGAATGTGTAGGTAAGATAAAGGATGTGTAGGTAAGATGAAGGATGTGTAGGTAAGATGAAGATAAAGGATGTGTAGGTAAGATAAAGGATGTGTAGGTATGATGAAGGATGTGTAGGTATGATTGAGGATGTGTAGGTAAGATGAAGGATGTGTAGGTATGATGAAGGATATGTAGGTATGATGAAGGATGTGTAGGTAAGATAAAGGATGTGTAGATAAGATGATGGATGTGTAGGTATGATGAAGGATGTGTAGATATTATGAAGGATGTGTAGGTAAGATGAAGAATGTGTAGGTAAGATAAAGGATTTGTAGGTATGATGAAGGATTTGTAGGTATGATAAAGGATGTGTAGGTATGATGAAGGATGTGTAGGTAAGATAAAGGATGTGTAGGTATGATGAAGGATGTGTAGATAAGATGATGGATGTGTAGGTATGATGGAGGATGTGTAGGTAAGATAAAGGATGTGTAGGTATGATGAAGGATATGTAGGTATGATGAAGATAAAGGATGTGTAGGTATGATAAAGGATGTGTAGGTATGATGAAGAATGTGTAGGTAAGATAAAGGATGTGTAGGTAAGATGAAGGATGTGTAGATAAGATGATGGATGTGTAGGTAAGATAAAGGATGTGTAGGTAAGATAAAGGATGTGTAGGTAAGATAAAGGATGTGTAGGTAAGATAAAGGATTTGTAGGTATGATGAAGGATTTGTAGGTATGATAAAGGATGTGTAGGTATGATGAAGGATGTGTAGGTAAGATAAAGGATGTGTAGGTATGATGAAGGATGTGTAGATAAGATGATGGATGTGTAGGTATGATGGAGGATGTGTAGGTAAGATAAAGGATGTGTAGGTATGATGAAGGATATGTAGGTATGATGAAGATAAAGGATGTGTAGGTATGATAAAGGATGTGTAGGTATGATGAAGAATGTGTAGGTAAGATAAAGGATGTGTAGGTATGATGAAGGATGTGTAGATAAGATGATGGATGTGTAGGTAAGATAAAGGATGTGTAGGTAAGATAAAGGATGTGTAGGTATATCAAAAATTTGTAACCTCCTTTCACAATTGTTGAAATTATATGATTAAACCTGAAGATGTTCATTAAAGAAGTAAGGTAATAGAAAATAAATGAATAAATTGATATGTACCATTCCTCACATATATCATTTGAGCACTTTTGCAATAGGAACATATGTTTAATTCTTTAGATTATACATATTTACAGATGTGGATGAGTGTGTCAGTGATACTACAAAGTGTTCAGATGATGAATACTGCTCTAATACCGTCGGATCATTTTATTGTGGGAGTAAGTATTGTTAGTAACGTGAGTTTTAATATGTACTGTTTTTAAGGAAAATCTAATTCCTTAATGTAAAATGTTGTGTACTTGCTTTCATTTGACATAAATATACCCAGCCACCCACATTTGTTTTTATGCCCCCGTATCAAAGATTCGGGGGTATATAGTTTTTGCCCTGTATGTCCGTCTGTCTGTTTGTTTACAAAACCTTAATATTACTTATAACTTTTGATTGGTTGGAGCTATGGCCTTCATATTTCACATGTGTATTCTTTGTGACAAGACCTTTATTTGGGTACCATCATATTTGACCTTGATCTTGGAGTTTGACCCAGTTTTACAAAATTTTACACAAATGTAACCTTGGCCATAACTTTTAAACAGTTGGTGCTAGGGCTTTCATACTTCACATGTATAATCCTTGTGAAAAGATCTTCCTTTCGGTACCAACAAATTTGACCCTTTGACCTTGACCTAGGAGTTTGACCTACTTTTGAAAAACTTTAACCTTGGCCTTAACTTTTGAACAGTTGGTGCTAGCGCTTTCATACTTCACATATATGTAATCCTTGTGACAAGACCTTTCTTTGGATACCAACAACATTGACCCTTTGACCTTGGAGTTTGACCTACTTTTGGAAAACACTAACCTGGGCCATATTTTTGAATGGTTTGTGGTAGGGTTTTCATACTTCACTTGTGTAATCCTTATGACAAGATCTTCCTTCAGATACCAACATTTTTTTTACCCTTTGACCTTGACCTTGGAGCATGGCCTACTTTTGAAAAACTTTAACCTTTTCCATATCTTATCAATGGTTGCTACTTTTGAACAGTTGGTGCTAGGGCTTTCATACTTCACATATGTAATCCTTGTGACAAGACCTTACTTTGGATACCAACAACTTTGACCCTTTGACCCTGGAGTTTGACCTACTTTTGAAAAACTTTAAACTTGGCCATATCTTTTGAATGGTTGGTGCTAGGGCTTTTTTTTTTGTGAAAAGGCCTTTCCCTGGGCACCATTAATTTTTACCATTTGACCTTGACCTTGATGTGTGACTTACTTTTGAATAATTTTTACCTTTTCCATATCTTATCAATGGTTGCTGCTAGGGTTTCATATTTTACAGTTATATTCCTAGGCACAAGACCTCACTTTGGGTACCAACATTTTTGATTTGCATTTGAGAAAGTTTAACCTTCATTATAAGATGCCATATAGGGGCATCAGTGTTTCACAAACACATCTTGTTTTATTTATATATATGAAAGAATCACATTGGTTGATCCAGATGTTTCTCTTAGAGGGAGTCTATACCCACTGAAAATAAAGAATTGACCCACATATTTGTGGACAATCAATAAATAAAAGGATTTTGTCCAAATGTGAAAATCCTACTTTTCCCTCATGTGATTGATGTGACTTTTCTTTTTGCCAACTTATGAGAGGTCTACATTTCCTTGAGGGGGGATCCAAGTTCATTTTTGGCTACCCTCTTTTTAAAAAAATTATTCACTCTAAAAATACTTGGGGGATGGTGTATCCCCCTCCTTTAGATCAGTGCATAGATTATCAAAAGAGCACTAGGTAACTGTTTACCCTTCCAGAATTGAATCTTATAAACTAATAATTGCCATCTAGAGCTGTGGAGTGTCAGTGAAAAGTTTCTTAAGAAAACCGTTTGAAATAGATCTACATTTCTTAACTCCCCTTGTAGAATGCCACACAGCATGTAAAGGCTGTAAACAGTATGGACCAGACCAATGTAAGGAGTGTTCAGACGGGTATAAACTGTTGGATAATACCTGTACAGGTAAGAATGGAGAAGGAAAATTAACCAGACCCCAGATAAAATAAAACCAAGATTTTAAAATATGTTTATATCAAAGATGTCTAATTGTTCTTCAAAACATGTTCCCTTGTGACAGGGATAAGAATACAATACTGGGAATTTAAAAGTTTCACAACGTACTTACCTATACCAGTAGAAAATATTTCAAAATGAACAGAGCTAAAACATCCTTATATAGTGAAGATGAAATTTTTTTTCAATAAAGTTTCTCCGAGCAAGGATGTTTCACTACTTAGGTCTTGTTTTTACCTTAGAACACGTGTAGAATGCAGAGGAATATTTTCTTTGGAGCAATAAGCTGCAGATGTTAGTATTGTTATACAATCATCTATAAGATCATCTAAATCTTTTGAAATCATGACCCCTGGATAGGATGAGAGGCTGCAATAAGTTTGGTATTATTATTGTTAATGATATAAGGGATTCTTACATGTTGTAATTCTTAATCAGATATAGATGAATGTTTTGAGGACACGAATCTATGTGCTGGAGAAAACAGACAGTGTGTAAACAGTCCAGGAAGCTACTCCTGTACGTGTAATGAAGGCTTTATAGAACAAGAGGACAAGTGTGTCCCTAAACCAAAAGGTTGGTAGTCAGTCTTCTTTTCTAAATCACTTGATCAACATTTTTGGTTCTTTTGCATTTTTTTCCGATAACAGTACACAAAATAGAAAAGTTTAGTTTCATAAAACTTAACATTTAAGAACAACAATGTATTTCCAGAGGCATATTTACCATAGTTTGCATGTGAAATATCATTCTGTAGATAATATAGCAGCTGCACCCTGTATTATTTTGGCCTGAACTTATTGGTTTCTTATGTAAACTATATATATTCAGATGTCTGTTCTACACAATACAACCATCCCTCAGTATCAGTTTCCCTGTTCTTCTGTGATCATGCACAGTTGATTTCATTTGTCCTCCCCCAGCCTTTTGTGTTAGGGGTAAAACTTTATTGGATCAGTTTTGTACCATCTCTCAAAAACTATTCTCAGATCATATTTGGTCTCATAGAAAGATTTGTGGTGTCTTTGCAGATGTACCCAAGCAGTCAAAAAAGAAGAAAAAATCAAAAAGTGTATGGTCCAAGGTTTATGCTTTTGCTACAAAAGCTTCCATGTTAAACTTTCTCTTGGTTTTACTTCTGTTTGTTTTAATTGGTCGCCTCTTCAAAGGGGAGGTGTTAGTAATTCTAATATTGTCAGTGTTGTATCTCCAGTATTTATTATGGTTTTCATCAAAAAGTGAGAAATCCTGATTGTTAATGATAGAACAGTGTTTTTCATATTATTTAAACTTTGGCAGATCTCATTTTCAATTTTTGTTCTTGTTACATGTGTGTAGTGAGTATTTATGTGTTGTGATCATCTAAGAATGAATCATGTACAGATCTTTCATTAGATAATGATTATTAATTCATGTTTGGGTGATTGTTTATACATGTATTTGTAATGTAATAATTTCTCCTGATTAAAGCATACTTGTATGTCAAGAATGATATTTCACATACAGTTATGGGTCATAAATGCAATTGGTCGTAAAAGTTACTGCACAGTAAATTAATGTTTAAAGAATAAAATAAATAATGCACATATTTTTAACATATTTGTTTTCTGTCCAGCACATGGTATAGGTATTTTGGAGTTGAACTAACATTTTTCTTGATATTTATACCCCTGCTGGAAAAGTGGGAGATACTGTGTACAGGGTTATTTATTTTGACCCTTTCCGATTTGCAAACAATTTTGTACTAATGGTATTTTACATTTGCTTAATCACAGCTCTGTTTAAGAAGTTATACTGTCTTCTTTGAAGAACTGCGAACAATAGTATTGTTCTCCCACCTACCTCCAAGTCAATTTTCAAAAGTTACAGATACAGATACTCCAGTATTTATTATGGTTTTCATCAAAAAGTGAGAAATCTTGATTGTTAATGATAGAACAATGTTCTTCATATTATTTAAACTTTGGCTGATCTAATTTGTTGTATGAAAAATGAGTTTTGACTGTTTCATGATGTGCAAAAAACATTAAAATGAATCAGGAAACAGTTCAAAATGCCTAATTATAATTTATATAGTAGGATAGGTAATAATATTGAATTAAATGGGTGTAAAATGTAGGCGGGAATCAAGAGTTAGTGTGCGTAGTTCTTTGCCCTGTCAAAATTTCGCTCACTTGTGTCTTGGTCAAAAGGGGCAAAAATAAAACGAAAGTGACAAATTCCCTGTATACAGTATATGGGAATGAGGCTATCCTTACATATGGGTGAATTAAAAAAAAAATGACCAAACGCATATTTATCAACCCACACTAAAAATACAGGCAATGAAAATAGATTTCTATGTCTCAGCACATGTCTTTAGATAGTGTCTAAATACCTGCCAAATATTTCATTGATATCTCAATTATCAAAAAAGTTATGCCCAAAAATGATGCTAAAATTGTCAGGAGTGCAACACCTTTTTGTGACATTTTGAAATTTCAATATTTTTTGGAGATCTATGAAATAAAAAATAATGCTTCATGTTGAAAATAAAGACTTTCCTGATAATATTCAAAGTATTGAGCTTTAAATGTGGACTGTCATAACTTTTGTTTAATCAAGTTGTGGTCATGGCTGATGTTTAAAAAAATGTTATACCATGTCAGGAGTGCAACAGAAAAAATGTAGTGTTGCCAAAAAAACATCAGTTGTAAAATTCTGATAGAAAATTAAGACAAAAAAGAATTTTGGAAGTGTAAAATAATAACTGATATATATTTTAAAACTTAAAAATGTTATATAAATCACAAGCAGCATTAATGAGAGTCAAGTATATGTGCATACCCAAAAATGTCAGGAATGCAACATTTGATGTTTTGCTCCCAAGCATGAAAAAACTATTATCATTATATGATTTTCTGATTTTTATTTTGGAAAATAAAGACACAAAGAACATTTTTACCAAATAGATTTATCATTTACAGGATCTGTCTGTGCTTCAGATCCATATTTCTATGGTCAGGAGTGCAACACATTTTTTTAAAGATTCAAGTTGTGTGACGAAAAGACTTCTATTCATGCTTAGAAGTATTCATTAATTAATAATGATCTTTTTGTATAATTTAATGCTAAATTATTTACAGTTTTATTATCAAAATCCTTCCTTTTTCAATTTTATCAATTCAGATGTGTTTTTATCTTTTTTGTGATTTTTTTAATGAACGTTAAAAATAAACACACTAAAACATTGTCATAAAATTCGAGTAATTCCTTCTCAACTTCACTGAAACAACAGAACAAGTTCTTATGTAATTTTCACTTCACAATTCTACTTTAAAGGCCCCAATGCTTTTGATCAGGAGTGCAACAAATATGTTAGAATTATAAATCATCCAATAAGAATAAAAATAAAGAAAAAATGATGAGAAGAATTTTTCTGGTGGGTTACTGTGTTTGTCTTCTAAAGGAAAATATGCTTTAAAATATATTTTATCTTCTAAATATACATTTAAGCTAGTTTTTTGGCATAAAATAGGGTATCATTCCAGATAAAATGCGAATTTTAAATACTTTCATCTGTTTTAATTATGAAGTATTGGACTATAAGTATTGCACAATTTCATTACCACTTGATATTGCCAACACTTTATGAATTTTTGTGTTCTATGGTTTTAATTTTAAACTTTACTGCAGTCAGGAGTGCAACAAAACTGCTTCATAATTACCAATGCTTTTTAACTATCTTTACTAAAAGATGAGTTAAAAAAAAATGCTTGATACTATTTGATGTTCAAAAGACTATGTCTATCAACAAATTACAGAAATGTTACTGTCAATTCAGGGAATAGTTTTCATCATTTCACATATATTTTAAATACAATTTATATATATTACACTTTGCAAATAATCATGTTTTAAGGTCTTCGAAATATGAAAAACCTGCTGTAAATGATGAAAAATATCAACACGACAAATTTATTTACAAAGTAAGAATGGGTTATTGTGTGTTATAATTTTTAAAACTGTTACAATGTTAAATAAAATACATATCAGATGTCAGGAGTGCAACACAATAATGTAACATAGGGTCACTTCAAAATCTAGTATTTTTCATAAGAGAACTCCTATATAACAATTCTTTTTTGGCTTAGATTTAAAGAATTGACTTGAACGGACAAAAAAGTGAATTTTGGGGAATTTTATTGCTTCATATTTTTTTCATATTAAAACTTTTCAAACTAGAATTAAAAAATAATGTAAAATAACAATCAAAAAGCCAATTTTTTGTCACATGTACAAGAGAAGATACTCATTCAAGGTCTAGATTTAATCATTTATACCCCTTTTACCATTTTGAAGCATAAAAAACTATAATTTCTTGTGATTATGTATTTTAGAAAGTCTTCTAAGGTGTAATGATATTTTCTTTTTTCAAAAGAAATTTTACTAATAAAAATTCTGAAACTTTTTAATCCAATTGTCTATTCTATTGCCACTTCGGGATTTTAAACTAGAATGCATTTGCAATATGATGATGTAAGTGAAAAATATGTTATAAGTAGTAGAGTTTTGCCAAAAAAAAATTCAGTTTGGTGGTCATTTTTTTTTTAATTCACCCATATGTCCCTTTACGTCTGTAACACTTTGGGGTACCATCTCTTATGCACAATTCCCCTATACCACTACATAAAATATGAGTTTTTCACAGAATCAACATTTATTTATATAGTGCCATTGTGCACCTTCTATTTTACGTTTTGATAATGTTTGGAGTTTTCCATACAAAACATGGACAATGCCATTCTTTTTATTACCCATCTATTATCTGCAACTCCTCCTATACCGCTGAAATCAGCTGAATAAGTTTTCACAAAATCATAATTACACAGTGTCTTGTGCACCTCAGTAGAACACTCCTATTTTACTTTCAGTCAGACATATATTTGGATTTCCAATAGGAAAACATGAAACTGCATTTTTTTCCTATAATACTGGGGTACCTATTACTTATCCAGCAACTCCTTTTATACCACTGGATAAATTTTATGAGAATTTTACAGAATCTTTATTTCATAGTGCCATTGTGTATTTATGTTCTGATTGGAGAGATATTTGGGGTTTCCCATAGCAAAAATACACTCTGCCATTATACTCATATGGGAGTGGGGGTATCACTCTATGATCTCAGTACTCAATTTACCTTTAATTTATTTTATTTATAATGGCAGATGGAAGATTTATGATACATTCTTGGATAATTTAAGTATATTTCAAGCAAAATTGATAAAATAATAAAACTGGAAAAAGACCAGGAAAAATTAAGACATCCATCTCCCCATAATCCCAAATGATATGAATGCAAATTACATCCTAAGTGCATGTGCTCTTTCTAGAACGTTCTGTTTTCTAATACAACAGTAGCAAAGACAGAAATGCAAATTGGAGGATGTTTTCACAATCCAAGGATTGATCAAATTGAAAATTCTGTTATTTTAAAAAAAGAATTTTTGTATAGTAGAAAAAGTAAGATAATCAAGGATTTGTAAAAAATTGTGCTATACATAGGGAATACTTACACAGCACATTTAGGTCAGACTAGCATAGGATGACTACCGATTATTTGACCAAAGAGTTTAATATTATGAAACATTCAAAGTTATGTTTTAAACATATTTTAAGGATTTTGATGAAGTTAATTGACATAAATTTCAGACGAATCATCAAATGATAAGGCAGATGAAAGTCCAAAAGAGTCAACAGAACCCAAGGAAGAGTTATGACAACGGAGTAGTATAAGTGAATATATTTATGTATGAGAGATTTCTACACAAATAAAATTTATCTTTTTATACACATTGTGTTATATTTTCATACAAGGAAGTTTTAATCGTTAAAGATCAGAAGTGTGTTCAACATTGCTGTCACACATGAGTGTTCGCCAGAATTCCTTATTTCTCTAACAGAAATGTTTTAAACACTTGCTCAGTTAAACAGGCCTCTGGACACATGAGTGCTCGCTGGAATTCCCTATTTCTCTAACAGATATATTTTCTAGCACTTTATCTGTTGAACAGGCCTCTGGACATGCATTAACTGAAGTTTTCATTTATAGTTTTTCCACAAGTTTTCCGAGTCACGGGGTAGTCGGAACATGGGTTTTGGTAAATTGGATCTATCTGTCATGTACACTATATGAAAATGCCTGCTAAAAAATTAATTTGACGAAATATATTTCTTAGGGGTGAAACGATACACCTCCTTCACGGTTCGATACGTATTGTATAATTTTGTCTCGGTTCGGTTATTTTCGATACGATACATTTTGATAGAAGGAAACAAATTCTACGTTGTTTTATGCTTTCTTTTTCTAAATCTAGTCACATATTTTACGAATTTTATTTGCAAATTGACTAGAAGAAATTGATTAAAATTATTTGACTGTCAAAAATTATTTTACAAGCAATCAGTCATCAAAAATTTACGTTTTCTATACTTATTTATTCTGAGTAACGTGTTATACCTTATGCCAAACCCGACTGAATAACGATCCCGACCGAAAAATGAACCGAACCGAAAATTAGAGATTTTGCACCGTGTATCAAACCGAGAAAAAATACCGCGGTGCATCGATACCGCGGTGAACCGTTTCACTCCTAATATTTCTGTTTCTGAGAGTGTTGATGGAGTTGTCCTTTATATTCCTATATAAAGCTTTGAGACCTCTCGGTATTTTTGAAGAAGATTTTGGTATATGGGTGCATGGCGGACACGCTTGGTTTGTGAGGGTTTTCAACACTTCCACTGCCAAAGGTGTTTTGTGTCTTGAAAGAAAATAAGTTATAAAGGTTTACATTTTTTGTGGAGAAACCACAACTAAATAATTAATTTTACAAAACATCCTGAAAAGTAAAAACTTAATTAATATTATTAACAACATTTAACATTTTAATATTTTCTTACATTATAGTTGCGTTAACTTAAAAAATAAAATAACATAAAGAGTTCACTAATAGGATTGATATAAAGGTGATTGAACATACGTACCTTGAAAGAAAACATGTTATAAAAGGTTTACAATTTTATTTGTGAGAAATCGCGACTGAGGTTATCAAGGCGCACACGGCCTAGTATACCACAGAACCTGTTTCTATGGTAATCTCATAACTTGTCGACCTTCTTGATACCCGTGTGATTTGACCGCATGTGGTCGGCATATGATCAGTGCCTCGTAATTTTAATTAAAAAAACTAGAAATATGTCCATAGGACATGAATGCCCCGCCGAGTGTATATTAGTAATGCGACATGAAAATTTTTATTAGTGTATGAAGTTTGATGCGAATATCTTCAATAGTTTCTTTAAAATTGAATTTGATTTCTAAAAAAAATAAGATATAGATGATACATGTAAATTCTCACAAAATTTTGTATAAGTGCATAAACTTACATAAAAATATCTTAAATGCTTTCTTTAAAACTAAGCAAAATGAATATTAAAAGTGAGCTCAAAGTCACAGGATAGTGCAAGATCAAAAGTTTCTGATGCATTGAATTGCTCTCACTAATACGTATCAGCATATTAAGTTTAATAAAAAATATCTTGAATGGTTTATCTAAAACTGAGCTAAACACTAATTTTTAAAAAAGTGAAGTCAGGGTCAAAGGAAGGGTCAAGATAAAAATATTGATGCAGTTGTAAAGCTTACTCCAGTATGATTAGCATATGAAGTTTGACAAAACTATCCCGAATGGTTTATTAAAAACTATATAAGCTAACTCCAATTTAAGAAAAGTGATGTCAAGGTTAAAGCAAAAGTCAAAATAAAAAAAATGTCGATGCAGTTGAATAGCTTACATCAGTATGTCAGTTTGTATCACATATGAAGTTTGATAAAAATATCTTGAATGGTTTATTTTTAAAACTGAGCTAAATTCTAATTAAAGAAAAGTGAGGTCAAGGTAAAAAAAGGTTATGCTGTTGAATAGCTTACATCAGTGTGTATCAGCATATGAAGTTTGATTACACTATCTTGAATGGTCTCTTTAAAACTGAGCTAAACACTCGTTAAAGAAAAGTGAGGTCAAGGTTAAAGGAAAGGTCAAAGTCAAAAAATGTTGGTGCAGTTGCATATTGGGTCAATATCTATCAGCATATGAAGTTTGATAAAAACATCTTGAATATTTTTTTGAAACTGAGCTTTGAACTGAGCTAAACGCAAAGCGCGACGGAAGGATGGAAGGACGGAAGACGGACATGACAAGCATTGTCATTTATAAACAGTTTCTCTACTAAAGTTATAGTGTTATGACAGGAAATTCAATTCAGAGTACGCTTGAAAATAACGACGCCGATTCTCTGTCTCTGGTATCATTTATGGAGCAGTAACCATCCCCTGTCGACGGTCACATCCGCCATGAGATCTATGTACAGACCAGATAGAAGGAATATTCTGCAAATGAAGTCATATATATTATGGTGGCATATTTCTTAATTCCCCCCTACCTGCAAGAAAAATTATGTTAACCCACAGCGGGTTATGGCGGGACAGTGAGAGTTATACACAGGGATATAAATCTTGAAAAGCATTTTTTTTCTCAAGAACATCAAATCCATGATTAGTCATATTTATATGGAAGCATCCTCCTATAGTATCAATTGAAATTTGTTCAAATCATGAACCTCTGGGGTAGGGTAAGGCCATAATATGTTATACTTTCATGTAAATTAGTTGAATCTGATTCGTCGAGAAACATTTGTTAAAAACACTATTACCCGCTGAATAATGAAGCCACGCGCTCCAGCATAGCAACAGTCAACACTGCTTGACGACGGGTGTTATTCCAAAAAATATTTACTGTCCAGAATTTATGCGCGCAAGATTCACTGTTATATGTATTTGTATATTAAAACATTCAGTATAATATAATAAATACTGCATTTAATTGAGTGTAACATTGAAAATTTTCACCCCAAGAAAACCATTGTCAACCGAGGTGCAGCCGAGGTTGACAATGGTTTTCGAGGGGTGAAAATTTTCAATGTTACACTCAACTTCATGCAATATTTATATAATGAAACCTTAAAGAAAAATAAATGTAGGGAAAAGAATCTGCTGATGAAGAACAGAAGGGCCATAGTTACTCAGCCTCTTGTTAAAAGTCACACATCCCCTGTTATCAATGAAATTTAAATTTATGTCATTACACTTATCATTCCCATATTTATAAATTTTAAACAATAAACTCTTCATTTGTTTAGTATAGGTAAAAAAATTTAAAAGGTGTTTAATAATTGCCTTTTTACTTGAAACGAGAAATCAAAATGCCCGTTTAGGAACTCACAAAACCAATCATTAACCAAACTGAATATATATATATATCTGCCACGAGAAGACAACGATTGTTGTGGAGATATAATGCTATTGTAATATTTCACGAAAGAATGACAGAAAAATATTGATATTGTCATCTCTCTGTCCACTCAGACACACAATTCCACAATGCTTTTTAGTTTAAAAAATGAATTAAAATGAACTAGATTACGAATGCACAAATATCTTGAAAAATACATTTTACCAATTTATATCATATTCTTCAAAAGAGCCCCTTTAAGTAACAATTCAATATATAACTACAAGAAAATTATCGATCATAAATTGAGATAGTTGATAGTTCATATATTATGTGTATATTATATATCTCATTACAAAATACATGTAACACTGATGACAATAATGTTCTTGACTGAATATGTTATGTACGTTTAACATATTTATAAGTTCTTTGAAGGAAAATTTATAATAAGAACAGTAACAGTCCCCGGATGTGACGTAATATGATCTGGAGCATCCGATATTTTATCTAGATGTTGCCAAACAAAAAATGTTTTCTTTTCCTATATATATAAATGTTCCATAATCTAGTCAATACCAGGAAGAAGAACTGTTTTTGAAAAAAAAAAATACACGATTTCCGTGTAGAATATTTTTCTGAAAGCAAAAACAGTCTTTTGTTGGACGTAATGGAATATTTACAACTTTTCTGGTAGCATCTCGAAACTTCTTCGTTATGAAGAAAGGTGCAAACTCAAACGCCTTCAGGTACCCTTCGAATGGTAAAATTCTTTTCCTGATCTTTTTCTAAAAAATTAAAAAAAATAATTTACAAGTATTTGAATTATTTTTAAAGTTTTATTTTTTATGAAAATATTTTTCACTGGCTGAGTGGCAAGTTTTTCCTTTTTATTCTGTATGTGACTTTTGGAGGTTTGGTCAAACAGAGACCGAAAATTTTACACGAATCCTCTTCTTAGGTTCACAAGCAGCGAATGATTTGGAGGAAGATTCTGTAAAAAGAGAATTGCCACCATTATTGGACCAGGCCCTTTCAGGAACTGGTAAGTAGAAAAATAATGGCTTATCTCCATAAAATATATTAACCGATGTGTACTTTTAACAAGAAAAAAAAGGAGTCGAATAATTTTCGGCATATGAAAATATTTTCGAAGAGGAAATTTAAAATGAGCTATTTAATCGTAGCTTCCCTTTTTATATTTTATAAATAAAACAGACTTTGTCAGACATAAACAGAAACCTGTGTTTCCGTAATATGTCGCCAAATAAATTGACATATAGCATTGACATTTGACATCGTTAATCTTAATACAATGTACAATTCCTGATCGGTTCGAGATAAGACTGTCACAATAACAAAGATTCCTCTTTGTAATAAGCGAATTATGTTAATACATCAGAACAATTCAAGATATTTTTTTGGTGTAAAACAAATTGATGCCAAGATATTGAGTAGTTGTGTTAATATTTTACAACCCATAAGTCGTAAAATATTACAAAAACTTAATAACTAGGTTTTATTTTTATTCTATTTTTTAATTAATTTTTAGGTTAATTTTTTTTTTTTTTTGAAATCTAAAAACCTTCAATGATTCTTTGGAATTAAAGAAAAGGTTTGTTAATATATCAAATTTTAGATATGTAGGGACTTGTTTGCCAGGAAAATTTGCTTTGGTACATGCAAACGTTTAGAAATATTTCAACTTTTCAAGGTTCTGGGTTTATTTTTTTTAAATTAAAAAAAAGAGGTTGCTCAAAATTAGCTTTTGCTTACCTCCTCTCACTTGAAACAATACAACATTCAGGAAATTGTATAATTTTATTTTATTGTCATGAAATTGTAAACAGAGCAGATAGACGTATTTCTTGAACCCAGACATATGTCATTTAACCATCAGTTCCTGGTGCAAACTCATGAAATGAATCGGAAATATGTACATGATGTTAAAACTTACGTTCATCGTTCCACATTGTTGTGAACTGCAGTTTTGACTTTATAAGCTCCCTGATGATAGAAAGAATTGAAGTGAGGGACCATGGATGATATCTTGTCGATGAGAGTTTGTGATATTCTTGCACATTCATGGAATTCGGATTGAACCATGTAGTTCACGATCGCAATATCACATCATCAAGGTGTGGAGCGATGGCGCGATAATATGATTACTATTATAGTGGCTCGTTGACAATGAATCGAATACGATAGATGGTATCCCAGATAGCAAGCTTACGTTGGGCCAACGCAAGCCCAACGGTGAAAATTGCGTTGGCCCTCTGTCAGTTTTATGCGTTGGCCCAACATCATCTTGCTCATCGGCCCTACGTTCAACCAACATGTTGGCTCGACGTTGGGCCAACATTCGATGGTTGGTTATCTGGCATTGGCCCAACAATGGCCCAACGTTTAACTTCCTGTTGGCCCAATGTTGGTTCAATGTTTTTTAAAGCTAAGAATGAATGTTGGACCAACGTTGGCACTACGTTCTATAAACATGTTGGCAAATGATCGGCGATTGAATTATTTTAGTTCAACAATATGAATTCCTGTAACCTTTTTATTTCCATAATTATGAGTGAAACACGATTGAATATAAATCCTGCATGTTAAATTATCTTGTTCCTCAAACAAATGTTCAATTTTTTTCTCACTCCTATGGAATGAAATCAACAGAGGGAAATAAAGGTAGTTCAATGTTTTCTTAAGTCTATCCCATATCACTTCAGTCACTATATAATATTCCTCTAGAATAAGAGTCCCAGTGTTCAAATTTGTGAAACTTTGGAATGTTCTCCTGCCCATATTACTTCTGAACCATTCACTCCTTTTTTCCTGTTCATGTTATTGTTTCTTTGTCTGTAAAATCCATGTCTCTCACACTGATAATTGAGATAAATCACTCACTGTCCATTACATTCCAAACATCAATGGCCTTGTAACACAAAGGGTTTTCTCCCCACCAGATGCTATAAATGATATGAAAAATTTATCAGTTTAATCCGTTCAAAAATGATGTCACTTACTACTTATAAGTTATAACTAAAGAGATTACTAGTAAATATACATGCATATTTTGAAAATTGCAATTCTTGAATAACTTGTTCAATTTTACAAACTATGCTCAAGTTAAACTTTCACAGAGATAAAATTCTATCAATCACACCTAAAACGACTATACTTACATTTCAAGGGCTAAAACAATCCATTTTCTCTGTCTTGCGATTCAAAACGGACACGCACATGTATATGCTTTGTTCAAGTGTTGAAAGTGATAAGATGTGACCACTCCGAGTTTACGAAACAGAGCTGATTAGGATGCCTGTTTCCTAGGAAACCGGCCAGTCACCTGCTGAGCCAGTGGATTTCACCACTGACCTAATTATTTGGAGCTCTAAAATGCAGCACTTTAAGTTCCATGATGCTAAATATAGAATCTACAAAATTATATACTGTGCAGAATAATTAAAACTTTCTACATGTATTTGCAATGGTCTCGGACACAAATTAAAAACATAAATCAGTATTAAAAATCTTATTTTCATAAATTAGGTTCTGGAATAATTTTTCATTTTTATTAACACATACACTGTGAATTATTAATAAATGGGCTATTAAGATAATCCATTGTTCATAATATTTTAACGAAAGATGAAATGTTTCTATTGAAAGAAGCTTAATTGGTTCTAAAAGATACAAATTTAATATGTGTAATTAACAGATCACCCATATGTATGTTAATGAAAGTTGATTTTATCCCAATATTCACTCCGTTGAACCAACGCTGGGCCAACGTTGAAAGCCATATCAATACCTCATTATAATCAAAATTTACTACTTTGGGCCAACATTGGACCAACATTACATGCCCAACGCACATTTCATGTGTTTCATGTCAACATTACTTGGTTGGCCCTATGTTGGGCCAACATCACATCCCAACACACAGTGGCTTTGTTTTAAGCCAACATCTACTTGGTTGGACCTACGTTGGGCCTACATCAAATGCCCAACATATAATGGTCATGTTTCATGCCAACATTTACTACAATGGACCAACATTGGCCCAACATCGCATACCCAACACCGATGGACCAGCTTTCACTCCAACATATCATCCGTTGGGCCAATGTTGGGCCAACATTTACCGTCCAACGCCAACACTATACCAACCTACCAACCATCAACCAACGTTGGCCCGATGTAGTCTTGCTATCTGGGATGGTAAAGAAATGGTTCGACGACATGCTAGATACATCTAGTTGGCGCGGATCAAAGATCTGTCAATTAGTTTGGGATCAGGGGTTCTAGTGTCAGGACGGGGCTCTAAAGATTATAGAGTAAAAATTGAATTTAAGTCTTAGAAAATCTTCTCCCCTGCTCCTGGGCATTAAGCTGACGAAGAGTGCCTCTTCCAAAATTGTGTATGCCATGGCCACTGGATCAGGGGTTCTGGTGCTGGGCATAAAGCTGATGAACTAAGTACATAGTTATGATGAAGAAGGGTGTCTCTTCCAAAATTGTGAATTTCATGAACCCTGGGTAAGGGGTTCTGTTGTTAGGGCGGGGTTCTAATGATAACATAGTAAAAATGCATTTATTCTTTGAAAATCTTCTTCTCTGCTCCTTGGCATTAAGCTGATAAACGTACATAATTATGATGAAGAAGGGTGCTCTTTCCAAAATTGTGAAGTTCTTGGGCCCCTGGGTAAGGGGTTCTGGTGTTAGGGCGGGGCTGTAATGATTATGTAGTAAAAATGCATTAATTCTTTGAAAAGCTTCTTCTCTGTGCCTGGGTATTTAGCAGACATTAGTATCGCTCTTTCGCCTTCGTACCTTTGCTCTTCGCCGTCGCATCTTTACACTTTCGCTCCTTCGCTACTTCGCACTTTCCCCTTCGCAACTTTTCACTCCCGAAAGGCGAGAGTGCGAAGGTGCGAGTGGCCCCAACTGAACGCCATACTTTCAACAACTGCAAATGAAGCATAATAATACTTTTGTGAATAATTTACATAATATTTTTTTCCCACACGTATCATTAAAGGATAGAATGTTTCTCTTATTTGTAAGGAAAATTATTGCAGAGGGGATGCTTACTCCATGTTTTATGCCCTATTCAAAGAATTGTATCTTTTGGAGATTTTTTTTTAAGATCAACCACACTATTCGTATCTTCACCTTTTTTTATTTTACAGAAGATAAATTATCTACCGTTATTTACCCTCTCTTTTCTCCCGACCCTAATGATGATTCTGTGCTGGCTGAATCTCTCCCTGATATATGGGTCCCACCTATTCATACCTCCGGACGTTCTTTCCAGCAGATGTCCAATGAGAGACCAAAAGGTAAGAAAGTGATGTCTTTAAATTGACGTAACCAAGTAAATAAATATAATCTCGTTTGTATTTCTTTTGTCTTTTGTAAAATTTGGTTTACTTTTACTTTTAATTTAGAAACATGCCGTGAAGCGAGTTTTATTGAATCTATTGCTCAATGTTAAAATGGAGTTTTCATTGTGATTTTACTGAGATCTCGAGTTAATAGGTGGTCAGTGGTACAATAAATGCATATTAAATATTAAACATTTTCTTTTAATTCAAAGCAGATTTGATAGTGATTTCCTTAAACCAAAATCAACATACTTGAGAAAACTTCTGCAATTGATAATTCATTAATAATTGATAATTCATTATTTGACTTTAAAAAAAAAAGTTTCTTTTATGGTTTTCTTTCAATGCTATAAATTTCCTGAAGCAATCTACAAATCTAAGATACAGTCTTTTATTAAGGAGGTTCTGGAGTCTCCTCAAATTTCACCTTTGCAAAAACAAAGGCCTAATTTTACATCCGCTAAAACGAGCCATTCCCCGCATCAGCAGCAAATGAAACATTTACACTCTAGTAAATATTTCGTAAATTATTTTATCAATATAAAATATATCGTAGACAATGTTTAGCGATTTGGGGATGTTTCTGATTTTTGCAGTAAATGAATGTAAGTCTACGAAGTCTGCGGTTTTGAGCACACAAAGTAAGATCTCCAGTGGGATTTGTAAATTCAGTTTTACAGAAGAAAAATTGTCTGCCATGGTTACCTCTCTCTCTACCTTAGACACCTTCGAACAACCTTATCAGATGAACACAACAAATAATTCAGCAGAACTTTTATTTGACTATGAGGACGAGGAGGGAACAAAAGGTAGAAAAAAGGGTTGCCATCAAATTATTATTCCTTAAAGTGAAGAAATATCCTATTAGTAATCTCATTTATTATAGCTTCACCTTTAAAATCGTGACATGTCAAATTACCATGATGGCTTAATTGCACCTTATTAATATCTATTTGATACAAATAATGATCTTCTGCAAACTGCATTATATTCTTTACCAGGTAAATTCTTGCATGATATTTGTGTCATGGAATAATTTATAGACACTTTACAAAAGTAACTAACGTGTTATTTGCGAGGAATGCATGTTTAGTAGAACAGCTGGAAATAAATCACGCTTTACTCTGACTGATGTTAAAAAAATATCCTTTTAGACAGAAAATAATATCATTAAAGGATTATCATGGTAAAAAGAATTAAGCAGTTTGCAGACAGTAATAATTTATATTATTTTAAACAAAGAATGGCAGTGCACGAACTGTACGTTTCTGAACAAACCAAGCAGGGCCACCTGTAATATTTGTGGATTCAGAGCTACAGACGATGAAAGGTCTACCATTATTTACCCTCTCTCTACCTGTAAAGGTAACGCCTTGATCCCGCCTGTTAATCAGACCACTGGACATTCATTTGATCGCGTGGCCGATGAGACATCCGAAGGTATTCGTTCTTATCACTTTCATAATCTCTTTTTATATTTTGAGTGTACTTGCATAATATTTTCGATAATTTTAAAGCAAAAATTAAAATAGATAGGGGAATTGATATGTCAAATTTTTAACTTAAGATTTTATAGCAGCTCTAACATTACATTTGGGTCAATTAACCCTCGTAATACAGGAATATGAAATATAATTGGATATAACGAACAGTATATTCACGCTCAAAAGTTTATTCACACAAAAGAAATCAGGAGCAGAGCAAACACAGACCTCTAAAACATCAGAGGTGGGATTAGGTGTCATGCAGGAGTGAGGATCCCCTGCTGACAAATGTAAACTCACTATTCCTTACCCACGCAAAACCATTTATTTTTCATTGATCTATTGTAATTAATTGTGCCTTTGTTTATTAGTTCCACTTCAATCAGAGTAAAAATATTTTGCTCCAGATATTTAAATCATCAAATATATCACTTTAAACTCAAAATTTGCTTGACAACTATTTCTGGAATATCGCCATGTAAATATTTTTTTATGTATTAAGCTTTCTTTTATCTATTTCCTCACAGACGGAAGCTTTTTAAGAAAGGAATTAAGGATAATACTTGTTGGAAAAACCGGATCTGGGAAGAGTGCCACAGGAAATACAATTTTGGGAAAAAGAATTTTTGTGTCTGATGTGTCTAATTCAAGCGTTACGAAATGTTGCAAGAAAGGATCATCCCGAAGATTCGGGGAGGATTTACTAATCGTAGACACGCCTGGTCTTTTTGACACAGGTTAAATCTTCTTACTGATTTTTAATCTTTAATTTGTTTTGCAACGAAAATTTATACGGTAAACGTTAAGTAGTTACATGTATTAGTTACATACATGTCGATTTTATTGTGAATGTTCTAGAAAAATTATTTTTGTACCATACTTCAACTTAAATATTTTTGAAATATGACAAATTACGGAACATATCATTGAAAAGTTTTTTTGGGGTCTGTTGTTACACGTGTTTCAATGTAAGTAGTATATCAAAAATTAAAATTGGAAAAAATATTCACCTTTCCAGGAATGACAAACGATGACATAATCAAGGAGATTTTGAAATGCGTGGGAATCAGCGCCCCGGGGCCCCATGCCTTCCTTCTTGTCATTGGGATAGGACGTTTTACAAAGGAAGAAAGGGACACAATTCAATTACTTAGAAAAGCCTTCGGTCCAAACATGATGGGATACTTGATAATTGTTTTCACAAGAAAAGATGATCTAGACCGCGGGAAAAAATCTATACAGCAGATTTTAAACGAGGCTCCACAAACTTTGCAAGAAATAATCAGGGGTTGTCAAGATCGATTTTTTGCCATAGATAACACAGAGAAAGAGACTGAAAAGTCAGAAAAGCAAGTGGTAGATCTTCTGGAAATGATAAAAGGAATGGTGAAGAAAAATGGAGATGAATATTACACAAGTGCTATCTTTAACAAGTTTGAGTTGACCATTAGAGAACGTGAGAGAGAACTTAAAGCTAAGTATGAGGAAAGTATGGAGGAGATCTCAAATCTCAAAAAGAGGGAAAAGAAATTGGTGAACAAACTAGCGCGAATGGAAGATCAGCTCAAGGATAAACACCTAAGTCTATTGAGAAGAGAGAGTTCTTTGCAGACCATTATGGAAAATTCAACAATCGCAGCTGATACACACAGTTTTGACGAGGAAGAATACTGTAAATTAATACGGCCGAGAATTCTAATGACTAGAAATCATCTAGAAGAAGTTAGACGGGAAATGAGTGAAAAAATTATGAAGGACGATTTCAAGAGTATGTTTTGTCATAATTCAGATAGCAAAGCGCTTAACCGATATGTCAGAGAAAATGTTCGAAATGAGATTGAAAGTGGAGATAAAAATGTATGGGGAAGAGTGTTGAGAAATATACAAAAAGCAGGGTTAGGTTTAATCGATAAATTTAAGGATATTTTTGATTCAGTGAAATCAAAGAAAAAGTAAGTAACCAAAAGATGTTCACAAAGATAATTGAAGTTACATTTTTATGTTTACATGCTACACTGTTTAGTACAACATCTCGATTTATTGTAACTATTTCAATGCAAATGAACACATGACCATTCCAAACTTAATGATATGACAATCTTTTGTGTTGTTGAAGATTGATTAGCAGCAGGAATCTCCATACCATCACTGTGGCGCAAAACTTACGCCAAGTGCTAATATTCGCGGGCATTTCACGACCAAATTTGCGAAGAAACCTCTGAAGTAATTGAAAACCACACAGCTCCTCTGTATCACTAGTTTAATACACAAATGGTATTCACCAACACAGTAGCTCAGTCGGTAAAGTTTGCAATGAAATATATGGAATGAAAGAACAGTATTCAAGCTCAAAATTCCATTGAACAATACAAATCAGGAACAGAGCAAACACGGACCTCTAAAACATCAGAGGTGGGATCAGGTGCCATGGAGGAGTGAGCAAACCCAGCCCACCGGTCACACCCGCCGATTGCTCCTTGTCATGATCGGGAAATAACGGAAAAATCCGTCGACAAATCAGTGTGTAAATAATGATCTAACAATAAGTATGAAAAACGTCAGTCAGCATTTGACTTAATTATTTAATGTATTTGCTGACAAGGTCATTGTATCGACCAAAGAACTTACGAAATGATGTCTTTAAACGAGACCACTGACATTCTTGGGTTCCAATAAAGATTTTCTAAATTTCTTGTTACAAGATAAAAAAATAGGGAAGTGTTTTCAAGGAGAAAAGGCTGTAAAGGAGAAACTTCAGACGCATACTGTGCTAAAGCATACTCTAGAAGTGGTGTAAATCAGGTGTGGATTCTCAAAAATTCCAAAGAACTTTTAGAAAAATTGAAATCACCACGACTTTTCTACACTTTTTACTATGAGATATTTGGAGATAATGAACAGTATTCAAGCTCAAAAGTCCATTAAACAATTTTTCCTCACTATAAATTAAAAACTAGGCTTTTTGACATCAAAGACAACTGATTCTTCAATTCAAATGTAAATAGGAAATTTTATATTTTGTGATTGGTCATCAACAAAATTACTTTGATTCTACACACAAGTACTGTAAAGTTGATATGAGAAGGATACTGGAGTTCCTCATTGACAACATTCATATAGTCTTTGCAGACTAGATCTTCCAAAACAGTTGGAATTCCGATGAGCACTAATTATGCTCTTTTATAAGACAACCTGTTTTTATATTCGTATAAAGCAGAATATATTCAAAGACTTCTACATGAGAAAAAAAACCACTTGCTGTTGCCTTCAACTCGACATTCTGTTATATTGACGACGTTTTATAAATTAACAATAGTAATTTCAATTCATATGTCGACTCGATATATCCCAAAGAACTCGAAGTAAAAAACACCACCGAGTCTGCCACGTCAGTTTCATATTTGGGTGTTTTACTGACTATAGACAGTAAGGGCAAACTAACAACGAAATTGTTTGACAAACAATGTGACTTCATCTTATCCATAGTCAACTTTTCTTATTTATGTAGTAACATTCCACTATCACCTGCATTTGGGGTTAACGTCTCCCAACTCAATCGATACTCAAAAGCATGCTTTGAGTACGATCAATTTTAAGTCGAGGCAGGCTACTGTCAGATAAGTTGATGTTACAGGGATTTCAACAAGCTCGTTTAAAGTCAGCATTTCGTAAATTCTATGGTCGATTCAATGACCTTGTAGCAAATTTAACCTATCACTGGTGGTATTTAGCTACTGTTTTTCATATCAATTGTTAGTCCTTTGTTTTTATACGAAATTTGACTACCGAAATTTCCGTGTACCTGTTCACGGTGAGTATGACCGGTCGCTATGAGATGCTTATCCTCCTAGGCACCTGATCCCACCTAAGGAATTTCCAGGGGTCCATGTTTTATGCTCTGTTCACAGATCTGTATTGTTTTTGGATTTTTTGAGATCGGTTTCTATTCATTGTATTCACCTTTTTCTTTTAAATGAAGTCACACCTTAATCAAAACAAGTTGTTAAGTATTAAACTCTTCAACACTCCTTTAAACATAGTTTTTTTTTTTTTTTCAATTTGTGTAGAACAAAGGGGAAAAAATCGTCCTGCTTCTTTTTTCATTTTACATTACGAATGTAAACATGGACACGATTTGCATCAAATTTGTTGAAATTAGGATACAGAAAAATGCTATTCATTGTTAAACAATTTTTTTTTTTGCAGATATTACACTTTCGAAATATTTCATTGTAGAATTTATTTAGTGTAAATGATCTTTCTATATCTTTTTATAGATATTCTATACTATCGACTTTTGTCTATGTTAACTTCGCATTTGAAATCGAGGCTAGTCATTTAAAAGTTCTGTTGCAGAGGAACACATAAGGTTATTTAGCTGATCAAAATAGTTTTTAAAGTACCATCAGCAAGAGACAAACATAAAGGTCTTCTATCATAATGGTTATTGTTTATTGTAGCCATGAATTATCCTCGTCAAGGATAGATATTTAAATTAATATTTTAGCAGTGGTCATGTATAAAGGCACATTAGTAAACAGTTGACAAAGTTTACGTAAAATCAACAAAAGTTGAGAGAAATTCAATTGCTATTTCATGTGAAGCTCAAGAACAGCTTGCAAAATTTATCGACATCCAAGGAAATTTGACCTCATTCAGATAAAATCTGTATGATCTTCGTTTTGAATAAATCTTAAATTTAAGAGTTAAATTTAAAATTATAACCGTCGCTCGCGTGGCGCAGTGGTTAGGAATCTTGCTCTAGAGTTGCGGTGTAATGAGTTGATCCTTACGTCGGGGATTCGAATCCCACTGTGGGACGTGGAGACCGGTCCTTCGGATGAGACCGTATTTATAAATCGAGGTCTCGGGTCGCAGGAGGTGCTGGCACGATAAAAAGATCCCTCACTGCTTAATGACCCTGAGTGCCGAGTATAGGTCTAAATTTGCAGTCCTCCACCAGCAAGTGGTGGCGTCTCCATATGAGTGAAAAATTCTCGAGAGAGATATTAAAAAACGAACAATGAAACAAACAAAATCGAAACATTCCCAATACATATGAGTTTTGTTGATATCAATGATTGAAGTAAATGGTTGTCAGAATCACAAATAGAAGGTTTAGGGAAAGGAAATAGGCGATAAATTTGATATAAAACTAATATTTTTTTTGTCTTCTAATGCTAGGGAAGGTCACCGCAGCTAGTTTTTGCTAAATTTGTACAAATCAAATAAAACACATTCATAGAGATGAATTATGTCATTTATTTAAATGACGGTATAAATGTAAACAATTTAATACACAATGAGGGGATCAGACTCACAAGCTCTGATTGTAAGTTACGTAAAATAATATAATGACTGATCCCCCCGAAAAACGAGTAGAAAAAAGTACATATAAAACAAGACAAACAAAACATCACAAGAAAAAGTTAGCAAAAAGATGGCACATCAAAACAAAATGGGCCAAGCACCTATAAGAAGACAATAAAAATTAATGTTTTTGGTCCATCAAAATGCTTGTAAATATATGAGATAGATTGGCAGGGAAAAAAGAAGGCACACAGATTTTCACTGCAATGGGAATAATATCTATCAGCTTGCCAGCTCCGACTGGTAAACCAGAAACCTTTTATCATTCGTGTTAAAAGTTTGTTAAAATCTGGAAAATATCCTTAAATAATTCTATTGAAGAAATATGAATTTCCATAGGAAGAAAAAAAGTATACAGCAGAAAACATTCTAAGTCCAGAACTATAAAGAAGAAGTAAAACGAGATAAGATCAAAAGTATAACTAATAATGGAAAATCAAATGACAGTGGCCTAGAATGGTAGAGATTTAAGTAGGTATGGAGTGTATGAGAGAATAACTGGTTTGGTGCTAGGGAATTCTTAGAAAAGAGAGTTGCTTTATTATTCTTTTCCCCCAAAAGGAAAACATTTACATTGCTCTGATGATGAATAAGTATGTTTTGCCATAAGACGTATTAATTAATTTAGTATTTCAAACACTTATTAAAAGCATTTCAATGCTGTGGAAAATAAACTACAGCTACCACGTAAGAGAGTAATGCCCAAAAAATTCTTTAAGTGGAAGATTTATATGTATGCTATTTTCTGTCCTTTATCTTCAAGACCGGTAGCCCCGGGTAAATGGAGATTTGTAATTTTGCTTGATGTTTTCTTGTCAGCCACTTACCATGCTTTAATTATTTCTTATATTGTTTTAATTAAGAGGGCAGTCTAAGATAAATGAATATTATAAACAATGATGCAAAAAGATAATCACACATAAATGGGTGACTAGGGGTTTACTACATCTAGAGACCTTTAAATGTCTTTTATTTAGTTCTATGCTCTATATATGCTGAACATGATATATTATAGATGAACGAAGGGTTTACGTTAACAATCAAACTTGAAATTCTCAAAAGATGTATTCTTCAAATTCTTTTTGCAAGAGAATTTTTAAAAAAATTAAAACCCCGATTAGTACATAAATTTAGATGATCTATGTGATAATTTCGTTAAAGTATAAATAATTTAGTAATTTTTTTTCTTTTTAATTTTAATCAACCATATCTTTTTAATTCAGAATTATTCTTTAACTGGATATGGAATATTTCAATAATAAGATACAAAACAGTTCATTTAATGTTAATTATATAGATGATGATAATAGTGACAAACATTAACACTTTTACAGAATAGATCAGTAGAGAAAGTGCTATATTCATTTCAGAATACAATATCAATAATAAAAAACAAAAACCATCGGACTATGAAACATTTCAGATAAGAAAAAAATATCAATATAATTAACTTCAATTTCAAAACAACTTAAAATTAAATTACATTTAATTACGTAAAAATTTAAGATCATAATACATAGGATATCTGCGAAGAAAAAGAAAAAAAAATATTGCCATCATTATCTAAAATTTAATATTAAATCTATGGAAAAATGTTTGCATGTTAGTAATTAGTTCTTTATATTTTGTTTTTGTATTTTAAAAACTGAACATTTCGTGGAGGACATGAATTCGTGGGTCTCTTCATGCATAGAACAGTCAACAACCAATGAAGGAATTTTATTAAGGCCATATTTTCGTGCTCTGAAAAAAAATATTTATTCCAGGGAACTTGATACCACGGTTGGCGAAGTGCTGAAATGTAAAACATTTGAATTTTTTTCATTTCGTGGAGGACATTAAAGCTGAACAAAGACTCGTCAATAGGCATATGCCATATTAGAATCACAATCTTCGATATCAGCACTGGGTATACCCTTCGCATTTGTTACATCTGACTGCTTGGAATGGACGATACGTGCTCGTGCTGGTTATTTTACATTACCTATGTTTACATTTTATAGCAGATGAAGTGTATTTGTGTTTGTTTGTATACTACACTGACCTGTGCAACAAGTTTTATTTCTCTTTTGCCGTGGGAGAAGTAAATAGTTATTTTTGTCGCTACGATTGTTTTACAATAGCTATGTAGATGACAACTAATTACACTGAACAGTGACTAAGAGAATGGCTTATATAGGGGTCCTCAGATATAGTGACTGAATAAAAGAATATGGCGACAAATTTCTTTTACGAATCGTGTTCAGCTTTAATTCCTGTGTCTCTTTATACTACGAAAACAACAAAATCAAACCCCATGAAAATAAGTGATTTCACAGTAGTACGCCTTGAAAAAGTAACTGGAGAAATATACAGTACAGAATATTGTGCGTCAGATTGTAAGAGACATTTCATGGCAATATGACATTTCATTGAGTAGCAACAACCATAATTTTAAGAATGGAAAGAAAATGTTTACAAGTGAAGACAGAAAGAACTCTTCTCAATCATCTTAATGTAAAAAAGAAATCTAAATAAACTCTGTATATTTCTCCAGCCCAGTGGGTATATTCAATTTTATGATTTCACCGAGGATAATAAATGATGCTATTAGCTAGAAATTTTGCATAATTTTATTATTTGTTCTTGAAAAAATTGGTGAATTTTCATGAATGGATCTCTTTCTTCTCTGGAGTTAAAGTAAATATCTTAATAATTTTCAAAAAGCCCTCGTAGTCTCTCGCTTTGCATACATGCATGCACAAATGGTTACATGTACTGGATACCAAAGAACAGTGATCAACTAAAGTATCGACAGTGGCCTATGACAACAAAATTAACCCCTAATCCAAACCAACTATTATATAAAACTGTAAAATTACATTTTTTGCGGCCAAATTTTCGTGGTTTAGGGAAATAATATGGGTTCGTGGGGATTTCGTTTCGTAGATGAATTATTGCGTCGTTACCTATGTGAAAAATAACATTTCGTGATAGACATAAATTTGTGGGTCTCTTAATACCTCGAAAACAACGAAAATCAAATCCTCTTGAAAATAAGTGAATCACATATACACGAACATTTTGATAGGATAGTGAGTGGTACTCATAAAGATTGTTCGTAAGTTTCATCAAAGGCTTGATAATATTTTAGGTAACTGTGTTTCGTTTTCAACATTAATGTTTTTTTTTTCAAAATCCACTGTTAAAACATACTACTACAGTCATCAATTTTACAGACATTAGAGCCTCTAAAGCCAAGAAACGCTTCACCTGGACGTCATCATGTGATTGCTTTAAATAGAAAAATATGCCTTAATTAAAAAGTAGAAAGTTCAAATAACAAAAGAAATGCTTATTACGATTTGTGATGTGCTGCTTCTCTTTATAAAAGAAATAATGGATGAAAATACCTCAGCATTTTCAATTGATAAAACCGTAAACGGATATACAATATACATGATATTTGCTTTTAAACTCTTTTTATGTTTCTGTTTAATTAACCAAAATCTTTCACATTTTATTTACAATGTTATGACCTCATATATCAAAGTATTCAACCTTCTGATAAGTTTAGTTCAAATAAATTTCGGAATACAAATACATGTACTACGAAAACATTAGTTCTAAAGTTTAAGTCATATTGCTTTCTGTGCCGTCATATTGTATCGCAAAAGTCAGGATATCTTCATGCAGATTAATATAAACCTGCGCTGGCAAAAGCCTAAAGTAAGTCTTGAATAAAAGGCACTGCTTGTATTACATTACGATACAGCCCCAGCCATTTGAACGATTTTGCTCCAGGCGTTGTGTTTCGATAGAATAGCGAAGTTTTGCTCGACGACGAAGTGCAGCCTGTCTCTCCTCCTCTAACCGTCGTAAATATTGTTGACGTTGTTGCTCCTCCAGCCTTTTAGATGCAGCTCTTTCTTCTCTCAGCCGGGCTTCTAGTTGTAATTGCTCCCTTTCTGCATTTTGCCTTTCTCTCTCTCGTTCTTTTTCCACCTTTTCTAGCTTAAGTTCGAGTTCTCTTTCTTTTAGTTTTGTCAGTTCTTCCCTTTCTTTCCTCTCTTTTTCTATTAGTTTTTCTTCTTCTTGTCTCTCAGCTTCTTTTTTCAGAACTAGCTCTCTCTTTTCTTCGAGGTCTATGAAGTACTGATAACTATAAAATGTCTTTCCATTTGTAATTACCAATTCCTTTATCATCATCAAAAGTTCATTTGCTTGTTTTACTCGTTTTGGCTTATCAACCTTTCCTTTATTAGAAATCAAGAAGCACCGACCGCCGCACTGTGAAATCATTTGGTAGAGATCCGGGGATTTCTTGAGACTAGATTTGAAAAGTTCGTTCATCTCTTCTTCTGTATTAGTGACCCCATCATATTGCAGTAGGTCGTCTTTCCTGGTAATAACAACAATTGTATATTTTAAAAAATGATCTCCACCGAAAATATCTTTTAGATACTCGAGCGTCTTTTTCTCTTGTTCTGTGATACGATTCATTTTCAGAATAAAGAGGAAGGCATGTGGTCCAGGATTTGTCATTACCATGCATTTCAGAAACTCTTTTTGCAGTTCTTCTTTTGGTTTATGTGTGTCAAACAGGCCAGGGGTATCAAGAACGTCTACGACAATATCTCCCTTTACTATAGTCTCCCTCTGACAAACTTCCGTACAAGACTTTGAAGATGGGGACGATTTAAATCTTTTGGCACCTAGTAATGTATTTCCTGTTTCGCTTTTTCCGGCTCCTGTCTGGCCAATTAAAACAACGCGAAGTGTTTCAATCATATGGTTCCGCATGTGATCGCCTTCGAAGCCTTCAGATCTAGAGCTAACGCCTACCTGAGCGCACTCTTGACCCGGTGTTAGACGTCCATTTCGCGGGAATTTCGATTCCTTTCTAGTTGATTGATCATCGGTTGTGGATTGTTTGGGTGGACTTTTTATTTCAGTATTCTTACAATGTTTAGCAACATTGTTTAATAGAATTGGTACAAAATTATCGACTCCAATATTATTGTCTTCATTCGTAGCACACTGAACATGGTAATAACTATCGCTGTCCACCACAAGACTACTTTCCTCCATTTTAAATGATTCACTAAAAAGAACACCAGTGTCATCGGTCATCTGGTCCTTTGAAATATCTAACTCACTTGTTTCTTTGTCTAGATCAATATGAAGTGGACGACTCTCTTGTTTTTCTCCATGGAGATTGGTTGATTCTTGTATTGCTGTAGCATTATTTGAAAATATTTCATAATTTAATTCATCTTTTCCATTACATTTGGGTATGGGCTCGCCATTCAGATCTTCATCAATACACAGTGTATCACAGATATTTTTCGTTTGTTCCACTTGTATGCTTGATGCTTTGTTATCAGTCTGTTTATCTTCACTTCTGGATTCATGCTTTTCTTCTTTATTCTCGTACGTAAAATTTTCTCCTAAATATTTGTTGATGGCCGTCTCTTGCTCATTTTCAGAGCATGTATGCAAAAGTTCATTACACTTCTTTACAGTAAACATATCCGATGTACTAGTACTTGGGAGGAACTCCTTTTCTTTCACACATGTATTATTTACCAATTCAGAAGCGTCCTTGCTTGGTTCCTGTGTAACTTGCTCATTTTGCGAGTCTGACCCCAGTTTTTCATTCAAGATTTTTTGATTGGGCATTGTAAGACTTTTTCTACATACTGAGTCTTCCATGGTTGGGTCAAGGACTTTCTTTTTAATGAGATGGAATTCAAAATCTGCAATGTAAATATGAACATGTAACAACTTGAACTATGATGATTCATTAAAAAATAAAATTAACCTATTTCTCGATACTGAGAAGTTAAAATATTCCTCTCTTTTACAATTAATAAAGGTCTAAATTTGAAGATCTATATGTGTGAAATGGGACGTAAAACAACATACAATCCATCAATCAATCTAAAGGCATTAGCTCGAGGAGTACCACTTATGGTTAAAAAAACATTGATTACTTTTGTATGTGTCCATAAATTTTATATACATGTATATATATACAATATAATGAGACAAAAAGCATAAAGCCTTGATATTAGTACTTTGGAATCATTTTAATTCGTGAAGTTTAATGTCCGAGGGCAAGCAAATTTTTTTTGTTCGAGGGGACGTAATTTCATGGGTTACTCGTTTATACGGTAGATTTAATGAATCAGTATGTTTACAAAATAAACGTACGTGTAAATTCATGGGTAAGGGAGACCCACGAAATCTACGAACAATGATGATTCCACAGTAACTAACGATTCCGTTTTGCAAGAAAAGGGTGAGTCTATACACCTGCGCAGAGGTTTTTTATTAAGTAATGATAGCGTATTTAAATGTTTACATAATGTACCACATACTAATACATAATGTACCGTATACTAGTACATAATTTTGTCCCCAAGGAAGCAGGAATTTTGCATTTTTGCATTTCCACAAAAAGCAATCAATATTTAGATTTGTATTGTTTTAATGGACTTTGAGCTTGAATACTGTTTGTTATCTCCATAGTTCATTGATGAGTTATCTAGAAGGGACAAAAGGCAGTTTACGTAATAACGCTGCTATTAAAACAATGAAGAAAACAAGCGTACCTTTTAACCATACATACAGGTTAAGCATGTATACATAACTTTTAATTTATCATACACTATAACAGTACAAATTTATCTCTCATAAAAGGTATTATCATGTTTTGTGCAAAAAATGAATACAAACTTTCTGAGACATCTTTGCATCTAGGCATAGACACATTAACAAATTCTAAGTTATTCAATAACTCAATGAGTGTACAAAATCATATTGATGAACCAAAAAATTCTATTATAGTCTGAATCACTAAATGGCTGATTGATGGAGTGTGTTCATTTCCCCCACACCAGTTTCAGAAAATATTGATGTACTTGGTTTGCAGAAAACAAAAATATGATATCTATTAAAATTAGTACAGCATTTTGTTCTGAATAAGGTTGGTTTTGGTTGTGTAATTACGTACGAACGCAGCAGTCCAATGACAGAATTAGGACGAATCACAGTCAAATCAGTATATATGCATATATACAGAATGCGTGGTTCGTAAAATATTTGTCTCTTGATCTTATCGTATATTGAATTAATCATACAAAATAAATATCAACTTTTTTCAATAAATTATATATTTGAATTTATGTTGCTGATGGAAAATAAAACATTTTGCGGTATATGATATAAAATAAGCATTTGGCATTTGTAACAGTAATATCAATAGTTACAAATTAAGGACTTATCAGAATTCACTGCATGCAAAAACACTTTTTGCGGTAATGAAGTAACTGCAAATATATGCTTAAATCATCATCCATGATAAACACAAAGCACATCAAATATCATAATCACATTATGTTACATCTTTGGCGTTCAAATTTGCGCAAATTGGACAAGGTGTTTTTTATGTCACTTAATTCAAACTGTAAATCTTGGTTTTCTCTTCTCAGTTCTTGGATTTCTCTTTCACACCTTCTGGTCTCTTCCATCATTCGCCTACTTATTTCTTCATTTTCTGAAGTAAATTCGTAAAGCTTTGTTCTTAATTCTAAAAGATGGATTCCCGTATCAGATGTTTCTCTTTTTGATTTTTCCTCTTCTTCTGTAATAGTTTTCTTTAGGTATTCAATATTTTGTTCTCTTTTCTCCATTTCCAGTTTTCGTTCGACTTCCTTCTGTTTTAATTCTTTTAGTTCATTCTGTATTCTCTTTTCTTCTTCCTTCCGTAAGTGCTCTTTTCTTTTCGCCAGGGCCTCAAACAATTCATTCCTGTAATAAAAGCCATCGTTTTCCTCTATCAGCTGATTTATGGATTGGATAAGTCTTTCAGCTTCTGCTCCTCTTTTGGATCCATTATTTTCACCAATATTAGATACAGCAACACATCTACCCCTACATTGTTGTACCATTCTGGTAAGATCCTCAGAATCACGAACAAGTCCAGCAAGCTCCTCTGAAACATCCAAGTCTTCCTCGTCATCGTCCGAATCATATTCAGAGTTGAGTTCTTCTTTATGGGTTATTACAATTATTGTGTGACTTAAAAAGTCTTGATCTCCGAACATTTCTGTCATGTATTTCAAAGTATATTTTTCTTGGATGGTTATTCTTCCCACAGAAAGAACGATTAAGAACACGTGCGGACCTGGTGAAGACATTTCCAAACATTTTGCTAGTTCTCGTTTGACCATTTCTTCTGATTTTGATGTGTCATATAGACCAGGTGTGTCGATCACTTCAATTTGCTGACCATTTATGATACCAATTTCTTTCTGGGAACTAGAAGTGCAAGAGACAAATCCAGTTGCTGTCTCGAATTTCTTTTGCCCAAGAATGGTGTTTCCAGTTGCACTTTTCCCAGTTCCTGTCTTTCCAATCAAAATAATCCGTGTGGATTTTAGAGGAATGCACACTTCTGATTTTTCAAGATCTTTTTCCCAATACAGCTCATTTCTATTCTCAATATTGATCCCATTGCTTGCAGTCTTACTGCATATCACTGAATCCGATCGGGAGGAAAGTATATCTTTACTTTTTGTATTTGAAGAATATTTCAAGGAAAGAACTTCCAATTTTTGTTTTGTTTGCTCATTTTTCAATTCCGCTATATCACGTCCATCGGATCTATGTTGTGATCCACGTTTTTCTTTCTCTACAGAATCATTGTTCAACACAGTTTTTGATTCTTGTACAATGGTTACTATTTGGTCAGATTCGACTTGTACACTTAATTCTGTATTATGTCTTAGAAAGTCAGATTTCGTGTTCATCAAATCATTATATTTCTCATCAGAAATTTCCATTTTTATTGCAGCCAAATAGTTTTTCTGTGCTGCCTTTGAAAAAATACAACTGATTTTATTTTATCTTTACTCGGATTTTTCAACTGAATCACTATCTTTTCTTTATGAAGCATGCAAAATATTTTTAATTGGTTCTTGGCAAAAAGTATACTATAAAATCCTTACCTGTTTTGGAATTTATGATCAGTTCGTCTCTTCTCTGTACTCGCTTCGTTTCTATTTAACGAATAACTAGTCCTTTAGATCTTCGGGACTTTATATAGATAAGCGCGTCAAGATTTAAATGACGCACAAGATTTGACAAGATTATAAAATTAATCAGAAAGCTATCTAACACGTCTGCTCTTATTCACCTGTTATTAAAAAGCATATACTATCAAAGTATTTTTTAACTTCTAAGGATGTTTGCTTTAATTCGAAAGGAACTTTTTGGGTACGATAAGACTTTCACAAAAACGGAATAAAATTATCTTATTTCACATTTATTTCCCAGACCTATAAGATTAAAGGTGATATATATAGGGCAGAGCTCAGGGATGGGGCCTTGATAAGCTCTCTCTATAACAATATACAATAGTAAAACACCTCACAGGGTGCTTCATGTCTAAACACAATGTCTCACATATTTATTCATATCATACATTGAACAAGTTAATTAAATTGTATGACATATAAAACAAAGAATATCTTTCCGAAATCAATTTTGGTTCTAAATTTCTTATTCATTTATATACATATCCGGTGTGATTCATGAATGTGTTGCAATAACGAATAAATGGGAAAAAATTACATTGTAAAACAGGTAACAGTTCATCGAATTTTGTTAGTATATTCAATGTTTTTATATCTCCATTAAAATTGCATTCATCATTCTTAAACAGTTGAAAAATTTATTTTTTTATTTCTTTCCCGAATGCTCTCTGGAGCATTGAAGTAGTATTTTTTTTATCTCCATACTTGATACTGTTCCTTGTTTTCCATACTGATCACTTGCTTGGGTTCACCGGCGAATCCCAGTAGAACAGTACATACATGATCATTAAATTTGATTGAATCCATTATAGGTATTTTTAAAATTATTATTTTTATTTGTACCAAATCAAAAAATTGCTTTGACGTGTTTACATTCATAAATAAATGTTTCTGGCTCTCAATATATGCTTTACAAAAAGAGCAATTTTCTTTGATAAACCCATTGTACATAATTTTTCTTCAGTGGATAAGATGTTATGCAAACATTTCCATAGGAATTCTTGAATCTTTTGTTTTAATTTAACTTCATGAATTGACCCCCAAATTCATGTAATGTCAATTTGTAGCAATTTCTCCCATTTTTCGTGAGATTTTGGAGTAACATTTTTGTTGAATATTCTCTGTGTCTTTAAGTTTGTATCATCAAAATTTATGAATCTATTTGTTTTCCTAACAATTAAAATATTATTAAACAACACAAAATATTTCTTTATTTCTTTATTACTACTATTTGCAATGTTCCTCCCTAATAGAATTTCAAGACATTTTAGGTATGGCGGCTTTTATCTTATTGTATTCAAAACCCCAACTTCTTTTATCAAGAAGTTATGTAAATTTATATGTATGCATTAGTCTTAAAAGACTTACTATCTTTATCATAATTATCACTAATAGTGTGTAAACCACACTCGCCTTTTAATATATTTCTAAAACTTTACAGGATTCTTCTATAGATTCTTCATCCTTATTAAACAGCTGTGTATCATAGCAAACGTACTGATTTTCCATTCAATATGCTGGATATTGTTGGGAAGATGTACACCTTTAATGTTTGAATTTTGGCGTATGGCACAAGCCAATGTCTCTATTTGTAATTCATATAACAAGGGAGCTATAGGACACCCTTGTCTAGCTGACTTTGATATTGTAAAATATTTGGATAGGAACCCATTTGTTTTAATGCGAGTTTTTGCATTTGGGTGAATTAAAAAATAATGACCACCAAATTGAAATTTTTTGAAACATTTCAACTAATCATAACATATTTTTCACTTATATCATCATACTGTACATTCATTCTAGTTAAAATTCCAGAAATGGCGATAGAATAGACAATTGAATTAAAAAGTTTCAGAATTTTTATTAGTAAAACTTTATTCAAAAAAAAAAAAAAAAAAAAAAAAAAAAAGAGAGAAGAAAATATCACTACATTTTAAATGATTTTATAAAATACATAATTAAAAGAAATTATAGTTTTTTAATGCTTCAAAACGGTGTCAGGGATATTAATGATTAGATCTAAACCTTGATTGAGTTTCTTCTCTTGTATATGTAAAAGAAATTGGCTTTTTGATTTTTATTTTACTTTTTTTCAATTCTGGTTTGAAAAGTTTTAATATCAAAGAAATATGAAACAATAAATTCCCCAAAAATTGCTGTTTTTGTCCATCCAAGTCAATTCTTTAAACCTAAGCCAAAAAGAATTTGATACACAAGTTTTCTTACAAAAAAACTAGATTTTGAAGTGACCCTATTTTATTGTGTTGCACTCCTGACATCTGATATGTATTTTATTTAACATCGTGTTAAAAATTATAACACACAATAACTCATTCAATGTTTGTATATCAGTTCATCGTTTTGATATTTTGTATCATTTACGGCAAGCTTTTCATATTTTCAAGACTTCAAAACATGATTATTTGCAATGGGTGATATATTCATTGTATTTAAAAATATATGCTAAGTGATGAAAACTATTCTCTGAATTGACTGTAAAATGTCCAAACAATATATCTTTAATTTGTTGATAGATATAATGATTTGAACATCAAATAGTATCAAACATTTTCTGCAATTTATTTTTTAGTAAAGTTAGATGAAGTTCATTGAAAATTATAAACAGTTTTATTGCACTACTGACTGCAGTAATATTTAAAATTAAAAACCATAGAACACAAAATTTCATAAAGTTTTGCAACATCAAGTGGTTACCAAATTGTGCAATAATTATAGTCCAATACTTCATAATTAAAACACATGAAAGTAATTAAACTTGGTTTTATATCTCGATTTATTTCCTATATATGTCAAAAAATCTAGCTAAAAATATTCTTAGAAGATAATATATATTTTATAGTATATTTTCCTTCACGGGACAGACACTGTAGGCAATTGATGTCAAACAGAAACATATATTTGGATGACTGCATGTCAAAAATAACAGAATAACAGTATCATCACCTAGAATAAATTTTGAAAACGTTCCAAACATCGACTCGTAAATTCAACGATATATGTCGATCCAGCATTCTGTCCACAGTTTTCAACTTTAACAGTGAGTCCATGTACTGCTTGTTCCGTCCGACCCTGTCTTAAGTTTTGCAGATATATACAGAGGGGCTATAGACGAGAAAAATACCCACTGTAAGCTATCCCAGGGGTAGCTAGTATCTCTGTATCTTCATCATGTAAACAGGTCATTGCTTCATCATCTATATGGTTCATCTTTTTTATCAGAAGGTACCAATAATTTAAATTTGCTCTTAAATTAACCCATGCCACCCAAGATAAGATAGTGCAGGCTCCACTTGTAAATGATTTGTTGAATAATACCCTAGATGAATGTTCAGTCATATTCATCATTTATTATACGTACAGCATTAATATTGATAATTCGTAGTACACAAATGATATGGTTTCTTTATATGAGATTAATAAACATAGCTGATTCTTCAGAAATAGAGTTTTGTTCGTCCAGTGTGGTAGGACATTTCTAACTAGCGTTATTAGGTATTATTTACATGATCATCTATATTTCTTCCTTAACTTTTGAACCCAGTCTTAATACAGCAAGCTAATCTGTCGTAACGTAGTGTTGCTTATGTAATCTCCTATTATTGTATACCCAACTGTGTATCACTCAATTTTACTTTTGATTTCATGCAATCCCTTGACGTTGTGATCCAACTTTCCAGATCATCACACTGGTTTTCTGAATCCATAACACCCCTCCCTGAAACTGATGACGTTTTACACAGTATACATTAGAATTTTTATCAATGAAATGTAAAGATAACGAGCACTAATCATCTTCAAAGTCCATTGAAACAATATCAATTTTGAGCAGAGCCAACACGGGACTCATATTAAGTAAACTTTTCTCGAAAAATGAAAATATTCATACATTTTTAGCTCACCTGTGCCGAAGGCTGAAGTGAGCTTTTCTGATCAAAATTTGTCCGTTGTCTGTCGTCGTCGTTGTCGGCGTTGTCGTCGTTGTTAACTTTAATTTCACATGTTCATCTTCTTCTCAAGAACCACTAGGCCAATTTCAACCAAACTTGCCACAAAGTATCCTTGGGTAAAGTGGATTCAAGTTTGTTCAAATCAAAGGTTTACATAGGAATATATAGGAAAAATCTATAAAAATCTTCTTCTCAAGAACAGCAAAGCCATGATTGGTCATATTTATATGGAAGCATCCTCAGGTAGTGTAGATTCAAATTTGTTCAAATCATGACCCCCGGGGGTAGGGTGGGCCACAATGGACAATCAAAGTTTTACATAGGAATACATGGGAAAATCTTTAAAAATCTTCTTCTCAAGAACAGCAAAGCCATTATTGGTCATGTTTAAATGGAAGCATCCTCAGTTAATGTAGATTCAAATTTGTATAATTCATGACCCCCCCTCCCCTCCGGAGAATAGAGGGGCCATAACAGGGGATCATAGTTACACAAAGGAATATACTGGATATATCAATAAAAATCATCTTAAGAACAGCAAAGCCATTATTTGTCATATTGATTCAAAAACACCCCTATGAAGTATAGATTCAACTTAGTTCAAATCCCCCCCCCCACACACACCACTTTTATATTTAAACTTTTCAACCTTTCAAGACTGAACTGATTTCTGCTTTTTCCTAGCCATAGTGGTCGGGTGATCGAAGTGGCCCCTGGGTCTCTTGTTGAAATGTATATTTTAATAAAAATGATACTTTTTTTACTTCAGAATTTTGTTATAGATATAAAGGATTAAATCTAAATGTAGAGATTTTTCTCTTATATTATAGAAAGAATTGGCATTTTTAGGTCACCTGAGTCACTCATGTGACCTATTGCTGATGTTGTCCGTTGTTGTGTGTTGTGAGATGTGCTTTCTCCAATAACATTTTCAGCTTCTTTTCTTGAACTGCTGAACCAATTCCAACCAATTTTTGCATATAACATACATAAATATGAAAGAAAGGGAACAGAAATTGTAAATTTCTTGGTCCCCACCCTCTGGGGCTACTAGTTACTAAGCAGATTAACGAAATGCAAAGCCATGATGAGCAAGGGTGCTTCTACCCAAATTGTGAATTTAATGGTCCTTGGGTCAGTTCCATTGTAAGGACGGTGCTGAATTGATTATATAGTGAAAGTGGATACATTCCTTGAAAATCTTCTTAGCTCCTGGATATTTAGCAATCAGATTAAGTGCATCTTTATGATGAAGAAAGGTTCCTCTTCGGGTAGTGCCTTATTGAATATATTGTGAAAATGCATAAATTTGAAAATCTTTTCTGCTCCTGGGTGTTAAGTAAAAACAGTAAGTGCATAGTTATGATATGCAAGGGTGCATCTTCCAAAATTGTGAATTTCATGGCCCCTGTGTCAGGGTTTTTGGTGTTAGGAACGGGGCTCTATTGATTGTATGGTGAAAGTGCATAATTTCTTTGTAAATCTTCACTGCTCTTTGGGTATTTTGCAAACAAAGTGCATAGTCATGACGAACAAGAATGTCTCTTCCAAAAGTCTGAATTTCGTAGCCCTTTGGACCGGGGTTCTGGTATTAGGATGGGGTCTATTGATAATATTGTGAAAATTCATAAATTCATTGAGAATCTTCTTCTCTGCTCCTATGGCCCGTTTCATAAAAAGTCGTAAATTTAAGACCTAACTTAGGTGTATTTCCGGGTCTTACGCCATAATTTAGTCGGGCGTTATTTGCATTTCACGAAGTGGTGTAAGTCTAGTCGTAAACGATACTCTTAGTCTCAGGATTAATTTCATGACAACGTTGCATTGCACATGCGCTAAAACATAAATATACGTATTGTGTACAATGTATGTAGAACAACACAAATATACATTAACCTAAATGAAAAATTTACATGAAATTTTAGGGAGCTTGTAGAAAACATGCATTTTAAATCTAATTGTTATAAAATATTAACTACTTACAACCTACCATCTGATTAAACTCCAGAATTAAAGGTCTGAAAAAAGAAATAAATATTCTTGTAAGTGAATGGAAAGAAAATTTTTAATTTGGAATGGAATATTCACATTAACCCTCCCTCTCAATTTTAATTCAAGAAGGAGGAAGAGGGAGTGAGAATCCGTTTTAATTTTATGTACTTGTATACAGTAACTGGGAACATGATGGACTGCTAAATTAATAAGAATTGATAAAATAATATACACTTATTGACTGGGGTCGAGGGCTATATTGATTATTTTAGCCTCCAAGGGATGAAATGTTGCCTAACACGTCATCATGAAAAAATAAAGATTTTTTCCACATTTCTTCTATGACATGACCTTGTACGCCAGTGTCATCGATATTCATTTGAAATTTTCAAAAATTTATCGTTCACTGTTTAAACATTAATATATTGTCATACATAGGCATAATAACTGTTAAATTACAGTCATTTCCGAGTCAAGTTTTTCTGACAGAAGCTTTCGAGTGACTTTGTTGCCCTTTGTCCCTAAGGTAAAATCATCTTTAATTTGTATTCAAGATCAGGATATACTAACTTTCAAGTATATTTACGAAATCAACTGGAATCTTTTTCGTCTTTTGAACGTTAACAACTTTTTCTGGACGTGATTTTTTTCAAAGGGGTAGAGGGAGCAGGGTCATCAGTAAACGAAAATTCCATCTGAGAAGCTTGGTGACAAGCTCAAACTCGTAAATTTCTTTAGCAAACCTGAAAATCTTATTTGGGGGGGGGGGGGGAGGGGGGTCCTTCATAAATATGACGCCTCCTACCAACCAACTTAACTCTTTGACAGGAGTCTAAGGGCTTTTTTATTTATTTTTTTTTTACTTTACTCTAGATTTGTACATAAATAACTCATTGTGGCGAAGGGGACTGGACCCCCTTCCTGACCCCCATCTTGATCCACGCATGTGGTCGTGGAGTGAATAAGAAATGGAGTTTTCGAGCACGATACATTTTTAAAAACCTTACTTGGTTTTACGATGAGTTAGAAAATTAGTTTTTTTAATATAGATATTAACCAAAGCCAAAGAAGATAACTGTGCTTTTGTGGAAAAATACTTTTTTTCCAAAAAAAAAAAAAAAATGTTGGGAAAAATAACTTCTTTCAAATAGACATTTTAATAGATTTCTTTTCAGTGAATGACACAAAATGTATATTGTATAGTCGATTTACAATACCTCATACTCAAAATACAACAATCAAATGTGTATAAATGTAGATTGTCAAAACTTAAGAGATTATATCAAAGTGAACCCCTAATAAGGCAATCTTTTATGAAGAAATTTATCAAAATAAGTTATGTGAATACTGCATGTCAACTACCTCCCCTAGTGGGTGTAACCCCCCTCCCCCGTTTCCACTCCCCCAAATCTTCATAGTTTTTGAAACAAGATAATGCATCGTTTGTATTAAAAAGACTTTCTAGAGCCTTAATCCTTCTTAAGGAATGGCTAAATCGTTTTCAAATAGGTAAAGTCGCTTAATTTTAAGTTTACGCCCGAACTTACGCCTACCCACGAATAGACACAAAATTTTGGCCTAACTTTAGTCCAGTGTAAAGATATGCTATATAATGAAACGCAAATCTATGCCGGCTACGCCGGCGTAGCGCTACGGTTGGGCGTACGATCTTTGATGAAACGGACCCTTTGGTATTAAGCTGATAAACTTAGTACATACAGTGTAGTTATGATATGCAAGGGTGCATCTTTGAAAATTTTCAAAAATTGTGATCCCAGGGTCATGGGTCAAATGGACCACTTGGTCAAATGTTCTGGTGCTGGGTAGGGCTCTCTTAATTTGTATTCTACTGAGAGAAGTTATTCCACTTTGCTTTTTCACTTCAGATGATATATCACTACACATAGTGTAATTGAAAGGTCAATTTAAAAAGTGATATATACAAGATTGTTTTAATATTTATAATACAAAAAGAACTTTCTTAGTTCTTAATGCTCAAGTAAACTTGTTAATTATAGATAGATATAAATAAAAGTGAGACAAAAATACCTTGTTTTTATACATAAAATGTTTTTCAAAGACCAAGAGAGGCCGATGTGAGAAGGAATAAGATGGGTTTACCAATATAGTGCTCAAGCACTTAATTTTGTTTTGATAAGTTTACAAGATAATAGTGACAGGCAAGTAAAAAGATCTAGTTTAAGATTTATTAAGGAGTACAAGACTTATTATTTTGTTGATCCCTAATCATTATATTTCTCTTGCTTTTGGGCAACATAGCTTCATCTATCAGTTTGTTTTATATCATACTTCTTTGGAAAATTTACAGTGTTCTATTATATTCAGGTGACCAGTAAGGCCATAAGGCCTCTTGTTTATATCTATTATTCGTTATTTGTCTCAATTCTGGTTTGAAAAGTTTTCATTTGATAAAATATTTAAAAAATTAAAGTTAATTAAATGTTTGCATTCTGGGATAAATTCGAATGCTTTCACACCAGACACACAGAGAAATGCAAAACTATTATTTCTATTTCTACATAACAGTGCAGCCCCAGCTATCGGACTGTGACGACTGTGTGCGCAATTGTTCCTGACGATATTCTTCCTTCCTGCGCAGTCGTTCTCGACGACGTTCTTCGCGTTCCTTCTCCTCTTCTAATTCTTCTAAATATCTTTCTCGTTCTCTTTGTCTTCGTCTCTGTTCTTCACGTTTTTGTTTGGCTCTCTCCTCCCTCAACTGAGATTCCAATCTTTCCTTTTCCCTGGCTGCTCTTCTTCTTTCTCTATCCCTTTCCAGTTCGAGCTTTTCCAGCTTCAGTTGAAGTTCCTGTTCCTTGATTTTTTCCAGTTTCTCTTTCTCTTCTCTCTCTTTTTCTAACCGTCTTTCTCTTTCCTCTCGCTCAGCTTCTCTCCTCAATTTCAACTTCCTTTCTTCCTCGAGTTCTAAGAAGTATTGATAACAATAAAACGTATCTCCGTTTTCGGCTGTCATTTTCTTTATAAGTGATAAAAGCTTATTGGCTTGTTTTATGCGACTTTGTCCATCCACCCTTCCTTTATTAGAAACTAAAAAGCATCTATTTTCACACTTAGAAACCATAAAGTAAAGATCTGGCGAGTTTTCAAGAAGGGCTTTAAAACGTTCATTAATTTCTTCTTCGGTCATTTTTGTGTTCGAATCGACCTGCTGTAAATCATCTTTCCTAATAATGACGATAATCGTGTGTTTAAGAAAATGATCGCCACCGAAGATATCTTTGAGATATTTAAGTGTCTTCTTCTCTTGTTCCGTAATACGACCCATCTTTAGAATAAAAAGGAACGCGTGAGGTCCAGGATTCATCATTACCATACATTTTAAAAACTCTTTCCTCAGCTCCTCGGCTGGTTTATGTGTGTCAAACAGACCCGGGGTATCAAGAACCTCTAGGATTACATCTTCTTTCACTACGACCTCTCTTTGGCAGACTTCCGTACACGACTTTGAAGATGGCGAAGATTTAAACTTTTTAGCACCTATTATAGTGTTCCCTGTTTCACTTTTCCCAGCACCCGTCTGGCCAATCAAAACAATGCGAAGTGTTTTACGCTTAAAGTGTTGACTATGGTCTTCTTCAGCTTTCTCAATTATTTCATCTTTTGTAGTGTTGAGCACCTTATCAGTCTCTTCGTTCTCTCCAGTTGACATATTATTCGAATTGGATGGTATAGGGATAGATATTTTTGATAATTGAGGAGCTTTATCATGTTCAGAATTCTCTTCGACATTACTTTTTCTGTTGGTTTCTAAATTGTTCCTTTCAGAACCTGTATGTTTATTAGTATTGGCTGCTACAGGGGGATATTCACTTTTTTCAAGTGAATTGTTGAAACATTTTTCATCATTTTCTGTTACTGCATTCTTTGATTTATTTTTGTTTAATTCTTTATCACAATTCTTTCGTTCATTAATCTCTTTTTCATCCTCAGCAAAGGTGTTCCGATACTCAACAGATTTCACATAACAGCTGGGTGATACAGAAGGATTATCTTTTACTTGATATTTACTATCACATTTTACACGTATATCTATGTCAGAAGGAGCATCCATAACATCTTGTGTCCAACTCCCTTTTGTCAGGTGTTCAACCTGAATGTCTGCTCCTACATGTTCCGTTTTTTCTGCATTTAAGTTCTTGTTTGTTCGCTCCTCCTCATCTTCCAGATTTCTTGTTTTATTTAACTCTTTTGCTCTGGCATTGCTGAGAGATATTTCTTCATGCTTGCTGGTCCTATTTATCTGGAATTCAGTGAAATTGTGTTGGAGAAAATTGTCTTCTTGTACATTATCTGGCACTGGTACAGGGATGCATGCACAATCTGCCATAATTTCACTCTCATCAAAGCTTTTGCTCAACTCATTTGTGTCTTTCTCGTTTTTTAAATTTGGCTCCTCTCTTTCTCCTTGTTCTTGATGTACGCTATGAATACGCTCTGATGGTTTCCCTTTATCCACTGAATATTCCATCAATGAGATTTTCGTTTTTTTTTTCCTTTTCGTTGAACTCCAGGTGATGCCTACAATGTAAATATGAAAAGATAAATTATCGAAAGAAGCAGGGTTAATTCATCTCTCTCTCTCTCTCTCTCTCTCTCTCTCTCTGAATATGCAAGGTTATCATCCAAACATTCAGAAATGGCAATTCCAAAACGAATCTCACACTATCAATATCATAAGTAAAACAAGTTGTAGATTGTTGATGTTTTCTATGAACAACTTTGTCTCATGTTTTTTTCAAACCTTCGGACGTATATGCATTAAAAAATCAAATTACTGGCTTAAATCAGCATTAAACACTACAAGTGAAACATATGAAATCAAAATTCCTCATTCGAAGTAGAAATGAATGGTTACAATCCGAAAACGTTTCTATCCTGATACTAACTCAACCTTAACAAAATATAAGTATATAAATATAGTTACATGGAAACTATCCTTACAGCCTAATTAAAGTGTACTAAGTATATTAAACAAATATAGCTCTTTCATTCGGTCGATCCATATATATATCGACTTCACAAAAAAAAAAAAAAAAAAAAAAAAAAAAAAAAAAACCCATATCGACCGAGCATGAAGGTTGCTATATTATTTTCTACAGAGGCTATATTCGTTACATTATTTTTATAAGACAGATTGTCAAATTGAAAAGAAAAAAAAAATATTATTAGAGGTCAATCCGAGTATTCGCTGATTATCCACATTCAGTGGATTTTTTGGTTTATGACTTACAAAATGTCGTACTACTACTATTTATTGGTCTTTATAATATGTATTCACATATCAGTATTTTGAGTGGAACCGTTTAGTGTTCATATTTCAAGAAAACTGGTATATATTTTCATTAAGAGTATATATGCAATAAAATTTACAAAATGATTTAATTAACAATTATTTCTATTCGTTTTATCTTCCGATCTTCCAGAAAAGAGCCCTAACTTCGAAGTTTTTATTCTCGTTTATTTCTGAACAATACATTTTTTCACTTCTTAATTTATTATACACTCTAACAATTCAACATACAATAAATAATTAGAGAAGAACGGCAATGAAATAATAATGTCTGCGAACAGTTGATTCTATTCCAGAAAAGAAAATTATAAGATGGTATGGAAACGTGTCTTAGAATCTAGAGTCCACTACTGTAAAATAAAAGTCAAAATAAACTCTACAGGAATTTATTTTCAAAAAGTAAATAATGTATATTTTTCTGATGAAATCAATTTATTATCCAATCACCATGGATCCTTTGGAATCTAACAAGGAATACTAACGTCCATTATAACACCAAAACTTTTAATCAATTATTGATTAATTACTTTTTGTTTCATTAGCTATGTTTTACCAATCACAACATCATATCCAGTTTCTACTGAATATAGTATAGTTATATAACGATACAGATATTCAGAATTCGAATGTAAACAGAAGCTGAAATGATACAATTTCATGGTTCCTCTGGTACTGGCAGAAGCAGTATTTTTTTTATATAAAGGATAAGTAGCACAAACTTTTTTTTTCAAAATTCAGCAATATATCTAATAGATTCATGTTCATATATATTTAGATAACTTGAATAATGCTTGCCAGTATATGTACATAATTGTGTGGAAATTTTGCAAGATATTTTGTAATATTGTCATATGTGCAAAAATTTATGAAGATTAATAGAGAAAATGGCACAAAGTTGCATATTTGAACACCAAAGAAAATCTACGATTTCTTTAAATTTTAGGAATTTATTATTTATATAATTTCTTTTCAAAATTACGGCAGCCCATTAGTGCCAACATGTATATATAAAGGAAAAGCTATTTATAAAAGCAAACCTCAATATATATATAGGAAATGCGAAATATAAAAACACAACCTCGATATATATAAAGGAAATGCGAAATATATAAACAAAACTTCGATATATATAAAGGAAATGCGATATATATAAACAAAACCTCGATATATATAAAGGGAAATGCGAAATATATAAACAAAACCTCGATATATATAAAGGAAATGCGATATATATAAACAAAACCTCGATATATATAAAGAGAAATGCGAAATATATAAACAAAACCTCGATATATATAAAGGGAAATGCGATATATATAAACAAAACCTCGATATATATAAAGGAAATGCGATATATATAAAGAGAAAAATTTCCATCGCCTGACCTTTAATGACCTTCATTACATCAGGGATTCGCCAACATCTGATGAGCGGCTCCCCGAGCTACCGTTTGAGTGCAAACAGTATCAGGATGGTATTCAATGTATTGTTTTTTTTTCTTCTTTATTTGTGTGTCTTAATATGGTGATTAAAACTAAAGCTAATAAACTGCTGTTCCTTTTATATTTCAACCGTGTGGGGCAGAATTAAATCAAAGAGACTTTTTTGCTCAATATGTATATTCTATAGCACTAAAAATCGGGTGTCTTTTCAATTGAAATATAATCTATCGCAAAAATGCATATATGTTATATCATGTTTTATAAGTTCGTTAACTTTTTACTTTGTTTTACACATGATGCATGGAGCATTTAAAAATCGTTAACATAACGAGACTTTGACGGGGTTCTTTCCGTCATCTTGTCACTAAATAATAAGGCCATTATTCTATTTACATGTTGAGTAATATTTACAACGTAAAACAATAATCCGCACGATAATTATGTAAGTGTGCACTAACTCGTTTCCTTTCATTAATTCCCTAATACATGATATTTTTTCATACCAAAGACCCTAAAAATATTACAGTTGTAACTGTCGCCTTCTCTCAAAATCCGATCCTCCCTCGCATTCAAATGAAGTGGGGAAAAAATGTGTACCTTCATCTCTCCCCTCTCTCCCATTCCGATTTCCTTTCTAATTATAAATGTTTATCAATGGGCATGCAAGTACATTACTTATATAATTAATTTAAATTAATTTGAATATGGGCAAAAGAAAATCTGAACTTGTTAAGACTCCATGTTGAACATTATTTTCATAAATTCTCAGTTGTGGGACCAAAGGTAATATATTATATGGCTAAGTTTTTGTAAAACAGTAAACAAGGTAGATTGTGAAAACGAAGTTGATCTAAAATACATGTAAAGCCAATAAATACACAGAGAATACGATACACATTATACTAATTTCATCAATATATACAATTAAATGGTCATCTACTCAATTAAGTACATTATATTAAGTAATGTTACAATTACAGTTCATTGATATATGTAAATAAATAAATAAACACTATTAAATAGCACCATTCTGCTGACTCTGGGAACCTAATACAGGAGTACTATCACTGATTTCCCCCTGCCAGGAGTTAATCTGTATAATCTTGATGGACAGTTAAGCGATTCAGGTCACGCAGTGGAAAACTTTCTCTCTATATATTTCGCATTTCTCTTTATATATATCGAGGTTTTGTTTATATATTTTGCATTTCTCTTTATATATAATTTTCATGGTTTTGTTTATATATTGTGCATTTCCTTTATATATATATATATCGAGGTTTTGTTTTATATTTCGTATTTCCTTTATATATTTTGAGGTTTTGTTTATATATTTCGCATTTCCTTTATAAATTGAGGTTTGCTTTTATACATTGCTTTTCCTTTATATATACAGATTGGCACTAATGGCCTTCCGTACAAAATCATTCAAATCATATTTATATCAATCACTGCGCCAATTTTTGTGTTTGTGTAATTCATCCTTATCACAGAAAAGAGCCTTTACTTTATTTATAATTACACTTGAAGTTCATCATATATATTATGTGAAAAGGCATATAAATAAATAATTTTATATATGTCAATAGATTTCAATTAGTAAATGGACCAAAGCACATGATTCTCTTTAAGTGCACAAACTATAAATTCTTCCGTTGCTTTGACATATTTTTCTGTTATATTCATAAGAACTAATTCAACCTTTTTAGATCCTCATATGAACAGATCTTATCATTTTATATTTCATTTATTTGACAATGTGTCACACATGTTATTTTATGTACATAGTTTATTATGCGATACTCATTCAAAAATTTCGATTCACATAATGGCACATCTTGAATGATCTTTCATTGAGTGGGAAATTGTTCGACCTATACTATCTGATTGGGAATATAAATCGTCGTTTTCTTTTCGTAGATCCTTTAAATGGTTCTTCATTTTTCTTATTCTTCTCTCCATTTCCTTTTCCCGCTCTTCATTTTCTGCAGTAATTTTTTCCAGTTCCTTGTTTAATTTTTCAGAATAGTCCTCTCTTTTAGATTGTTCTCTTTCTAGTTTCTCTTCTTCTTTTTCTATATCTTTCTCTAATCTTTCAATATTTTTCTCCCGCCGCTTTATCTCTCGTTTTCGTTCATCCTCACGCCTCTCATTTTCCTGGATTGTTTTTTGTTTTATAATTTCTGCTTTCCTTAGTTGATCCTCCTTTTCGTTTTCCAATGCCTCAAACAGTGCATTACTGTAATACAACCCTTCGTTTTCTTCTATCAGCTGGTTAATGGACTGGATAAGTTTTTTAGTGTCTTCTTTTCTTCTGGATCCTTTAATGTCACCAGCATTAGATATAGCAACACATCTGCCTTTACATTGCTCTACCATTCTGGTAAGATCCTCTGAATCACGAACAAACTCAGCAAGCTCCTCTGAAACATGGCAGTCTTCTTCATTGTCATCTGAATCATACTCAGGGTTAAGGTCCTCTTTACGGGTTATAACAATTATTGTGTGTTTGAGAAAGTCATGACCTCCAAACAGGTCTGTCATGTATTTCAGTGTGTATTCTTCTTGCTCAGTTATCCTTCCCACGGCCAAAATGACTAAGAATACATGTGGCCCAGGTGAGACCATTTCTAAGCATTTTGCAATTTCCCCCTTGACCATTTCCTCCGATTTTGATGTGTCATATAGACCAGGTGTGTCGATAACCTCTATAATTTGGCTATTCATTTCACAAATTTCTTTTTGGGAGGTTGTTGTACATGATTTAAATCCAACCTCTGTCTCAAATTTTCTTTGTCCAAGAATAGTGTTTCCAGTTGCACTCTTTCCAGTACCAGTTTTTCCAATCAAAATGATTCTAGACAATTTCGTACTCGAATTAGATCTTTCTAAGGCAGGCAAAACGCTTTCATCTAATTTTTGTTTTTTATCTGATTTGATCGGTTCCAACGTACCGTCATCGTTATTTTGTTGACGAAGGTTCGACTTTTCTTCCGTTTCATTTTCTGATGTAGAGTCTCTTTTGGGCAAGGACAACTCCTCCATGTTGTCCGATACGATGTCGTCGCGTTTACGGCTTTGTTTAATTGTGTCATTTTCAGTGAGGTCTTTTTTCACGTCATTACATATATCACTTTTCATCATCAAACTGTATTCCTTAGAATGAAATGAATTATTGCAATTAGTGCCAGCATTATCCACGTTGCTAATAAATGCCTGTACTTTATTTGAGTTAATTTTCTTGTTCTCGTCACGACTTTCTTCATCATTTCTGCTTTCACTACTTTCAGGAAAGGTTGATGGTTGCTCCAGATTTAAAGCTTTGTTCATTTCATGATTATCATTGTCTGGGTAACTGATTTCATTGACGCCACTCCTGGTGATTGTTTCACACTGATGACCACCTAAAATCGAGGCTGGTTTCCTGTCTTTTTTCATTTCAATCATTTGTAAACGTGACTCCAAGTTTTCTGTTTTCTCGTCTGAATTTAAGTCCCTGTCATGTAGTTTTTCATTTTCGTTGCTCTCTGGATTGGTTTCTACTTTTCTCTCATTAAATGCTGATTCTTCTGAATGTCTGTTTTCATATCTGTATTCCAAATTTTCACTGCATTTATACAAAAGATTGTTGCTTTCATTCGTAAGTCCTATATATTGCGAACTGGTATTGACACATTTCTGTCTTTCAGAAGCTTTACTTTCGAATTCGTCTTGGTCTGTGCTCCATTTCTTCTCTTCTTGATTATTTTTCGAGTTTGAAATTTGTCTTATTTCTGTGTTGAGTTGATCTACCTCTAATGTCCTGCCTTTACTTTCAACAGAGTCCTCCATCGATGAAACTACATTTTAATTAAAACACTCGAGATATAAACCTATAATGTAGAATTTATATACATCAAACCAAAATGATTAACCTATTTTTTGATTAAGAGATTCAAGATGTAAATCCAGTGGGTATTTTTTTAGATGGACCAAACAACAATTTATTGCCTTTGTTTCAATCAAGGAACTACAATTTAAACCTTAAATGTAATTTTTACTTGCAACCAAAATTAATTTGATCAAGACACCGAAAACATAATGCTTAATTATAGATTTTACATGCATTTAACCCAAATAATCTATGCATCAATGCTCTCATAATGTAACAAAAATAATAATAAAAAAAATTAAGAACGTAATAAATGAATCTAAAAGGTCTAGCATGCATCTTACCAAAATATCGATTTCCCGAGTAGTTCTGGCATTTGCTGAATCATATACACTTTTTTTTTTATCCATTTACATTAAGAAAAATCTTTATAAAATCATGTGACTTTGGTTGCAATCTGAAAAGAAGTGCATGATCGGAAGCGTTTAAATAACTCAATGCAAATTTCTAAAGAAGATTGATTTTTGAAAACGGGTTTGATTGTCGGAAAACAAAAATCGATAGTAGAATAAAACGTTTATTGAAAGAGGAAAATGGATTTTATTAGAAAGAAGATCTATGCACAAATTAAATGTCCTGACGTTTGTGCAAGTATATTTCAAACAAAATAGATTTGAAACGGTACATACTTGGCGTACATGTACGTAAAACTTAAGACAAACAAATCGAAACAGTGCATATGTATAAGCATGAATGTTCTTCAGTTTTAAACACAGTTTGGTACGTAATATATAGACTTTCTTAAATTTCTGATGTTCTAATAGATAGTTTACTCTTCTGTTTTTCCTCTGATTATTTTGTATTTTTCTCTATTTGGGGCTAAGAAAAAATAAAATTGCTTTCTATCACATCTTGATAAAAGATAAAAAAAAAAAAAAAAATAGGGTCGGTAGGTAGGATTTTATTTTCTATTATTTTTAATCTTTTTTTACATAAAGTTGAAAACACAAAACTTTTTGACAACTTATAAAGCTCACTTTTTTGGCGCAAAATCTCTCTCTCTCTCTCTCTCTCTCTACCATACAGCTCTCACAAAGTGGTTGGGTACTTATGACGTATAAAAAGAAACGTTCAAAGGAAAATGTACGGACACGCACATTCTGTGTTGTAAGTAGCTTCAGGGTCGGCGCATAAATACATGTATAGGGGTTGGCTGGGTAACCCTAAACAAACATATTTTTAGGCCTTACAATTTTTTTATTGCTTGTTTTCTCCCCTAAAATTACTCATTCAAATCGGTTAAATTCTTCCTTTGTTTCAAAAATGTTCTCTCGGCCAAATCTGTTTTCCTTCCTCTTCTTGTATAAGATTCTCGTGCCATTTTTTTGTATCTTTCTTATTTGTATTGTCTCCAGTTTTTCTTTTATTCTAATTATCTAAAACTCTTAACCTGAATCTGCCTTTCCGACGTTTCTTACAGCTAGCTACACCTATGAAATGAATGTCTTTGCTTTTCTCTGTAAATTAGTGTACTGATACGATGTTTTGCATTTTTGAAATTCATTTAGATCCTTCAAATTTTCTACAATTGAGTAAAGTCATACTCTTAATGTCACATTATTTTACCATTATTTTAGCAGTGTATGTACGTAAGCTGATGATTCGAAGGCAAACGAAATACTCGAAGCTTCATATAATCATCTCACAAACAGAGATCATTTTATTTATAGCAATGAAAAATAAGACTTGCAATGTCAGATTGACTATATATGGTCTCCCACTTAAGAACCTTAGTTGTTGGTTTTTATAGTGTACAGACATTGTTTCATTATTTGATATCTGTTATTGAAGAGAGTTGAAACATTGACGGTATCTATAGATCTATATATCAACCCAAATGCATTTTTTCTTTTCATATTACGTTCTTAATTGTTTCTTTTCAATGTTAGATACCAAAGGAGAAATATAATTTCATACCTGTGCAAAATTTAACTTCGTCGTTTTGGGTACATCCACTCTACTGGGCTGTTTTTCAGAAAATGCATTCATCTATGTATTGAGTATGTATCGAGCATTGCAAAATTTAAATAGCACCAGTTAAGATCGAATATTTATCGAGCATTACAAAATTTAAATGGCACCAGTTAAGATCGAGTATTTATCGAGCATTACAAAATTCAAATGGCACCAGTTAAGAAGACGTAACAACTCCATATACACTTTCTGCATTACACATATACTTAAAGGATTTTAAAAAAAAATTGAAGCAATTTTAAATTTTCTAAGAATTCTTTTGAGTTACATTTATCTTGAAAGTTAGGCAAGCCAACAAGAACTATTTAATCCTTGCCCAATTCCCAAGAGAGATATAGATAACACCTGTTTGATCATAGATGCTCTACCAGTTACCTCCTCAAACTAAACTCATTAATTTCTCTCTAATTTGACATACAATTTTCTGATATCAAATTTCTCCTTGACCAGTGCTTGATAATTACACCCATGGGAGAGGTGGAATTTCTCTAATTAACATTACATTTGTAATAGATTGCAGTAAAGTATATAATGAAAAAAATAAGTATTTTCTTGATTTAACATTTTTTAAATAAGGATATTGCAATGCTTTTACATCTTTTGGGATTGTGTGATTTAATTGATAAAAGACAAAGTTTTTTTTTTAAATTTCACTTACATTAAAGGTCACAGTGACCTTGAAGTAGGGTGCGACACACCTACCTATGATGCATTAATTGGCCAAGTTTTATGATTCGAGGTCCAATAGTTTTCTACTTATGAGCCGGGCAGGCTTTTTCTATATTTGGCCATAGCAACTTAATTAAAGGTCAGAGTGACCTACTTTTAATGTGCGGCACACCCTCTACCCAAGATGTATCAGCTGACAAAGCTTGGAAATTCTATGCCTAATGGTATTTTTAAGTTATGAACCGGACAAGAAAATAAAGCTAACAGATGGACAGAGGACGGACGGACATGAACGCCATAACATAATATGTCCCGTCTTAAGACTAGCATATAAATTCTAAAGTGTTCAAGGAATGCATGTGTCGCCTGCTTTATAGCATTATTAAAGATTTAAAACTACTATTTATTTGCAACTATAGCATTATAGCAGGGAAAAAAATCCACAAATAGTAAGACCGATAGAATAGCATTTATCATATAAAAAAAAAAGAATAATGAAATTCAAATTGTAAGTAATAATTATTTTTTTCATTTTATACAATCTAATCAAAATTGAATGTTAGATGCGCAAGCTCACTCATTGATAGTGTAGCGAGTACATGTACATGTATGTGAGTGGATCTTACGTGTAATTTTAAATGGATTGCATTCTATAAATATCTGTTTAATCTAACTATCCTTCAAAAGAGATTTCATTCTTTCTTCAGTCTACAACGATCATTTTGGATATTCCAATCCCCATGTATTTTCAGAGTATTTAATTCAGTTTGTGTGGTAATTGTATAGCATACAGTTTCTAAGAACAGTGTCATGAGCTCATAAACATGATATAAATGCTAATTATCAAAACCCCGTCTCTCAACATCAAAAAGACACAAATTAAATATACCGTCTGGTGTATTTTTGCAAAGTAGGTCAAAGGTCAAGCTGACTGTAATGCTGGTATTTTTTTTATTATGGTTAATGGCAAACGGTGCACATGCTAAATAGCAGAAATTTGCCTCTAAATTGTCACAAAAAAATTGCTGTATATATTGGCATAATATATTTTTGAAAAGATGGTCAACGTTAAGTTCAAAGGTCACAAGTTCAGTAACTATGGTATTTTACAAATGCCAAAGGCCACGCAATAAATGTGAAAAATATCAAAACAATACCTCTTACAGTTCTCAAGATATAGGGTGCGACAGACGAACGGACGGACGGACAGACACCGGGTAAAGTGATCTCTAAGTGTCGCTCTGCTCTGAAAGGGACACAAAAGTATGAAAATAACAGTCTACCCCAACTACATGTACATGTAAATATTTATTTACAAAATGAACACATCAGGTGGTATCATTGAGAAAGAAAGCAACAAAATGCGACACAAAGATTCTGTACCCTGAGATCTGATGCAAAAAGGTAACCAGATACAAGAAGTGTTTTGAACTAAATATACATGTTTACTGAATATGTAAAAAAAATTCAAACAGAAAAAGCTCTGAAAATAAACACATTTTCAAAATGTTTAGTTATTTCACAGATTTATCAAGATTATTAAAAGATATTTTGACAGCAATTCTTCCTAAAGCATGGTTAACTTCATTCATAGATAATTAATCACTATTGTTAAATGGCGAAATCATTGTGAACACTCTTACTATTAAGCTACCTTTTACATTCAAACATTAAAACCAGAAATCCCTGATGAGACTGTAGCTCTACTGGTCTGTACGTATAACAAAGGAAAAGTAGCACTCTGTTTTGAAACTTTGCAACATGCAGCAATAAATAGAATTATGTATCTTAATGTAGTCTACTTGTGTGCCAAGTTATATTGAAATCAAACATAAACTGTAGGAGGAGTAGCATTTTGAAAGTATTTCACAGAAATTTCTATTTTAAGTAACCATGGCAACACCTTCACTGAAATCAAAATCCATGATACAGTATTATGTATCATAGTGTAGTCTAATCGTGTGCCAAATTAGATTGAAATCAGACCATAACTGTAGCAGGAGTAATGCTCTAAAGGAATTTTACAGAAATTTCTATTTTTAGTTATCATGGCAAAACCATTCATCATAATCAAAAACCAATTTATCAAATTACGTATCTTAGTGTAGTCTAATTGTGTGCTAAATTATATTAAAATCAGACTAGAACAGTAGGAGGAATTGCGTTTTCAAGGAATTTCACAGATATTTCTATTTTTAGTAACCATGGCAACACCATTCATAGAAATCAAATACGAATGCACTAAATTATGTATCTT